ATCTATGAGTCAGTAAAGAATTTAATAAGGAAGAAAGTATTTTGAAGAGATGAAAATAAATTAAAAACCCCACCAAAATCCATGAGATACAATTTCTGTTGATCTTTGTTGGTGAGGTATGTCTTCTGTAGGCAACAAATAGATGGGTTTTATGTTTTTAATCCAGTCTACTAATGTATGACATTTAATTGATGAGTTTAATCCATTCACATTCAGGGTTAATATGAATGGGTGGTAATTTGGTTCTGTCATTTTAGAAATGGGCTGTTCATTGATTTAGTCTTCGGTTGTTCTTTCACTGGGATGTTTTTCACATTTGCCTTTGGTTTGGGGTACTATTTCCCTTCTCTGTCAAGAGAACATCTTGAAGCATCATTTGTAGGGCAGGTTTGGAGGAGGCATATCCTTTTAACTTTTCTTTACTGTGGAAGAATTTTATTTCCTTTTCAAAGACAAAGGAAAACTTTGCTGGTTATGTTAACCTGAGCTGATAATTTTTTGCTTTTAGAATCTGGAATATGTCACTCCATTGTCTTCTTGCCTGCGGAGTTTTCTGTGAGAGATCTCCTGTGAGTTTAATTGGCATTCTTTTATATGTCAACTGATTTTTTTTTCATGTGCACATTTAAGGATCTTTTCCTTATATTTGACTGAAGAGAGCTTGATCATCATGTGACTTGGTGAAGATCACTTTTGGTCAATTCTGTTGGGAGTTCTGTGTCCCTCCTGGATGTTGTTTCTTAATTCCTTCTCTAGATTAGGGGAATTTTCATTTCATTCATTCATTGAATACACCTTTAATTCCAGCTTCTCTTTCTGCACCTTTTGTGGCATCCATAACTCTTATAATTTGTCCTTTTAATATGTCTTTCAGTTCTCAAATATTTCTTTTTTTTTTTTTTAGCTTGACCCAGCTCTGCTTCCAGCTTTTTCCTTTTTTTTTAGTTTCCTCCAGGTGACAGGAAATATTTTTCAATTCTGATATTTTTTCTTCTGCCTCCTTCATTCTAGTTTAGAGACTCTCCACTGCACTCTTAATTTGTTTCACTGTATTCTTCATTTCTGATATATCAGCTTTGATTTAATTCATTTTCAGTGTGACATATTCCTTGAATTCCTTGAATGCCTGCTTTATATGTTTCTCATTGTTGATAAAAAGCTTTATAACCAAGTGTTTTGAATTCTGCATCTCCTATTTTCTCAATGTCTTCCTCAGTGAACTCTGAGGTTGAAAAGGGTTTTGCTTCTTTGCAGGGGAATCTTCCGTAATATTTATTGTGTCTCTGTCTCTTCTTTTGTTCTTGGTCATTGTACGTCTGGTTATCAGATTCTTCTCCTTGGGCCAGGTTTCTAAGTTGTGTCAACCACAGGTCTACAGCTTGATTTTACTTCTTGCAGTTGGTACACAATTCTTTGCTTGCAGACACTTGTGCCACTCACTCCAGCGAGTTCCAGGTCTGGGTTCTTATATTAAATTCCCACCATGGTCTCTGTAGCTCCAGCTCTTGGCTCACCAGTCTCCACCTTCTGTAATACTGCACTGAGGCTGCACCATTTTCTGTATAACCTTTCTCTCACTTGCTGTTAGAGCAGTTCCCAGGATTAGGGAGACGCCAGGTGTCCTATGTAGCTAGGTTGTTGGTGGTGCTGATCTTGCCAGAACCTGTTGGCCATTAGGTCTGAGGGCCACATGGGCCTACTTTGAGTTGTAAGATGCCAAAGTTGATATTATTTTCCCTGTGGGACCAGTACAATCTACTGAGTTTACTGAGTTGTTCCCAGCCCAGCACATGTGCAGCTCACTGTTGTCTCTGCAGTCTTAAAAGTTTTTCCACACTACAAAATGGAGCCACTGCTGGAGCTCTTAATCTGCTGGCTGTCAGGTCTGAGGGCTACCTGGACCTATCTTGGGTGGGACTGGGTGGAACCTGTAGGATGCTACGTTGCTGTAGTTCACTGAGCAAGAAAGAGTTCACTCCCAGCTCAGTGCATGCACAGTACTGTCCATAGCCTTTGCTGTCCTACACAAAATGGTGCCTAATTTGGCTCTAGAGGGCAAAGTGGGCTGTAAAATCCACCCTGTTCCCATACTGCCCATCTGGGACCTGCCATTCTGCCTCTGCTCCTGGTCAAATCAAACAGAGCAGCAAGATGGGCAGCTCTTTGAGTTCACCTCTTGAGCTCTTGGTTAATGCCCCTTCCCACCTTGTTGCTGGTGGCGTTCCGGGTGCCGGTGCATTGCAAATCACTGCTTGCTGAATTTTGCTGGAGTATCGGTCACTGAAACACCACACCATTGTGTCCGCTGCTTTCCTGTGTCTGTCTCTAGTTGCCCCTCTGCTGTCATTCTGTCCTCTCCTATTTTCTGGAATGTGCCCTCTCTGCTTCACACTGGCTAATATTTCTCCATCTGTTTAAACTTGCCTTTACCTATTCTGCCATCTTGATCTCCGACTGCTTTCTATTAGTATAATTTATGAAAGCTTTTCATCCATCTCTTGTCTGTAACTTGAATGTGTCAGAGGTGATGTCTGTTAGGTTTAGAGAGAGGATTCTAGTACGTGCACAGTTTTATCAGTCAAGAGAGAGAGTGTGACAGACTGCTCCTTGGCTGGGGAGACAGCCTAGGACCACTTCCACAGGGTGAGGGGACCACGTTAGGGAAATGGCCACCCAAAGTATACAGCACTGGGCCTTTACATCCTATACGGGGAATGGGAGAAGGTAACAGCTCCTCGGTGTGCACATGCTTGTGATTAGTAACAAGTGACTGGCAGCATAGGACATGCATCCTGGTGGGATGGTGGGAGTGGTAGGGCATTCCAGACATTCGGATGATCCAGTGTGGATTCACTCTCTCTCTGTCCAGCATGCCGCCCTGCCCCATCTAACAGTGTCTAAGCATGGTACAAATATTCCCTCGTTCTACACACCTTGTTAGCAATTCAATTGGTTTATGGTGAAGAATCAATCATGAGTGAATTTTCCCAGTTGCTCTTAACGTCTCATGACTTGGCCAAGTCTAGTAACTTTGCAAAAAAAAAAAAAAGTCTTGGGTTAGCTTGCTTTCTATCAAAGCTGTCCTGTGTTGCTTCCTGTTTGCTGAAGAGAGGCCTTCTTTGAATGAACAGTTGATTTCTTGTTTTTATCACTTCCCAAGAACATCAAACATGAGAGTGCTTCAAAATGCTTGTGGAAAGAATAGAATTAGAAGAGAGCTGCAGTGCAAATGTTTTGACAGCCATACAGTTTTCGCACGAGAGTTGATTTCCGTGAGTTTTGGAGGACTGCTCAGAGGCCCGCGGGAAACAGCCTCCCTCCTTTGCCTGTGATTTCCTCCAGCCCTGCATCTTCCGGGGACTCGTTGCATTTCGCTTTTCTAGTTTTCCGTAGTCTATGCAGCGCATGCCTTTATTCGGACATTTCATAATTTACTTGCTTCTGCTGTGGTTTGCCTTTTTGCAGGTATTTTTCTTTCATTTCTTTCCTGAACTCTTTTAGATCACTTTAAAAATCTGTCTCCAGTTTTACTATTATTTAAAAAGGTGCCCTTTTCAGGATGTAATTAAGAACTTGCATTTTTCTAACATATTGGTCACTCAATACCATGTCAATTAACTCCATCAGGTTGTAAACCGTTGTTGATGTTATGTTGTGGCTTTTAATTGGTCAGGATGATATTCTGCCAGCTCTGCCTTCTGACCAGAGATGGTCTCCCCAAGAAACTGTTGAATTTATCTGGACAATAAGATGCTGGACACTATGCAAAGTACATGCTTGCAATGAAAGAGTGAGGCTTGGATTTGAAGCGCAATACTGCAACTAGGTGGAGGAATCCACCATGGGGAGAGGGTATAAGGAGGGGGTGGGGGAATCCCAGAGCCTATGAAACTGTGTCATAAAATGAAATATAATAAAAAGTGCCTTTAAAAAGTTAAACTCTTGTTTTAATTTATTTTGAAAGTAGATGCGTTTTTTCATCATTTTTACCTACTGTGTAAGTTTCCTTTGCTTTTATGGGCGGAACAAGTTTCTTTTGTCTTTGTTCCTCATATTTTATTACGTTTTGGGCGAAGAAAAACAGAACCTGTGCTGTTGACTCACATTTCTACTATTTGTCAATTTAAAAGGGGCCCTGAAAGGGCTGGCTCTTTGCTGACATGTTGTGTTGGATGGAAGGAAAGTCACGAAGAGTAGATGTGGGTGGGTGGGGGTGTGCCACTTGTTTTGTGAATTGCCATTATGCCTCCAAGAGTGAGTTTTCTGCTATCTTCCCAACAGTAGGTTGTTTGGCCATTTGCAACAGGGCACCGGACTGTGTGTGTGTGTGTGTGGGTGCGTGTGTGTGTGTGTGTGTGTGTGTGTGTGTGTGTGTGTGTGTGTGTGTGTGTTTTGGGCAATAGAGGAGGGAGGGCCATTTTTCTGGGTGGCACCTTGTCCCAAGTGCCTCCTGGGTCCTTGAGAATGACTGCCCCTGGCTGTTGGAGCTGTGAAGCAGCCATTAAGGGGAAAGCACATATATTTCAAAGTGCGTGAGGAAGATAACTTAGAGAGTTTCAAGTTTTCTAAAGTGAACGCTTTGCTCTGGGTAAAGAAAAGGGGAAGTAGGGGCCTGGAAAGGGAAAATCTGTCTCCTTTAGTCTAGCTGAGGACAATGGTCAGGGCTCTTCAGTCAAGACGCTAGGTCGAGTGGCACTCCCTCCTCCCCTTTCCTGATTCCTTTTCCTGGAGCCCAGACTCTGTACCTGGTCTCCCCACCTGCCAGGTGGGATGGAGATTGGGGACTCTGCGGTGGAGGTGAGGGTGCTGCTGGATTCCTGGATATGTGGAGCCTGCTCCCCTCTCCCTTCCTCTATTCCTCCACCACTCCCACCAGGGCCACTATGTGGCTGAGGGTGCTCTGTCTTGTGTTTTGTTTGCATTGCTGCTTAACACCTCTGGGCCTTCTCTCTGCAGAAACTGCTGCTTTCTGTTCTGGGAGTCAGAAGGTGGAAGCAAGGATGGGCTGGCAACGATCTTTTACAGGCTTAGAATCGGCAAGAGTTCGTGTCATTTACATCAACGACCCACTTAGGAACCCTTTCTGCCTAAACTGGATCAGGTGAGTTAAGGATATGAAGCTGGGAGAGAGAGAAGGTGGTGGCTTGGGCTCCGCCTCCCACTGTAGATCAGTTCATGGGATCCCTGGCAGTACTTTTCTCCAGTCCAGAGGAAGTTCCGGTCTATTTCACCTTCCAGGCGTCTCTACAACAGCCTTTGCTCTTACTTGTGCTTGTCTATAGTCACTACTACATAGTCCCGTGCCAACGGACGCACCTCGGGCAACTGTCCGGGGAGACGTTTTCCTAGCGAGCTCTTAGATCCTTGGAGCTCCGGGTCAGCAGCAGCCAGGTGACCGTGACTGTGACCAGACACTGAACTTTGTCACCATTCTCTTGCAGAGGAATTGGCTGAGTTCTTACTTCAGAGGCAGAGTCAGTTAACGCTTGAGAGAAAGGAAACGAGATGATTGTGTGTGTGTGTCTAATGTTTATTTCCATCTACTAAAAAGGCAGAGCCATCAGTGTGTGTAAAAGAACGATTAGAGCAAGAGAGATTGTCTATCTAGTGACTCACTCTCCAAATTTCTGAAATAGTGAGCTAGCCAGGGCTGGATCAGAGACAGCCCAGGAGCTGGCAGCTTCATCTTAGTCTCTCACGTGGGTGCCAGGAGTCCAGTTCTTGGGACATCATCCAGCGCCGTCCAGGATGTACTGGGATGAGAAGGCGGCACAGAAGCGCAGTGACCCGGCCCCGCAGCTCAGGATGTGGGTGTCACGAGCCTTGCCAGCTTCTTGAAGCTGGATAGGAAGCCAAGCTGGGAGTTGAACTCAAGAGACTCGGATACGGGATGTGGGTATCCTGAGTGTTGTTTAACAACTGCCCACCGCTCTAGCTATGTTTTTTTTGTGTGTGCAATTTTTTTCTGACCTGTGAAGGACATTATTAACATGTTTTATGGTGGGTGAAACTGTGGCAGGAACAGAGTGCCATCTGGATATTTAGTGGCAGGACCAGAATAAAGCACCAGGCCTCTTAAATGTCAAAATTCGTTATCATTCCACATGATTGACCAGCACCTCTGGTTACAGACATTGACAGCTTCTTAAGCATAGCAGCGATTTTTAGAACCAATCAGGCAGATTCATGTATATGAGGAATCTCTCAGAAGAAGCAGAGGAGTTGACTGATGATTGGATCCAGCCCAGGATCTAGAATCAGAGAGGAAACCCAGCTCGCTGAATATTCTTCTGCCCTTTGTTTTCCAAATCTACTGAGGAAACTTAGCAATATCCTGTTATCAAAAGCAAACAATGATGAGTGGTCTATATATCTGAAAAGTTAGTTTTGAAGTTATTCACCACAGGGGCTAGCATTGTGGTGCTGCAGGTTAAGCTGGCATCCCACGTGGGTGCCTGTTCCAGTGCAGGATGCCCTGCTTCTGATTCAGCTCCTGCTGTTGTGCCTGAGAAAGTTACAAAGGATGGCCTGAGTGTATAAGCCCCTGGCATCCATGTGAGAGATCTGGATGAAGCTCCTGGCTCCTAGCTTCATCCTGGCTCATTCATGGCCATTGCGACCATTTGGGGGATGAGCGAGCAGGTGGAAGATCTCTCTCCTTCTCTAACTTTGTCTTTCAAACAAATACATCTTGAACCAAACCAATAAACAAATTATCCATCCGATGATTTTTAAAGTAGTTGTGGATGAATGGGATTTGTTTTGAAATAATTGGTGGATGAACACTGTGATTCGGTGGGTTAAGTTGCTTTACTTCTGGTCCAGATGTCTGCCAATGTGCCTGAGAAAACAGCGGATGTGGCTCTTGTGCTCGGACCCCTGTACCCACGTGGGAGACCTGGGTGAAGCTTTTTTGCTTTTGCACCGGCCTAGCGTAGCTCTGGCTATTGCAGGCATCTGGGCTAAGAACAAGAGGAGAAGGGTCTCTCTCTCTCTCTCTCTCTCTCTCTCTCTGTTTCTATCCCTCTGTCACTCTGCTTTACAAATGAACCACTGAATCTTTAGAAAAAGTTCACAGTTTGAAAGTGGAGGAATGTTGGTAGCATGGACAGAATGAAACTGCCCATGAATCTCATATTTGTTGAAGCTGGGAGATAAGCAGTGGGGTTCATTACCAGGTCTCTTTCCTTAGTTATATTTGCAAGTTTCCACAAGAAAAAGATCTGTTTAAAGTTTAGCTGGTCAATCAGCACAGTTTTAGTGGAAGCAGTGCATCACTGGGACACTGTAAATTATAATCAGGTGTAGAACTTCAACTGCCATCCTCTCTCTCTCAGGTCTGGAAACAGCACTTCCTTTCCAGCAGTGCCTTTTGCAGAATGCGTCATGATCTCCATGTAGCTTTTAAAAAAGATTATTAAAATTTTATTTGAAAGGCAATAGACAAGATAGAAGAGATCTGCCATTCACTGGTTCACTCCCCAAATGGCTGTGACAGTCAGACTCAAGCTGATCCAAAGCCAGGAACCAGGAGCTTCTTTCAGGTCTCTTATGTTGGTCCAGGGGCCCAATGACCCGAGTTGTCCTCCTCTGCTTCCCCAGTTCATAAGAAGGGGGCTGGATCAGAAGTGGAGCAGCTCTGGGACTTGTACCAGCACTCATAGGGGATGCCAGCATCACAGCGGTGTAATACACTGTGCCACAAGGGCGTCATTCTGTACATCGACCGTCTCCACAGTGCTCTGTTTCTCAGATGAGAACCCTTATTCTTGGTGCTGAGACTGTTGTCAAGTGACTCCGGGTGCTTTCCAAGCATTGGAAAAGCTTTGCTTTACAGCCATGCTGTATGTTTTTATCCACCTGGGATTTACTGCAAGGTTCTTCCGTGTTTTCCATCAATGTTCCTTGACAGTGACACTTTCCGTTTTACCTGCAGCACGGCCAAGTACAGCCTGTGGTCCTTCCTGCCTCGATATCTGTACCTACAGTTTAGCAAGGCGGCCAATGCTTTCTTCCTGTTCATCACTATATTGCAGGTAATACATCAATGTGTTAGACTAAGTTTCCTAAAGAGTCTTAAGAGAGTACTCATGAAAAGTTCATTTAGCTGAATTCAGATTTTGATGTACACAAAGCATTTAAATACTATAAGATGAGAACTCTTAAAAATGCTTAAGTCACTCAGGGAATCACACTTTTTGCACTTAAAAAAAGGGGTGGGGAAGCATGTGCATGTGCAAAAAATGAATTTGGAAACAGTTCATATTGATTTAGATCTTCAATGAGATTTTAGTGCATTGAATTTGATTACCTAACCACTGCCATTATGGAATGAAATGATTTAAAACAAATTCAAGAAACAAGCTTGAAATAGTATCTTTGCAAAATAATTAAATTTGATGCTTTCCATAACCTGTTGTATTCTTGTTTATTCAACCTTCCTTCCAGCATGGACACCACAATCCTATCAGGCCACACTTCTCACGATTATCCAGTTTCTTTCTTCTTTTCAGACCTTCGTCCATGCTGTTACCAAACTAGAAAGTGTCAGTCTGGCTAAATCCCACCCTTTCTAGTTGAACCCCAGCTTTAAGCTGTCTTCCTCCACATTTCTCCAAATATGTAGTCTGTGGTTCCCCTTCTCTAAATGTCCGTGACCATAGTCTCTGCTCTGGGAGGGTACTTGAGAAAGTTCATGCAAAAGGGGGTAGATGCTTTATTTTGCTGGTGTCTTTAAATTCATGCTCAGTTTTATTTTCTGTAATGTAATTGTCCTTGGACATGGATTTCAAAACAAATTAGTCCAAGCAAACCTACTTTTTAAATTCCATTTTTCAGAGACTTTAAGTATACTTCTAAAGTATAGCTTGTTTTATTTCTCCAAGCTGATTGTCCATGCCTAGAAAACAGAAACTGTCTGTGCAACTACCAAGATATGGGATAGAAATTCAGCTAACCAGTTGAACTGACTTTGATCAGAAGGATTGGCTTCCACAGACACTTAGAGAGGCTGCATAACAGGTGTCACATCTGTACATGGGATGAGAAATTGAAGGATGAATTCTTTGATTTGGTTGCTGTCTGTGGAGAGCTCGGAGTATCACAAATAAACACCATGAACCATGCTTATAAAGGAACATGGGAGAGCTTGTGTGAGAGAGGTCAGAAATGAGCCACCTGTTGAAGGAGCGTGAGCTTAGCAGTGTGCTGGGGGTCAATGAAGGAAACATTTTGGTCCTGAGAAACATGGAAATGAGAACATCAGTCACCTTTCTGGAGGATGATCAGGAACCAACAGGTGCTTCATTGTGTTTACTTTGAATGGAGGAACCTGTGTTACTATTAGAAAGTGGAGATAAAACAGAAGTTAGAAAGCCTAAGTTTTTCCCTAGTGTGTGAAATGCTCTGGGAATAATGAAATTCTTGGTCTTGGGGTTAGGGTAGAGTGGGTAAGAAACCACGATGTTAACTAGAGCGAGGCTAGAAGCCAGTGTGATATGCTTTGAAGCTTGCCCTTGACACTGAGAGTGAGAAGCGTTTCATGGTTGGGCCCGGCCAATGTCAAGCTCTGGTTGGCTCTGCAGCAGGAAAAGACAGCCCGCTCCCTGGGTGACGTTCTAGCGTGGAGCTGTAGCACGAAGAAATGGAAAAGAAGCAAGGGTGCAAGAGGGACAGTCACAGGCCACATGGGGGCATCTCAACCAGAAACGGATAGAATTTATAATGATGGTCCCATGTATTATACTGCTGAGCGACTTCGTAGGAATTCTGAGTAACAGCCATCATGATGCTTGCACATGGCCTAACAATGTATTTCTTGTTATGTATTTGTTATTTTATTATTTTAAAAAATTTACTTATTTTTATTGGCAAGGCAGGTTTTACAGAAAGGAGAGACAGAGAACCTCCACTAGGTCTCCCACATGGGTGCAATGTCCCAAGACACTGGAAGCTGGATGAAAAGTGGAGCAGCTGGGACTAGAACTGGTGACCATTTGGGAATGCCGGTACCTGCAGGCAGAGTATTAGCCAGTTGAGCCATTGTGCCAGCCTCCCATCTAACTATATTTTAAAGGCAAAGTTAGTTGAAAGCTAAAATAATCCTCTATTACTCATATTCTTTATTTTATTTTATTTTTAAAAACTTTCATTGGAAAATCAGATATACAGAGAGGAGGAGAGACAGAGAGGAAGATCTTCCGTCTGCTGATTCACTCCCCAAGTGGGTGCAACAGTCAGAGTGGAGCCGATCCAAAGTCAGGGTTCAGGAGCCTCTTCTGGATCTCCTACACGGGTACAGGATCCCAAGATTTTGGACCATCCTTCACTGCTTTCCCAGGCCACAAGCGGGGAGCTGAAAGGGAAGTGGAACAGCCAGGATACGACTGGCGCCTTTATGGGATCCCCGTACATGCGAGGTGAGGACTTTAACCACTAGGCTACTGTGCTCGGCCCACTTGTATTCTTTTGAAGGTTGTTAGAAGAACCGTTAGGAACTTCAAAAAAACACTGTCTTACTACTGTCTGCGACCCAATAATAAGCAAGCAGAAAATAATTAGACAATGAGCACATAGGCCCCAGTCTGGAAACAGTCAAAAGGCCTTGCATAAATCGATAAGTCATTGGGTCAGACCCAGCAGCTGTCATACAACCATCAAAAAACCACAGCATCTCGGTTCCCAGAACTTGGTTTTTCTCATACTTGAAACAGTGGTACTAGCTCTGGAACATTCTCTGCCTTTCCTTTGTGTCTAGGAAACCTTACTCTCCTGAGTCTCTACAGAATTTCCTCTGTGCTTTAAAAAGAAATAAAATTCACTTAGGCTAACTGACTATCTAAATGTAACTGTTTTGGAAAGATGCTAGCTGAAGCTAGCAGTTAAAGGTTGCAGGAGGGCTTTGAACTCTAAATTTCTCCTTGAAGGCGGCACCGTGACTGAAACGGAGTCCAGCAGTTCGGCTGGTGATTTTGCGCAGTGTCACAGTGTCACGTGGTGCGTGTAGCTTTGAGATGCTGAGACTTCCCCTTCCGCTTTCAGCGTGTGCTTGCTCTTCCTATCCCAGATCACGCCACTAGCAACACGACTTTGATGATGAGCAAAGTCTAACAAGCATTTGTCCTAAAACTAACAATGCCATTCTGATTATTTTGCAGCAAATTCCAGATGTGTCTCCTACAGGAAAATATACGACTCTCGTGCCTTTGGTGGTTATTCTTACTGTTTCGGGCATTAAGGAAATCATTGAAGATTATGTAAGTTTACTGACACGTAGGAAAGTGTTCTCAAAAATCACTGACTTGAATACACATAGGCACTTCAAAAATTCATGAAAACATGAAACTAAAAGATAAGTTGGGGGCGTTTGATCCGGTGATGGGGATACCTGGTTCCCTGGGGGCAGTGCCTCACTCTGGCTCTCAACTCCAGCTTCCTGCAGGCCTCTGGAGGTGATGGTCGAAGTGAGGGAATTTCTGTCATCTATGTAAGAGGCCTCGATTATTTTTCTCAGCTCAGGATTCAGCCTAATCGTGGTTATTGTGTACATCTTGAACCAAACCAATAAACAAATTATCCATCCGATGATTTTTAAAGTAGTTGTGGATGAACCAGCAGATGGGAGCTTTGACTTTCTTTCTACATCTTCCCCAAAATGTAAAATTCATGCAGATGTCTTGCAGAATATTCATTTTCTGTGAGCTTTTGAAGACTTTCCGTCCCATGAAAATATTATGTGTTGCTCTGTTTTTGCAGGCAGGTGGTTGGAGCTGATATAATTCCTGTTACGTTTATAGTCAGTGTGAAGAGGAAGCTGATGTTTGGGGGTTTCAAATTTTTAAATAATATGCTCCTTGGCTTATCTAGTTGTGAAAATATTAGGACTTAAGAACTGTGATAAGAACTTCGAAAGCATCTTTGAAGATATCATGCAACCACAGGTGCAAGTCTTCATTAGCGCCAAGGGATGGGCACACAGTCCTGTAGCCTTGTGCCTCTTTTAGACTTGTCACAAATACTCGGAGAAATATCATGTTGTCTGTAGTGTGAAGGAGTTTTCCAAACTTGATCAGAGGCCAACTTTAGAATTGTTCAGTGGATTATTAACCAAATATGGTCATTGAAAGTAACATATGCAGATTTTTCAAAAAATTAGTGGGAAAGTGGACTAGAACGTCAAGTTTACCTTGATGCAAAACATTTTGAAGTCCTTGCACAGGTTATTCCTAGTACACATTTTCCATGAGCCTTCTAGAGAATATTTGTGGGTCTGGATTTTAAAATGCCTTGGCACCAAAAAAAATTTACCTCTTCACCCTTTTTCCATGAACTACTACTGAAAAAAAAGATGTATTTGTTTATTTTGAAAGAGTTGCAAAGAGAGAGGGAAAGAGTGAGTGAGTGAGTGAGAGAGCTTTCTTGTTTTTTTTTTTTTAAGTTATTTATTTATTGGAAAGTCAGATCTACAGAGAGGAGGAGAGACAGAGAGGAAGATCTTCTGTCCAATGATTCACTCCCCAAGTGAGCGCAACGGTCGATGCTATGCTGATCCGAAGCCGGGAACCAGGAACCTCTTCCGGGTATCCCACGTGGGTGCAGGGTCCTAAGGCTTTGGGCCGTCCTCGACTGTTTTCCCAGGCCACAAGCAGGGAGCTGGATGGGAAGTGGAGCTGCCGGGATTAGAACTGGTGGCCCATATGGGATCCTGGGGCGCGTTCAAGGCGAGGACTTTAGCCGCTATGCCACACTGCCAGACCCTAGACAGAGAGCTTTCATCCTCTGGTTTGTTCCTCAGATTGCTGCAACAGCCAGTGCTGGGTCAGACCAAAGCCAAGGGCCTGGGGCTTTTCCCGTTCTCTCTCATGGGTGGCAGGGGAACAAGCTCTTGTGTCACCTTCCACTGCTATTCCAGGCAAACGAGCAGAGAGCTTGTGAAAAGGAGCAACAAGTCAGAAAAGGAGCAAAAAGTCAATGTCCATAAGGGCTGCTGGCCTCCCAGGCGCTGGCTTTACCTGCTATACCCCAGGCTGACTCCTCCATGACCCTTATGAAGTTTTTGTAAAGCTATTGTTTTAAGTAACACTTGACTATGTGCCATGCATCCTGTACTCTGTGTGTCTGTGTATTTATGCTCATTTGAACTGAGGCTCGCAAAGGTTAGTGACTGACAGGTCTGCATTGCTATAAGTTGCCCTGGGATGTCAGCTGCAACAAGCTGACTCTCAAGCCCACACTTAGTCACTTGCTAAACTTCCTTCCGTTGGTCACATCATAGAGCGTGGAGTCACATGGGCATAAATGAAATTGAAATTTCCGCTTAAGAGGATTTCATGAGTCTGGCTGCTGCTGTTCTTTCTTAAACTTTATTTCTTTTAAATTATGAATTGAATTATTCCTTTTTGAACTTTTGAAGTAACGACTTCTTTTCCCCCATAATAGAGACGACATATGGCAGACCGATTAATTAATACGAAGAGCACAATAGGTAAGTGTCTTGGTTAATTCCATGTGCTGGCTTGACTGGGCTACACGGGGCTGAGATCTTTTGTCCAAAGACTATTCATAGCCCAGCGTACCTGTGTGAATGTATTCAGGTGAGATGAGCACCTGAACGAAGAAGATTGTCCATGACCCAGGTGAGTCCTAACTGGGCCATGGCAGGCCTGATCAGAAAACAAGGCAGACCATTCCCTGAGTCGGGGGAAGGTCTCCTGCCCCATGGCCTGTGAACCGGAATGCCTGCAAATGGGAACTGGGACATCAGCAGCACTTCATGATGAACCGATTCCCTATCTATCTATCTATCTATCTAATCAATTATGTGTCTAGCCATCTACTTACTTTTCCATCATCTACCCACCCTGTAACCCTCTACCTTTCTATATCCCCTTGATTCTGTCTCTCTGGAGAACCCTAATGGAATCCAGGAAAATGTTTGACTGAGCTGTTATGACCTTGAATTATGAGAAAATGTCTAGTTCATCATGTAGATGACTGTACTATGTTCCAAAATCATTAACACAAATAAGACACATTTTAGTGAAATACTTAAAGAAAGAGAGAAACAACGAAACACAGAAGGAGGGTGAGCTTCCAACACAGTGGTTGGGCCACGGCTTGGGCGCCCATGTGCATCACCTGCGGGAATGCCTGGGCTTGAGTGCAAGCTCAGCTCTCTGTCCCGGCTGCCCCAGCTGCCTGGGAGACAGCAAGTGACCTGCCAAGTGATTGGATCCCTGTTGCCCCATGTGAGAAACCTGAATTGGGGTCTTGATTCCTGGCTGTGGCCTGGCTCAGCTCTGGCTGTTGTCTGCTAAAGGGAAGTGTAAATGTGAAGGTATGGCAAGGTGATTATGAAAGAGAAATGAAAACCTGGACAACTTGGTTTCAGTGCAGTGTGTGTGTGTGCAAAGTATTTAACTTCCATATACACAATTCCCTTTGAAGAAAAAATGGAAGTGTGAGGTTTGTTTTTAAACTGCACAGTGTCTGTTTTTTTGCATAGTTAACACACTACAAAATGTGTCTTTAGCTAGCCCTGTCAGGGTGGTATTTTCTTTTCGTTTTTTTTTAAAGCTTTATTTATTTTTATTGGAAAGGCAAATTTATAGAGAGAATAGGACAATTGGAAAGAAAGATCTTCCATCTGCTGGTTCACGCATCAAGTGGATGCAGCGGTCCGAGCTGAGCCAATGTGAAGGTAGGAGCCAGGAGCTTCTTCCAGGTCTCCCATGTGGTTTCATGGTCCCAAGGGCCATCTTTAGCTGCTTTCCCAAGCCACAGGCAGGGAGCTGGATGGGGAGTGGAGCAGCCAGGACATGAACCAAGACCCATATGGGATCCCCGCATTTGCAAGGCAAGGATTTAGCCTCTGAGACATTGCGCTGGGCCTGGCAATATTTTAAACCGCTAGTAATCTCGCCTGGTACAGTGTGGGGATTGTAAATTGCCATACAAATTTAAAGCAGGTTCTTGTTGGTGCACAACACAAATTAGTTCTATATGGGTATGGTAATGTCTTCATCTTTAGTTTTCTCTGATGCAACTTGTATACAAAGTAATTGTTGATCTGTTTAGCTGAATGTCTCTGTGAAATTGCAAAGCAAAAAGTTGTCGTTGTTTTGTTGGCATTCAAAATGCTTGTAAGTAAATAACATTTTTATTAGAAAAAAAGACTGAATATGCACACTTTTGTCCATAGAAAACCCGGGTGTGACATATTCTGTCCTAGGCCTACTTTTGATATCTGTTAACTTTGTGGTTGGTTAGAAACGTGATTGCTTTTTATGCTATCACTCAGGAATTCAGCATACAACAGCCAAGTGTTTTCTCTTAATATAACCTCTGTTTATCTATCTATCTATCTATCTATCTATCTATCTATCTATCATTATACCAGGCTACATTATGATACCACGTATGCATCTGAAATTTCATTTCATAGAGTGAATATGAATGCAATTTATACGTTCTTGCAGTATGTGTGGAGGTTAAATGAACAAAGGCAATAATTCATAAAGAATGCTTCTAGTTTTGGAAATAGTAACTTGATCCTGCACCTGACCTCATGCAAGTAAATGTAACTCTTTTTCAGTGTTAAGACAGGATTCATGGAGCTCAATTATGTGGAAACAGGTAAGAAGGGGTTTTAACTTGATTCAGATCTGTTTTGTGTTTAAAATTAAAGTATTTCCCCCTGTGAAAAGTGTTTTCAAGAACCATAATTTTATGTCCACTTTGTAGATGAGGAATTAAAGGACCAGGAAGTAAGTGTCCAGCTCAGGGTCACACGGTTTAGGAGTGATTTAAACTCAAGTCTAGCTTGAAGTCTACATGCTTTTTTATATATAAATTCTATTTTTTATGATGATTACATGGTTGATCATGGTGGGAAGAATCGAGGCTTAGGGAAAATTGGGTGAATTCATTGTTTCCTAATTTGCTATTTCTTCTTGTTGTTCCTGGGGGGAGGAGAGAAACAAAGGGGGAAATCGCTCACGACTTCCCCCAAGTCCCAGTGCCCAGGGATGAGGAACCAGCACCTCACATCACCCCAGGGTCTCATCATGCGCATGTTCCGAATGTCCTGTCCAAGTGGTTTGGATAGTTCTGAAATGCTGCCGATCTCACCAATCCCCACTTACTCTTACTACAAGATTACAGCACACAGATTACAGACTGGTGTCAACAACACAACAAATCTAAAAAAGCTGACAGTTATAAAAAAAAAACCTAAACTTGAGAAATCATGAGATTGCTTAACGCGATTTGCAGCACATTAAATGATCAGCTATTTTGGGCAGTGAAGTAAAAACAAACAAAAAAACCTGCCAGGAATTGAGAAATGTTGGAAATGGATGTCCAGCAGGAGTAGAAGAAAAATATTTTTCCTCGGTAAACAGCTGATTCCTGCCGACTGTCTCGGGCCCCACAATGTTTAGTGTTTGTGAAATAGTTACACAGTCTGAACTCTTCTGGAATCATTTTTAATGGACAATTGGAGGCACTAATTCATGGCATTAGTGGGCGCATAATTAATGCCAGGAAATATTTGGTATGGAAAGTTCATAGCTGGGGCAGGCGTTTAGCCTCATGGTTAAGGAAGCGTTAAAAAGTTTACATCCCATATTAGAGCACCTGGGTTCACTGCCTGGCTCTGTTCCCAGACCCCAACTTCTTCCCAGTGCAGATCCTGGGAGGCAGTGGTTATGGCTTGAGTACTCGGGTTCCTGTGACGAACGTGGGTAACTTGGATTGAGTTCCTGGCTCCCGGCTTTCACCTGGTATGGCCCAGGTTGCTGTGGACATCTGGAGAGTAAATCAGCCAATGGGAAATTCCTCTCTCTCTCCCTCCCGCTCTCCCTCTGTCCTACATGCTTTTGAACCAACCATGCTAGTCTCTCCACTGAGGCAACGAACATTTAGGGATGCTCCAACAACGTGGCAGAGGGTGCAAGTCAGCCTTCTGATGAGGGGTGTCTCAGGGAATGTCACCATGACTACAGAACCTTGTCCTGCTCTCCCTTCACTCAGGTTGCTGTAACAAGACACCTTTGACGGGGTAACTTGGAAAGGACAAGAACTTTACTTCTTTTTGGGGGCTCAGGAGGTCAGGACCTAGAGCTGATGGGTTTGGTCAGGTCCTGTATAGCCCCAGGTAGTGACTTCCAGCCATGTTCTTTTTTTTTTTTTTAAGATTTTTTTTTTAATTGCAAAGTCAGATATATAGAGAGGGAGAGACAGGGAGGAAGATCTTCCACCTGATGATTCACTCCCAAAGTGACCACAATGGCCGATGCTATGCTGATCCGAAACCAGAAGCCAGGAGCTCTTCTGGGTCTCCCACACAGGTGCAGGGTCCCAAGGCTTTGGGTCGTCCTTGACTGCTTTCCCAGGCCACAAGCAGGGAGCTGGATGAGAAGTGGGGCTCCCAGGATTAGAACCAGCACTTGTGTTGGATCCTAGTGTGTTCAGGGTGAGGATCTCAGCCATTAAGCCACCATGCTGGGCCCCAGTCATGTTCTTGCATGGTAGAGGGAGACACATTCTTGTGTCTCCTTGGCAACAGCATCAGTTCCATTCCCTAGGAATCACCTGCATGGCCCAGTTGCCTCCCAACCAACCTGGTTGGTTTTAGGGGAACATGAACGTTCAGATCGTGGTAGGATATACTCTGATGGCAAACTTGAATGTGTTTTGAGGGGTGGATATTGACGTTGTCCCCTTCAATACTTAATTGGTAGCCCATGTAAAAAACCTGTTAGAATGATATCTTTAAGGATGTTTCCAAGTAGCATTCATATTTCTTTCCCTGAAAGAACAGGTGGCTTTGACAATGAGTGTATTTTGTGCCTCTCCCCGGGACTCACAGAAGCCTTTGAGCATCTCCATTTATGATGGCAGAGTCACAGTCAGCTCTCTATGGCCGGCTGAATGAAGTGGGGGCTGTGGTGGCCTGCCCAGTGTGCTCCCATGGTTGAGTTCTCATCTGCCTCGTTGCCTGGCACTGGCAGAACAAGTTCAATAGCTGAAGCCCTGGGACCTGAAATTCCTGTTCCTCTGAGTCTCTTGTATCCCATCTGCCTGCTACAATCAAAAGAAGGCCTTCAAACATGAGAAACTGGAAAGGCGGAAGAAGGGATATGTTGGCGGTGTTGCAGACAGAGAAGAAAGATTTAGGAGAGCTGGCCGGCCATGAATGCCCGTCAGCAAGGTTGCTTGCAGGTCCACAGGTGTGTAATTTTCCACATCAATATTGCTTCAGGAGAAACTGGTTTTAATTGCACAGTTTCAATTTGTCTTATGACAACCTTTTAAAAAACAGATCTTCCCATAAGTTGTTTGTGTTAGTTATGAATGTGGCATTATTCATTGCACTGCGAGTGCTTTAATGAAGACGTGCATGTTTTACCTTTTTTTGTCCTTCAATGTTGTAGTTCTTAAGGGTCTGCACTTTCATGTTGGAGAATGTTTGCATGGTCTCAGGTACAACACCTGCACATTTCACCAAGTGTAGGTGGAAAATACTTGAAAAAACAAAGCAAAACTTTGCTTTTGTACCAAATACGTAAAGATCTCTTTTCTTGTCATTATTGCTGAAACAATACAATATAGCAGCTGCTTGCAGAGCAAGTCCATGGGGCTGAGAATCATGAATGATCTAAAGACGGTCTGAGGTATGCAGTGGAATGTGACAGGTTCTGTGGAATTGCCAGGCCATTGGAGGTAAGGGACTTTAGGATCCGTGGTTTCCGGTAGCTGTGAGGATCCTGGAATCAGTTCCCTATGATGACTGAAGATGGTGTTATTAATTTGTGATCCAATTAATTAAGCTGGAAGTCATCTGCCTAATTATATTAGAAAATGAAAAATCTAGATTTCCAACATAGGTCCAGAAATTGGCTTAGGAAAGAATTTTGACCACATGTCATTGTGGCTGCCTAGGAAGGGCCTGTGATCTTAAGAATTATGTCATCAGCACTCAACACAGTGTAACTGCTCAAAGGATTAGTCAAAAAAATAATAATAAACACAGAAGTGCTCACGACACTTTCTCCATGTGTGGTTGCTGTTACTGCCATTCCCTCGCAATCTCTTACTTAGAACCTGCAATTCATCCATGATGTCAATCCTTCATGCATCCATTTGGTACTTATTATGTACAGGCAGATGCTAAGCTCTGGGGGATTCATCTGAGAATGAAAAAAAGCATTCTTTTGTTTCTCCGCAGAAGAGTGAACATAAACCAAACGATTTCTAGAGACAATGGGTGTATTAGTGGGTCTCTTCCTTTTGCACTTGCTTGTCCAAATGTTGAAATACTTCACTGTTGAGCAGGTTTGGTCGCCTGTGGCGTCACTGATGTTTTGGACTCTTGCCAAGGAGTCCAACGCGTGCATTGTGGTGTTCAGCAGCCTTCATCCTCCTTACCCCTATAGTTATGAACAGCACAACAAACTGTCCCCAGACACTGTCAAATGCTCCCACCTCCGGTGGCTGTGAAGGATGAAGTCACTCTGGATTTAAAAGAATGACATCAGAGCAGGGACTCCAAAGCATCTCATCAACAAAGATCAACAGAAACTACAGCTCATGGATTTTGATGTTTTTGTTTTTAGCTTCCTTTCTTCAAAACACTTTGTTTTTCTCATTTAATTCTTCACTGACTCATAGATCACACAGTAGCGTCATTCTCTTCAAGAAGGTTCTTGATTCTCTTTTTCATTTCTTCAGCTACATTCAGTAGCATATCATTTAACTTCATGGCATTGTTGAGTTTCTATTTTTTCTTCCTGTTGTTGCTTTTGTTTTGTAGCTTTTCACTTGGGGGGATTTATGGTGGTTGTAGTGGAGATTGACATGTCCAGATGTGAGGATACAGTGCAGTGTGCATCTCTACTTCTGGATCAAGGATGGACTCTCAGTGAAACAGTTGGATGTGTCATGACAATGGGAGCTGGACTCTCTGCCATTGCCCATGCCTGCAATGATGGACTTATGACTGCCTATGAGGAACTATACTGTAGTAATGATATGGGGGAACTCAGTAAGAAAGGGGACTTGGGGAGGGGGTAAGGGAAAACTCAGGGCCTATGGAACAGTGTCATAAAATGATACTAATAAAAAATAAAACTCTTCTAAGGTGGCTAAACTGAATGAGGATGACTCAACTTTGCATGTGTTGCTTTTTCTTGGCAACACTGGACACACGCTGTGTTAACTTGTGCTTTCAAATGTCACACTTAATCTTCTGTGTCCTGGTTTTAAAGGTCAGTGTGGGTGACATCGTGAAGGCTTCGAATGGCGAGTTCCTGCCTGCAGACATGCTCCTCATTTCTTCCAGGTGAGTCATGTTCCAGTGTGTGCTTTTACACAATTTTTATTAACGACCTGGCGATTCTTGGAAAATGTAAGGAAACCAAAGGCAGCAGGCGTTTTCCTTTCCTTCACTCTTTTTTTTTTTTTTTGTGGTGGCGTATCTGTTCCGTACAGGGAGATGGTGGAAATGTTCAGCTTTGTGGACCACTTGGTCCCTGTTGCTGCTGCTCAACTCAGCCTTTATCCTGGAAGAATTCCAATAAAACTTTATTTATACAATTACATTATTTCTCTGGCTACGTCTTCTTCTATCATAATCCATCAGCTAATCTCACCTCTTCTGTAATTTCTAGAAACATTCTACTAACCTGAAAAATAATTCAGTGTTCTGATTGTACAGACACATCGACTTACATGGAAATAACATGATTTGCTCAATGTCATTCAGTGAGTTTTGGGGAGGCCCACGTTTTGTAACACAAGCCTCCGTCCTTTTTCTGGAATTGTTTTGTTTCGTGCACTAGTTGTTTTGAAGGATCCTTATACAGAGTTCCTACAGGAACTCATTTGCTGCCTGTTGGGTCTTATTTGCTTCCATATTGGGCCTGCTGAAGAGCTGAGCCTCATCCCCATCATGTTTGCTGTAGGAGTCTGGGACAGTCTTAGTGGTACTTTTCCATGGCTACAACACAGCCGGGGCCACAGCCGCACGGACACATCTCTCAGTCCCAAGATCAAGTAACACACATCTCAGCAGGATCTGAAGGTGTTCCTGGAGTTCTAACCCCATGCTACATAGGATAGAGAGAGATGTGGACGCATTCTGGATCCAGCCTGCAAACTTCCAGAACAGCCTTAATACCTGCACAAGCTCTTCTTTCAGCCGATGCACCTTGGCCTTTTCCGATCAATGCATTCTACCAGCCAGCAAAAGAGCTTAACTGCTGCTGTCTTTCCTTCTTGGATTTGTCTCTGAGTATGAGGTACACAGAGGAGGCCCGGCGTGTATCCTAGGAACACTTCTGTGTATAATCGCCTCATCATTTTTGTGTATGTCTTTCCTTGCTTCTTACTCTCTGCACTGCTTGCATGAGATGCAGTATTTTTGAGGGGAACAAGGGAAAGGTAAGGAAAAGAGATAAAATCATTAACTTATTTTCCCTTAGACAATATGTAGATTCTATTTTCTAAGCAGTTCTCCATGATTCCAGTAAACTCAGTGCCTATTTGAGCTAGCATGAAAGTAAGAACCCTGGAAACCCTGAGTAACCTGAAAGGAACTGTGGAGGGTCACCCTGTGTGAAGGTAAACTTTGTCTCTGCAGGGCTTGGTCAAACCCCAAAGACCTTGAGTTTCTACTTTGATGAGCATAGGGTGCAACATAGCAGAAGTCAAGACCAGGGGCACTCTCACAAGGAGACTGAAAGCCAGAAAAAGGCTGAACTACAAACAAGGCTTTCGAGTGTGGGTCTTCCAGAGAAATGCCCAGCAGATGGCTCCTTGGATATGTGTCTCCTGAGAGCTGAGGCTCTGCTGTGCTCTCTCAGCACTGGGAATGTGGAGAACTTTCCAAAGTCACGGCTGAACGCAGGGGGTGGGAAGAGACCAAGTGGAGTATTATGTATCTTACTGTTTTTGTTTGCTTGTTTTGTTTTCTTAACCAAAATTTGGCTGTTTTTCTAAAATGAAAGATCCCTGCCTTACTTTAAGTCTTTGGTTAATTTTCAGGACCCTAACAGACATTTTGTTTTTTCCTGTCACCTTTCTCACTTTTTTTTTTATTGAGAAGAGTGGGAAGTGGGAAATGGTGGTTTAGAGGGCCTAATTATGTCATAACACTGAACTATTCAATGAAGCTATAGATTTCTAAAAAGAATATTTTAATTTTTTTTTAATTTAGAAAGGCAGAGAAAAGAAGAGTCAGGGAGAAAAATCATTCACTCAATGGTTCACTCTGTAAATAGTCAAAATGGCTAAAGCTGAGCCAGTTCAAAGCCAGGAGCCAGGCACCTCCTCTGGTTTCCCGTGTGAGTATAGGCTTTGGGCCATCCTCTGCTGCTTTCCCAAGCCACAAGCAGCGAGTTAGACCTGATATTGGTCAGCTAGGACATGAACCCGCACCCATGTGGGGTGCCAGCATTAGAAGACAGTAGATTAGCCTGTTGAGCCACTGCACCAGCCCCACTGAGGTTGTATTTTTAATATTAGACTATATGTGAGTCATCATTTGGGGTCCCCTTTATGCACATGGGATGCATTGCAAGGTTGCTAGTGAATGCCTAAAACTACGGATTGTCCTAAATTCTATATGCGCTGTTTTTTTTTTCTGTACATATATGCCTATGATAAAGTTTAATTTATAGGTTAAGCACAATAAAAGACTCACAGTAGTTAATAAAGAATAAAAATCATAACAATACACCAGAATAAAATCTACATCAGTGTGATGCCTACACATGCTATTGTGCTGTGCTCATGCTAGCTGTGATGATGGGAGATGGTTCAGGGCCTGCGTGATGAGAGGACGTGAGGTGAAGGAGGGGGGCATTGAGATGGAGCACTGGAATAACAGTGGGTAGGGTCATCTGACCACCAGCACCACCGAGCTTCGACAACTGCTCTGATAGCCCAGGTTCAGGGATGAAGAGGTGAGCAGCGTGAGGGTAGGTATGCTGGACAAGCGGACAATGCAAATCCCTGTGAGCTGGAAGTTGGACAGCACATGCTTTCATCACACGGCTCAGTTTGGGGTTCACTTTAAAATGTATCAATTGGCTATTTCTGGAATTTTCCACTTAGTGATGTTGGCTTGTAGTTAACTGAGGGTAACTGGAACCAAGGGAAAGTGAAGTCATGAAGAAGAGAGTTGCGCATGTCAGCTAAATTATTAGATTGCTGGGTAAATTAATAGTTTGTTTTACTTTAAAACTAATTTCTCAGTGGAGGAGATACAACCAGCAAGACAAGTCAGACTCAACAGATTTTTAAGGGGAAAATTTTTGTGATTATTTGTTCTTCCAAACAATTAGTGTTTAGAAATAAACTGACATCTGACATGCAACAGAGTCTCACACGCTAAATGTTTGTTAAAGTGGCGTTTAACTCCGTAACTGCTGCTGTTGGATGGAAACAAGAAACCCCAAGTGTAGTTTTTTTTTTTCACACTTGTCTTGAAAAACTACATACTCCTTGCAAAGGCCAGAGAGTGTGAATTGCTGGCAACTGTAATGGAAAATTTCAAGACTTTTTATTTGTGTATTTCCTTGTTATTTGAAAGGCACACACATGCACACACACGGTGGGGGGAAAGCGGCGGGGCGGGGGGAGGAGAGAGAACTTCCTTCCACTGGTTCATTCTCAAATGCCTGCAACAGCCAAGGCGGTCACACAGGAATCATTTCAAGTCTCGCACATGCCAGAGACCCAAGTCTTGGTTCCATCACCTGCTGTCTGCCTGGATGCTGAACCAGAGGGGAAGAGTTGGGAATCGAACCAGGCCCTCCAAGATGGGCCGCAGACACCGCAAGCAGTGTCTGAACTGATACAAATGGGGCCCACTTCAGAAAAGAACCGCATTTTCTATTTCACCTCAGATGCATCTCTGAATTCCAGCATATTTGTCCTCCTGCTGAGGTTACATGACTATAACGGTACATCCTTTTCCACTGAAGCAGCCTTTGAACAAGATGAATTTCAGGCTGGCAGGATCAGACTGCTGCTGTCGCCAGTAGAATGGTTCTTTGGTTATAGTCCTTTCCATTTTGCAGATTGGTTATTCATTTGGGCTACATCTTGTATTTTTTGTTATTGGAAAAATAGTTGCGTGAAGAAGTAACGTTCCGTATTGCTTGTGTTATTTTCCATAGTGAACCTCAGTCAATGTGTTATGTTGCAACATCTAATCTGGATGGAGAGACAAATCTAAAGATACGACAGGTAAAGATAGCTTTTTTAAAAAAAAAAATCCCAACCGTGCACTCAAGCATCCAATGTCAAGTTTTGTTAGGTACCGGTTGTTTTTTCACTAGGAAAATCTGATTGTCACCAGCATTGAATGGGTGTAATTGATCCTCATCAAATATAGACAGAGTACATTGTTATTATTGCTGTTGTTATTGCTGTTATAAAAGGGAACTAGATGAACATGTTACTTTTATCAGGAAAATGTATACGCTATAAATGTTGGATCAAAAGCGATAACACGCTTTTATAGGCATTGTTTCAAACGATTCTCGTCAGTGTTTTGATGGTCAAAGGACTGTCATAGCAACATGCCATAAACGGACTGAGAGGATGAAGGTTATACCATCCTATACTCTGCGGCTTTTGCCATCCTGTATACTACGGCTCTCAACATCCCCGTCTGAGATCAAATGCGACGCATTTCTCGGTGCTGACTTTCAGCTCATCTTCTGTTAACTTCTAGAAGCACATTTGTTTTAGTTCCCTTCACCTTCAACGTTATTTTACAGGCTTTGCCAGATACAGCTGACATGCAAACAGAGAAACAACTGTCAAGTCTATCTGGAAAAATAGAATGTGAAGGGCCTAATTGCCATTTCGACACCTTTGTTGGAACCTTGTACCTACCTGGCAAAAGGTATCATATTTCTCTTTGCAAGCATTTTTTTTTTTTTGTTCTTTCATGGGGACACAGAATGTGGCAATTTTTGTTCTGTCAACTAATAACGTTTTGTAACATTGTACTCATTCCTGTTTTCTTTCGCTGTAATGTACCCTGACATGTTTTTGTAACTGTGAAAAGAGTTCCTAAATTTAAGTGGAAAAGGCATGGCATTTTCTCAATCAGTGCAAATGCTAATCTTGATGGCTGGAGAAGCCAGGGTTCCTATGAACAGAATTACTTAGAATATTCCTTAGAATAAATCAATGGGAAGAATGAGATTTTTAAAAAATGACCAAAAAAGAGCCCTTGGTGATTTGGTCGATGATGATGATGCAGGAACTATCCTTGCTTTTGTTCCCCCATGTGCATACTTTGGAGGAATTTTCCAGACTTTTACGGGAGGATCTGTTGTGTAGTGAGTCACCAGTGCCGGAGGGGAGGAGGCCAACCCAACAAAGCCGGCACTGCCCTGCCTCGCTTGGTGCCTTCCACAGATCAATAAGTCGGCATACAGCTCTTTCTTTGCTCACAGGATCCTCTCTGACAAATTGATTTCTTAGCCACCCTAGGTTTAAGCAATGGTCTTCTCACTCCCTAACTTTTCGTCAGCACATCTCTGCAGTGGTGACAGATGAATACTTCAGCCAATCTTTGTGTTATAGGGAGAGGTACTTTATGAAGGAGTCGTTGTTTTACTGTCATTTGCCCAAAAAGTTAAACTTCAGTAGGGGTAAAAGCTCGTTCTTTCGTTGCACCTTGAGACAAGAGGAAGCTTCTCTGGTACTACATCTGCGCTATCCTTTATTTGTAGCCCTGTTTCAATTGGGCCTGACCAGGTCTTGTTAAGAGGAACCCAACTTAGAAACACTCAGTGGATCGTTGGCATCGTGATTTACGCTGGCTTTGACACCAAATTCATGCAGGTAAAATATGCTGTGATGACAAATGGTACTGCTTTTAGATTTTTTTTTCCTTCTGTTTTTACAGATTTAGCAGGTTTAGTACACATGTGGTATTCAATAAAATCCTGGAAATCCATGTAATGAAGAAATATGCATAAATTTCATTTTTTTTTTTTTTGCACCAAAATGAACTTGCTCTAAAACTTCACTTAATTCCACTTTTCGTGAGCTTTTGGAAACATCCATGTGTATAGCTCCCCCATTAAGATGTGATTTTTTTCTCTCCAAAGTTTTCTGTAAGTTATCTGTCACAAGTACCTTGCCTCTCAGTTATTATTTTTATCTGCCTTCAGTACATATTGTTTTGCCCTAGGATTTTACAAATGTTTGTTGTTTATATGAAGTAGCTGATAGTAAGTCTTTCTTTTTCCTGTTATTGAAAAACAACATTTGGACTTAAACATTTCCTCTGTAAATATCTTGTTAGCCCCCATTTCTTTATTTTTTTATTATTATTTTTAAAGATTTATTTTTATTATTTTTTTATTGGAAAGGCAGATATACAGAGAGGAGAGACAGAGAGGAAGATCTTCCGTCAGATGATTCACTCCCCAAGTGAGCGCAATGGCCGATGCTATGCTGATCCGAAACCAGAAGCCAGGAGTCTCTTCCGGGTCTCCCACGCGGGTCCAGGTTCCCAAAGCTTTGGGCCGTCCTTGACTGCTTTCCCAGGCCACAGGCAGGGAGCTGGAAGGGAAGCGGGGCTGCCAGGGATAGAACCGGCGCCCATATGGGATCCCGGGCATGCAAGGCGAGGACCTTTAACCACTTGCGCCACCGCGCCGGGCCCTAGCCCCCATTTCTTTCCAGATGTCAATTTTGAGAATTTGTGGGGTAGCAAGGAACAGGGTATTTTCCTGTTCCTGAATGCCTTACAGTGTGTGGAGGAAGACAGTCAAGACAGTAGGTTACCTAAAGAAGGAGTGGCAGGTGCAAGATGTCATGGGCGTACATGGGCGCCCCATCCTACAAAACGTTGGCGCTCCCAAGGGAAGGCAACACATAGACTGAAAACTTCAGGCGTGTAGACTAGATGGAACTTAGGAGTGAGGAGGTAAGAAGGGAGGCTGACAGCAGGCCTAGGTTGGCCACAGTGTCCATATTGAAACGTCGTGTGACCGTTTTGGCTCAGGGTCACCGGTGCGTGGAGGAATGCCGTGGTGAGGCTCTTTACTGAGTGCTTGCACTCGTGCCCTTGAGGAGCGGGGCGCAGCTTCTTGCAAAACTGTGGCTGACTCAGTAGAACACGCTGTGCACAGCCTTCTCTCTTGGCCTGTCACTTTCCTTTGCTCCTCACTCTGATGGTCTTGATGCTGCACCCAGCAAGAACGTATTTGACCGTAGATTCTGTCTTCTAATGGACGCAGGCTAAGGTAGCAATATAGCTTCAAGTTTGGTCAGATGTGGCACAAAATATACCTGCACAAAGTGCCAAGGTTAACAACCACTTTTGGGTGTGATCCACTGCAACCTATACTGTCACAGTCTGGGATGCTGTACAGACAGCTCTCCAATGCCACACATTTTGTCTTGCTATTGATTATACACATGACAATAAACCATTCAACTGTGACTTAGAAGCCTGCAGTAGATGAACATAAAGCATCCTATTATCCTATCAGAACACCTGGTTGGCACGGTAGCTCACGCATATATGTACATATTCATATACACATGTATATAAATACGTATATTTATTTATTTATTTATTTAAAGATCCATTTATTTTGTTTGGAAATTCAGATATACAGAGAGGAGGAGAGACAGAGAGGAAGATCTTCTGTCTGATGATTCACTCCCCTAGTGGCTGCAACCGCCAGAGCTGAGCCAATGTGAAGACAGGAGCCAGGAGTTTCTTCCCGGTCTCCCATGTAGAGTACAGGATCCCAAGGCCTTGGGCCATTCTCAACTGCTTTCCCACAAGCAGGGACCTGGATGGGAAGTGGAGCAGCCAGGACATAAATTGGTATCCATATTGGGATCCTGATGCATTCAAGACGAGGACATTAGCTGCTATGCTACTGCACTGGACCCCATTGTTTTTAAAACTAGAAGAAATTCAATAACTATTTATTGTTTGTCTACACGGCTGATCACCTAGTCTTTGGGATATCCACATTTGGTGTTTTTAAAAACTCTGCAACATTGAGGTCAGCTATGTTCATATGTTTTCTAGAGCAATAAGAGCTTCTTAGGCCTGGAGTGGAAAACCATGTCTGCTCATCAGTGCAATGCTCTTGTATTTAAAAAAAAATGCAAAGGTTGTAGTTTCCTTTTTCTAAAAATATGTTTTTATTTTCAAGAAGTAAGCCATAGAGGAAGGAGAGAGAGAAAAGGAGAGAGAGAGAGAGAAAGAGAGGGTACTCCTATTTGCTGTGTTGCTCCCCAAACACCTGTAAGTCAGGAGCAGACCAGGGCCAAAGCCAGGAGCCTGGACCACTGGCCAGCCATCACAGCCATGTGCCAGGTATGGGTGTGCTAGTCTAACATCCCTCATTTTTCTTTCAGATGTTAGACCCTTCTCTTCTTGCCATCAATACGTACATTACAACTTCTTAGGTTTTGTTTTGGTCTTTTTGTGTTTGTGTGTCTGTGTGCTTTTTGTAGAATTCTGTCAAATCGCCCCTCAAGAGATCCAAGGTTGAGAAAGTGACCAACGTGCAGATCCTCGTGCTGTTCATGATGCTGCTGGTCATGGCCTTGATCAGCTTTGTGGGAGGAGTGATATGGAATCAAAGTTACGGTGCAAATATCTGGTACCTAAATAATGGTAAGGAGCTGTCGTTTTCAGAAGTTGTTCTACTTTTAAAAGTGACATTAGGAACTTGATTTTATGATTTTGCTTACAGGTCAAGGCAATTATTTCTAATTGCATTGCAAACAAAATGTTATTTTCCTAAGATTTTTGAAATTTGCTTTGAATTGGCAAAAATTGTATATACTTATAAGGTACAGTGGGATGTTTTATTGGACACATATATACCATGAATGATATATCTAATCAAGCCATCACCTCCCTTTTTATTTTCAATTTTACTTCTTCTTATTTTTGTTTTTTTGTTTGTTTTGTTTTGTTTTTGTCTGAGCATGTGGATTATCTGCTCTTTTATCAAATAGCACCCTATGAGCTTTCTTCAAATCCTCTGATAATAGATTTTTATTGGTTCAGGCCTCAAAAGTGTAATTGATGCAGTGATTAATATGAATTGGTGCAGTGCCTAAAAAAGTGTTAGGTCATCTTACAGGCCTCTTCCTGGTCCTATTGTAGGCTGATTTCTTGTCCTGTGTTCAAGAATGCTGCAAAGCTAAATTGCCTCTGGAGCCCAAAGACCACCAAGATCAGTTTATGCCCTAGTGGGTAGGACCAAATCTCACTTTGCTATGGTCCATCTGTTATTGAGGTGGGCTCACTAACTGATACAGTATCTGTCCTCTCCTGGTGATGTTGGCTAGTGTAGAATTCAGCTCAAACAGGGCAGATGAACCCCTCTTGGAGATTGAATAAGGTCCAGAGGTCCTGCTACCTTGGCCTGGGGTCAGGGACCATTAGGATTTATGTAGTGTTGGGCTTCAGCAGCCTGGCACTGGGTCACAAAACAGTCCTGGGATTCTTTGCTATCTGCCAAAGATTGTGGCAGAGGTGATGGGGTCAGCTCCACAGCTTATCATGGAGGACCAAAGTGGATCACAGCTGATTTCCACCATAACGTGGTCCTGTGTGATTTTTTTTTTATTATTATTTTTATTGGAAAGGCGGATATACAGAGAGGAGAGACAGAGAGGAAGATCTTCCGTCCGATGATTCACTCCCCAAGTGAGCGCATCGGCCAGTGCTATGCCGATCCGAAGCCAGGAGTCTCTTCCGGGTCTCCCACGCGGGTGCAGGGTCCCAAAGCTTTGGGCAGTCCTCGACTGCTTTCCCAGGCCACAGGCAGGGAGCTGGAAGGGAAGCGGGGCTGCTGGGATTAGAACCGGCGCCCATATGGGATCCCGGGCGTGCAAGGCGAGGACCTTTAACCACTTGCGCCACCGCGCCGGGCCCAGTCCTGTGTGATTTTAAGAGTGCACACGAGGCCTGTAAGAGACTGGGAATGATGCACACCAAAAAGACTCTCCCTCGCCTACATATGTGTCTTCAGGTGACACTCCATCTCCAGGCGCTGGCCTAGGGATGGGCTGTACTAACCCAACACTGGTTTCTGAGACACAGCCCCTTGGCTCCTTGTTGGCTACAAAAGGTAAATGCAGCCCCTATTCCTTACCCTGCTAGCAGTCCAGACTGAACCCAGATTAGACATGCCTGGATCCTATACTCTGATTCCTAGGAAGTCTTGAGGGTATCTTCCAAGCCCAGCAGATGCTAGCAGTAACACATGGCAAAAAAAAAAAAAAACCCAAACCAAACCCAAACCAAAACAAAAAACTAAACTTGCTGAGAAGCAGGTTTCTGCCCAATGCCGGGCAAGGGCAAAAGCTCTGTCTGTGAATGAGGGCTGGTTGGTGAGGGAGCAGACTTTGGGTTTTACAAGGTGCTGGGTCTCTGTGCAATAGGGTGAATTCCTTGTTTCAGGCAGAACTCCTAAGCTCTCCCTCCTGGCTTGTCTGTTTAGCTGGAGATTCGCTTTTTGCCCATGTTTGCCAGGGGTGAAGGAGGGAAAGGTAACAAGGACCTTAGGCTGTGGAATTTCCAAATATTCACTCCACGTTTGGGCCAGGGGCAAAGGTCTGAGAAAATCAGTCCAACTTGAATGTTTTTTTTTTTCTGCAGTAGGTCGAGCACAAAGACTCAGTTCCCTCTCCCTCCCCCAAGCAGCACTAGACTTCTCTCTGTGCCACTCTTCCAGGAGCTTGGGGAGGGCTGACACAGGGCTTCTCTTCTGAGGAGTGTAGCAAGATTTGGTATTATGATTTCTCACTTGTCTTCCACAACTCTTGCGAAGGTGACTTAAATAGTTGGATTGGTGAAGGTGTGTGCAGCCATTCACATGTGGGATGGGCATTCTCTGTAAGGAGGTGGTTGGCTCAGCCATCACCTCCTAAACCTTTCTCTTAATTCTATTTTCCACGGAGTGTTTGGACTACCCTCCTAGATGCTTAGTTTCCTGTATCTCTGACTTTGCATGTTATTCCCAAGGAGAAGTCCTCTTCATTCCCTTCCCCTCATCTCCTGAGGTTTGCAAATTCCCTCTTCAAACGTTGCTCACTTCCTTTTCTGAAAGCCCCTTCTGGGTTTGTGTGGCATGACCTTGTGTGGGTGCTGTGTTGGCTGAGTCAGCTTATGTTCTCAAGCTGTGCCAGCCCCGAGCTTCCTTGGGCAGGGTCTGTGTCTTCCTCAATATTGAACCTCATTGCTCCTTTTTACATAGCTTGTATTTAGCAAGTGCATATTGTAAAGCATGTAGATTTGTGTCCATTTTCAATGGAGAAAAGCCACGCCTCTTTTACCCGTTTTTAATTTATTTGAAAAACAGAGACTGAGGTCTCCCACCCCACTGGTTCGCTTCCCCAAATGCCTGCCACAGCCAAGGATGACCAGGCTGAAGTAGGAGGCAAGAACTCAAATTGGCTTGCTCACATCGGTGGCAGGGACTCAAGTTTCTGAAATCACCCACTTGAATCAGTGGCAAGGCTAAGATTCTAACATAGACAGTCACACAGGGCATGGGCATCCCATGATGGTGCCAAGGCGACGCCTGAAACCGTGACGTGGGTCTTCTGATTTTCTCCCACAGACATCAACGCCCACAGCTTTGCTTTGGACATTTTGGTGTTCATCATCCTGTACCACAACCTCATTCCCATCAGTCTGCTGGTGACTCTGGAAATTGTGAAACTTATTCAGGCCCTGTTCATAAACTGGGTGAGTAGTAAAATCAGAAATTCAGAAACAAGTTTACTCCCAAGCCATTGCTTTTTGTTGTTGTTGCTAAAAACACAATTCTGATGTGTTTTTTTTTTCTCCCCCCTTGAAAGTAGAAAAATAGAATGATAGAGGAAGAAAGAGCTCCCTTGTATTAATTCACTCCCCAAATATCCATAACAGCTGGAGCTGGGTCAGGCTGGAGCCAGGAGCCAGCTCAGTCTGAGCGTTCCCAGTGGATGACAGGGACTCCCTCCCAGGGCTTGCATCTATAGAAACCTGGACTTAGGAGCAAAGCTAGGACGCAATGCCAGGCTCCAATGTGAAGCTCAGTGGTCCTGAGGGGTGTCTCAACTGCCGCACAGCAGTGCTTTGAAAGCTGTTCTCAGTTTTCACAAGAAGGCTGGAAGATCTGTGCTCTGTTCCTATTTCGTGGATGGAGTCACCGAGAAGCACAAGTGTTCACTGCTGAAGATCTCAGCTTTGCAAAAGTAGAGCCAAGTTTTCTTTCTTTTTTTAAATTAAATTTCAAAAAAGATTTATTTGATCTGAAAAGCATATTTTACAGAGAGAAGGAGAGATACAGGGATTGGAAGTGGAACAGCTAGGGTATGAATTGGAACCCATATGGGATGCTAGCAACACAAGCTGGACCCAGAAAGTCAAATCAGGTTGTCTAATTCCAGATTATCAACACATCAACATTTCTCTTCTCTTCTTTTCTTTTCTTTTCTTTTTTTTCTTCTCTTTTCTTCTCTCTCTCTCCTCTTTAACATTTACTTACTCTATTTTAAAGGCAGAGTTGAGAGAGAGAGATTCTTTCATTCATTGGTTTTACATCCCCAGATTACCTCAATTAACAGGGTTGGGCCAAGCAGAAACCAGGAACCAGGATCTTCATCCAGCTCCACACAGATGGCAGGAGCCCAAGCACTTGGGCCATTTTCCACTGCTTTCCCAGTCCTATCAGGAGGGTGCAGAATCAGAAATGGAGCAGCTGGGACTTAAACCATTGCCCATATGGTTTGGCAGGGTCGCAGGCGGCAGCTTAGTCAGTTAGGCCCCAACACTGACCCCTCTAAATTTCTTTCTACACATTACTACTTCTGTATAAAGTCTTCTAAAATAAAAGAGAAACTAGCATGTATTGTTTCAATCCAAGTATTCTGTAGTCTCCATTACAAGTTCTTCATAAACTTTAGTCATGAAGAAAGATCAGTTGCCTTTTTGCAATGATATTGAGCCTTGTTTTGAACCTGGTTTGGGTCGTATTTTTCATTTTTTTCAGGATGAAGATATGCATTATAAAGTAAATGATGTCTATGCCGTGGCTAGAACATCCAATCTTAATGAAGAGCTTGGGCAGGTGAGCGCCTCTGTGGGAACTGGACAATATCAGAGGTACTTAAGAAGGCTCTAGTGCAGCATGTGCTGGTTAACCTGCCAAAGTCCACCATGGGAGGTAGTTTAAATCAACATACAGGAAATCTTGTAGGAATGTAAAGACATTCTTTATTCAAAATATTGATAATGCACATCTTGGATAACAAAACATGGGTACTTGATAATACTGCATCATGGGTATTTGGTAATACTAAATCACAGGTAATAATATTGCATCATGGATAATAATATTGAAATATGGGGTAATGGTATTGCATCATGCATAATAATACTGCGTCATGTTAAATAGAACAGGTGTATTAACGGCTGTGTGCTTAGCAGGAGTGAAACACAGAAAAACTTGCTGCTGGCTCTTAGGTTTCCAGTTAGTTCAGGGATATGAATTTGCTGGTGGAGCCTTCGCTTCCTCCTACCCTGCATCTCTGGGGAATTTTAGAGACTGCTACAAAGTGTAACACCTACCAAATTCATATTTTCTTATAGCTACCAGAAGAGCAATAGTTAAGTATCTAGTTTTTAAAGACAAATCCTGACTTGAGTGTTGTCTAGTTCCACCCATTTTTCTGTAAATGATAGGATTTCCTCATCTTCCTCCTCTTTTTCCTCCTCCTCCTCTTCTTCTTCTTAACAGATGAATAACCGTGTGTGTGAGGGCATTACATTTTCTTTATGCATTCATATGATGATGGACATCTTGGTTGATTCCAAATCTTGGGCATATGGACAGTGCTACTATAAGCATGGTGACATAGGTATCTTTTTGATACAATGTCCTTTGGGCATGCGTATAAGAGTGGAAATTCTTGGTTGTATGGAAGTTGTACTTCTAGCTTTAAAAAAAACATTTCCATACTGGTTGCCACAGTGGCTTCACTAAGTTGCATTCTCATCAACAGTGTGTCAGATTCCTTTTTGAACTCTTGCACTGTTGTTACTCTCTGTCTTGGATAATATCCATTCTCACAGGGGTAAGGTGATGCAAATGATCTAGCATTGTTGTTTTGGGTTTTCCTAATAACTAGGGGTGTTGGGCATTTTTTGCATATATTTATTGTCCATTTGTATTTCTTCTTTTGAGAAATGTCTATTCAGATCTTTTCCTTTTTCCTAACTGACTTGTTCTGGTTTTTTTTTGTTGTTGTTGTTTATTTTTATTGTGTTTGATAATATTTTGGATATTGCTCTGTCAGGTAAGTGAATTGCAATATTTTTTCCCATTCTGTTTTTATGCCTTCACTCCATTGATCATTTCTTTTGTTGTACAGAAGTCACAAGTTTGGTATAATCATTTGTTTTGCTTTTTTTTGTCTGCTTAGCTGGGGGGGGGGGTAAGGGTTGGATCTTATTCCAAAAAAAAATCATTAATAAACCAATATTGTGAAGCATTTCCCCTGTTTTCTCCCAGCAACTTCACAGTTTCAGGTGTTACGTGGAAATTGAAAGTGAAAGGATGGAAAAAGATAGTCCAGGCTAATGGTATAGCCATTTTTATATCAAATAAATATAGACTTTGATGTGAAAAGGTCACCACATAATGATCAAAGAACTTCCTTCCACAAGAAGAGATCACCTTGCCAGTTTCTTCTGATGTTTTCTTTTTCATCTTTAATTATACTAAGTTTTTCTCTCTTGTTTTGATATCCAGATGTGAGGATACAATGCAGTATTCATCCCTAATTCCAAATCAGAGATGGACTCCCAATGAAACTGTAAAATGTGATTTAACAATATGCTGCTGGACTCTCTTCCATTGTCCATCCCTACAGTGTCAGGATACACTTAAATAGCAGAATGATGGACTTATGACTGCTTATGAAGGACTATGTTGTTGAAATAATGTAGAGGGAGTCACTCAGGGTGTGGAGAGGGGGAATCCCAGAGCCTATGGAGCTGTCATAAGACAATAAAATAAATAAACAATTTTTAAAAGTCACACTTAAACCCATTTCAAAATAAAATACAATGAAACACAAACAGAAATCTGTGGGTTACATGTGAATGGGTTAATGTGAGCTCTGCATTCTGCCCGTGGGTCAATGGACAGTTTCAATGCCAATGTTATGCTCATTTAATTACTATGGCTTTATAGAATGTTCTGAAATCAGGCATGGTGATTCTTGTAGGTTTTTTTTGTGTGTGTGTGTGTCATATGAATTTTAACTTTTCCTTTTTGTATAAGTGTCATTGGCATTTTGATAGGGATTGTGTTGAATGCATATATATATATATATATGGGAGTATATATATGGGAGCATATATATATATATATATAGGCATCAGGGACTTAACATTATTTTAGTTTTTTATTCCGACAATTTCATCAACTGATTTCTTTTGAACTTTTCCCCACTCTTTCTTTTGATTAAAGCACATGTTTCTTTTATTTTCAGTTTTTAAAAATATTTTATACTGAATCAATTTGATACATTTTTCTCCTGCTTACAGCTTTGTCTGAATTCTGTATGCTTTGCTAGGAAGAATTCTTTTTTGTTTCCTACGTAATTTGTCTCCTCCAGTCTGATTTTCCTTTGACCAAAATTCCATCTTTTTCTTCTCAATGGAAGTTTTTGGTCTATTTTATAATCCTAATTTTTAATTTTATTGAGTTTTGATGAGGAAATATGATTTATAAAAACTTGTATCTTGACTATTTTGTCTATGGTTTATTTGTGGTCAATTAAGCATTAAGTCGGTGACTATCATGTGACTCTGCATGTTTCTTTTTTCTTTGATAGGTCAAATACTTATTTTCTGATAAAACAGGAACACTTACTTGCAATATTATGACATTTAAGAAGTGTACCATTGCAGGTATAATGTATGGGTAAGTGTTTCTACTCCCATCCTCAAGGAAATTTTCACTAGTTTGGTCTTAAAATGAGTTCACTTTTATTTGCTTCAAGGCTTACCTAACTCTGAATGGGACCGAAAGTTAATAGAGCCTGTCTGAAAATGCATAGTTGTTTTAAATACGGCAATGTGCTTTTGTGCCTGCCTGGGGTACTTGAGGGATTCTGTTGGCAGGCTTGTAACAGCTATGTGTCCTTCTTGTTTCCCTGTAGAGATTCAGAGCCGAGCGATGTCATCACAGAAGAGAACAGGTAGACAGCCTTCTGGGCCTCTTTGCCTCTGTTGGGATCCCTGCAACCTCCTTGGAGTCAGCCTGGCAGACTACAGAGCCTTGTGCAGCCCTCTGAAGGCAGTTTCCAGAACATTTCTCTTGACAGATTTTCCCTCTGTGGTAGTGAAAGAACCTAGGATCCAGGCTTTTACTTACTGCTTTTTTAGTTGCTGCAAATTCCTCAGAGTAACACAATTTTTAGCACCATCCAGTTCCCTTTTGCAGGCCCAGGCTTGATGGGACGTACAAGGACAGCCCTGTAAATATTGGTGACAGTTACGCTTTTTTTTTTTTTTAAGCATAGAAACTTTATTTAGTGGAAAGGCAGAATGGCAGAGGAAGGGTGAGACTGAGAGCATCCATCCGCTGGGTTGGTTTCCTAAACGACCGTGAAGACTAAGGCTAGGCCAGGTAAAAATCAGGAGCCTGAAATTCCACCCGAATCTCCCACGTGGCTGGCAGTGAGTCATCTGCCACTTTCCCGGGTGCATTAGTGGGGAACTGCACTGGAAATGGAGCCACCAGGCCCTGAAGTAGGGGCTGCAGGCGGCAGCTTCACTTTCCCAATACTGGCCCCTCTGTGACTCTTCAGGGAAGATCCTCCTGAAAACAGAACATGGTGCTTAGTGTTGACTTTAAGTTCTTTTGTTTAGTGGTGCATGCCATGAGGGACTTTTTGTTGAAAGTGATCTTTTTTACTCTTATAGTCAGTCACCTCCCACCACAGACACCTGTGAATTCAATGACCCCAGCTTACTGGAGAATTTAAAGAACGGCCATGTGAGTGCGGTATTTCCATTCTAATTAATGAAGTGCTAAACTGATCAACTGAGTGAATTTAAATTATGCAAGATATTTTATTATGCAGCCACCAGTTGAGTCTGTCCATCTGTTTTTAAACTATTTGGCTTTGTTGCATTGCGTTCTGCGAATCTCTATATTCGTCTATTGCAAGGGATTGATCTATTTGGTTTGAGATGATGGTCTCCTAAAAATTTAAATGTTTGATCATTTGAAACATTGACAAAGAGAAGGAATATTAAACTCACACTTAATCCAGAAGCTTCAGATGTACTAATTGTGTCTCCGCTTGGGCCCTTCGAGTAGACCCTTCTGTATGACGGTTGCATGCCACTGTCACCATCAGCATTCAGACGACTAACTAACCTCCTTACTCAGATCTTTAAGGGTCATCTGCCCATATACAGTATAAAATATTGTCCCCACCCTCCCTTCCACCGGTCGCTGGCACATGACAGCAGTTTTGGAAAATCTCTCCTGCTCAGCAAGGATAGAGCGTAACCACAGAACCAGCACCATTGGAATGAATGAATGGCCTTCTGCTGGCATTCACCTTTGTGTGTACTTGGGGTCAAACTTCAGTTGTTATAAATTGTACACAGCTTGCTGGCCTGAGAGGAAACCCACTAATTCTGTGTCTGTTTTTCAGCCCACAGAAGACTATATAAGGGAATTTCTCACCCTGCTGAGTGTGTGCCACACCGTTTTTCCAGAGAGTGATGGAGATAATATCATCTACCAAGCTTCCTCTCCAGGTAGGTGTTCTTTGCAAGTGAAGCACAGGTGTCAAAACCGTGAAAAGAGTTCACGCTGCTGCTGGCTGCCTTGATTGTTCCTGTTGGTCCTTCCTGGGACAGCTCATGGGCTGGGGGCATTCATGGGGTCCAGAGCAGCTCTGAGCTGCTTGGGTGTTCTGAGGCTCCATGTTGTCCACCCTCACTGCACCCTCAAGGCTCTAGTGGGCTCTTACGAGCCCAAGGTCAAGGAGTGTGCTTAGATTTAATAAGTAGCAAAGCAGAGGTAAGTTGAAGGCCCTGCAGCATCTAATGGAAAGGCTGTTAAACGTCTAGGGAGCAAACAAGATCATGAATAATGAAAAAGTATGAAAACCCAACCCAAAGAGGCCTTATTTAACAAAATGTCTTATTTCATGAAAGCAGTTCAATACAGAGAAGGACAATGGAGCGCTTTTGGATCAAAAAAGCAAGATTGCTTTTCTTTTGTTTTTTTTAATGACATTTTTGTGCTGGAGAATGGAGATCTGTGTCAAATTTAGTGTTGATATAGTTGCTTACTCTCTTTTCATCTTTTTGTTTTTTTTTTTTTTTAATTGACAGATGAAGCCGCTTTAGTGAAAGGAGCAAAACATCTTGGCTATGTGTTCACTGCCAGAACGCCATACTCGGTGACCATCGATGCTGTGAGTACGACCCTGAGTAGTTCTCAGTACTTTGCAGCATCTCGCTTTTCCAGAGACGTGCACATGGAGCCCCCGGGGGCGAGGTGCTGGAGAGTCCTGCCTGGCCCCATGGAGCTCCGCGGGCGAGATGCTGGAGAGTCCTGCCTGGCCCTTCCCTCCCAGCCGCTGTCCTCGGGCGCCTCCCTCCTCTGCTCTGGGTTCTCCCCAGCTTTGTGATGATCTCATGGATCCAAGAGTCCTTGTGAAAATCTGAGAAGTTCACCTAGTAAAGTTATTGGAACAAGTGCCTGCCACGCAGAAAATCCACCAAGTGAGCAACTGCGGAGTTAGAATGATCAGACCTCCCAGAAACCAGCTGTGCTTTCCTGATGAGGCACTAACTGGGTGCAAATGCCTCTTGGGTGCATGCTGCTCTTCCATTGATTTGTCATTTCATTGCATACATGCCTGTGGCCTGTGGCTTGCGATAACTGTTTGCCACAAGCCTTTATTAATGGGCAGTGACCATGGCATTGGGAATGATGAATTCATTCTTATAGCCAGACCATCCGGCCAATAGAAATTCTCAAATTATTTGAAATTCTATAGTGCCTTTTATTGGTAACACTAGGAACCTGTGGATTCAGAGATAAATTGATCTTGGCAGCAGGAAGTCAAGAGGCTATACTGGAAAAATTTAGAAAACATTATGTCATTTCTTTGAAACCTTTTCTATAACATGGCACTTCCCTCTGTTCACCTCCTCACACTGTCTGAGCATTAAACGCTTCACTTGACTTTTGCAATAAAAAAGGTTTATTAATTTTTATCGGAAAGGTAAATCAAATTTACAGAGAAAAGGAGAAACACAGGGAAAGATCTTTTGTCTGCCGGTCATTCCCCAAATGTCCACAAAAGCCAGAGCTGAGCCAAGCTGAAGCCAGGAACTTCTTCTAAGTCTCCCACACGGGTGCAGGGTCCCAAGGCTTTGGGCCGTCCTCAATTGCTTTCCCAGGCCATCAGCAGGGAGCAGGATGGAAAGTAGAATAGTCAGGACTTGCACCGGTGCCTATATGGGATCTCCGTGCTTGCAAGGTGAGGAGTTAGCTATTGTGCCAAACCTGATCTTTGCAATTTAGAAAAAAAAAACCCACATTTATTTGTCCTCCAGTTGCCATGTGCTGATTGTCTCATTAACTGCATGTACTCTTGCCCCCTAAGACTAGTTATAAACTGTTTCTGAGAGTGCTGGTGGAGAAGGAAACAGAGGTGCCTCCTTCCTAAACAGCTGCCGCTGTTAGAAACGTGGATGCTCTTAACATTGCCTAGTGGCAGAGAACAGTCCTACCAGACGAGGGCGCCATCATCTCATCAGACGTGCAAGAATACTTTGATTTTGGGGAAAAAAACAAACTGTGAAATTCTTTCTTGGGCGATTGGATTGTTTGGCGAGACAATCGCCCTCTTCCTCAGCTGAGACCATGTCGTTTTGTCTCTCTGCAGATGGGTCAGAAGTGCATTTTCAAAATCCTTAATATCCTGGAATTTTCTAGGTAAGCCACCCCCTCCTCTGAGAGGACACCCTGCTTCTGTCCTTCAGCAGTCATTGCCATGAATCTTGAGCTCCCGCTCAGAGCCTCATCATTCTTTTCCTGAATAGCCTTCACCCTGAAAAGAAACAACATCTATTTTGTTAGAAGGGCTGGAGACTGTGAGAGAACACAGGATCCGCAGCTAACTCGGTACATTGATGTATGCAGCACAAACGCAGACTGTGGCTGCCCACCCCCCTAGAAAAATGCGTGTTCCACTGAAGTGATCTTTTCAACATCCCTGAGTTAATCATTGAAAGAATCAAATTGTTACTGATGTAATGTTGGGGCTTTTAATTGATTGGGATGATACTCTGTCGGCTCTACCTTCAGACCAGAGATGGTCTCCCCAAGAAACCGTTGAACTTATCTGGACAATAAGATGCTGGACTATGCTTTGTAGATGCTTGCAATGAAAGAATCTCAACTGAATTTGAACTGTGGTAATGCAACAAGGTGGAGGAATCCACCAGGCAAGAGGGGTTTGGAGAGAGGAGGAGGGAATCCCAGTGCCTATAAAACTGTGTCACATAATGCAATGTAATCAATTAAAAAAAAAGAAGAAAAGATAAAAAAGAAAGAATCAGGTTAAATCAAGGTCTGGGGTGTTTCCAACTAAGGGATGCTTCCAACGGTGAGAGAGAAGCTGGAGAATATTAATAAGACATATAGTAGCTGCTTCATGGGGATAGAACACACCTTCTACAGCTATGGACATTTCTGAGCATCTTTCACCTGCCAGCCACCTGTTCTGGAACTTGAGTGGCATGGACCGATTTCTGTCTGTAAGATTTCTGCTCTAGTGGAGGGAGGCCAATATCACACAGGCGAGAAAGCTTGCTAACACGTAATGCAGTCGTGCTGAGTGCTGGAAAGAACATCAGACACGGAGACATGACCGAGACAGCCATGCTGCGGGTAGCAGAGCTTGTGCTAGGTGGCCAGCCTTGCCCAGTGGGTGGGAGTTGGGTGGCAGCCCTGGGAAGACAGAGAGGAAGTGAATTCCAGACAGCAGCAACCAGCACTGGGATGAGTTGGTCGTGATTGTGGACGGAGGTGGTGGGCAGCAGCAGATGGACCGTGTGAATCTCACGTCAGGATTGTCAGAATCTTCAAGGAATTCAGTTTTTCCTTAATGTGCCACAGTCATTACGTTTTCAAATTGGGCACTGTCATCTATTGAACTTTTGAGAAATCACTCTTTTCCTGACTACGATGAAATGAAGCTAGACATGAACCACTTAAGAAACTTTAGAAAATCTTTAAACACATGGACAATAAATAGCATGATCCTGAATGAACGGATAAGAACAGACAATACACTTGATCTTACCAAAAGGCCGAGGAGCGATCCCGGATGAATAGATTATAGTAATTAGTGCCTCAGGAACAAGTTGGAAGGATTCAAGTAAATGACCTAACAATGCATCTCAACTACCTTGAAAAGCAAGAACAAATAAAACCCCAAATTAGTAGGAAGAAACAATTTAGAAAAGAAACAAATTTCAAATGAAAAAGATACATATCAGTGAAATGAAGAGTTGGTTTTTTGAAAACATAAACAAAATTGATACTTGATTGATGCAGTTAACCAAAAAAAGAAGTTCCAAATTAATAAAATCAGATAAACAGACACTAGATAGATTTCACAGAAATAAAAAGGGTCATGAGTAATCACTACAAACAGCTATATGCCAACAAACTGGAAAATATAGATGAAATGGATAGATTTCTAGACACATGCAATCTACCAAAATTAAGTCATGCAGTCATAGCAAGACTTGTACATTGCTGGGAGAGAAGCAGGTATCCTGCGCCTGGTTAATGCCAAATTTGGGTTAACTACACCAGTGTGCGAGCATAGTTTCCTATTTTTTTAAAGATATGTGGCAAGAACAGATGCCCACACTCCAGCAAGCAGTGCCTGGGAACTGATGTGCGCCTGTTTGTGGGCCCTGAGTAGGCAGGCAGGGGCCCATCTGGCATGGCACACTGCAGGAGGACTAGATGCTAGTGGGCTTGGGGGGCTGTGGATTGCTCAGGGAAGTGGTCTGGTGATGTGTGGAAGGGATGACTGCTGAGGGAGAATGTGATAGGTTAGGAGTGACTTCTGGGGGATGTCCACCAACCAGGCTCCTACACTTGCAGGCAAATGAGGGGCTGAGACTGGGTGGTTTAGGGGAAGGAAACCAGAGGATCTTCTGAGGCCATAGCAATACACCCACCCACGTGGGAGACCTAAGCTGGGCTAATTGGTACTAACTAACACCTGCTGGTGCATACAAAATTCATGGCTAGGGCTAGAGGGTCAACCACAGTACCCACCAGTGAGTGTCAGAGTAGAGGGTGTACCGTGTTGGGCTAGGCCATGGACACCAACTAACTCATGAGAGAACTGGGTCTGGTAGCAGATTCCTTGGGGGATTGTGGGCTCACACCTGTGGGACTGTTATAAGAGCTTGTTTGCTTAAGGGCTGGGGTGGTGATGGGCTGAGCTAGGCATGACCGTGGACCTTACTAATACTCATGAAGGGCACTAGGTTTGGGAACAGATTGGGCTGATCTGAGCTCAGGCTCACCCAAGAATTGGGTAGGGGTAGACTGTGTTAAAACATCCACCAACACACACAAGAGCTGACTGTGGTGGGTAAGGGCCTAGCACTCGCTAACATGTATGAGATCTGGGTCTTGGAGTAGGCCTGATGGGGAATCTTGGGGAAACTCCACCACTCCTGGTAGACCACCCTGCTGTTGGTGAGCATGTGAATCAGGACAGGATGCTGGTCAGGCCAGGCAGGGATATTTCACTTGTCATCAAGTGTGTGGGTTGGCTCTGGGGAGGTGGACCTGTCAGGGCAAGGCCAAACTACAGTACACTGGTATGCATGGGAGCAAGGATGAAGAGCAGGCTCTGCTGGTCTAACCTAGACTATCACACCTACCAGTTGGCATGAAAGCCAGAGATGGGGGCAGGCTAGGCAGTGCTAGGCTGCAGCAGCCACTAGTGAGAGTTAGGGGCAGGCCAGGCCAGGTCAGGCTACAGCATCTGATGGCAAAGACACAGGGGATGAATTATGCCAGGCTGGGTTAGAGCAACCACTGGCATGTGTAAGATCTGTAACTGGGAGCAAGCCTGGTTTGGGGAGCTAAGGGGACACCCTGGCTGGGCTGTGGCTCCCACTGGTGAGCACGAGGGCCAGAATTGGGGTAGTGAACTGGTTACATTGCTGCTGTGTTCCTCAGCATGGGTGTGGAGTGGTCTAGGGTGTGCCAGACTGGCTGGGCTACGTATCTGTACCTGCTAAACAGTGTGAGAGCTGGGTCTGGGGGTGGACCAGACAGGACTTGAGCCAGAATAGGTGTGAGCTTGTCAGGAAAGGCTGCTGTACCTGGCAGGACAGGAGGTGGGCTTGTCAGACTGGGCCAAGAACCCATCAGTGTGTACAGAATCTGCTACTGGGAGGTGACGAGATTGCTAAAGCAATCTTAAGCAAGAAAAACAAAGCTGGAGATGTTACAAAACCAAATTTCAAGACATGTTACAATGGAAATATCCTGGTACTGGCACAGAAATAAACATGTAAACCAATTTAACAGAATAGAAACCCCAGAAACCTATCCACACATCTACAATCAATGAGCTTTGACAGACAAAGCTAAATCAGCCCTGGGAGAAAAAAGTAGTCTTTTCTACCAATGATGCCAGGAAAATTGGATCTCCACATGTAAAAGTATGAAACAAGACCTTACACCTTATACAAAAATAAACACAAAAATAATCGAGGGTCTAAATCAATATCCTTATACCATCAAGCTACTGGAGAACAACATTGGGGAAGGTCTGTAAGACATTGGCATCAAGTGAAAAAGCAACTGACAGAAGGAGAGAAAAAATATCTACAGATATGCAACCTTAGAGAATCAATATCCAGGATCTATCAAGAGCTCAAGAAACTAAAAACAGAACAAACAATTCAGTCAGGAAATGGACAAAGAACATGCATAGGCATTTTTTTTTTCAAATAATGAAGTTAAAATGAGCAGCAGACATGAAAAAATGATGGCAATATCACTTGCCATCAGGGAAATGCAAATAAAAACCACAATGAGGTTTCACCTGACCACTGATAGAGTCACTGCCACCCAAAAATAAAACAGCAAAAGAAATGCTTGCATGCATGTGAGGGAAAAGTTGCCCTAAGTCGATGTTGGTGGTAATGTAAACTAGCAAAATCATTGTGAGAAACAGGATGGAGATTCCTCAGAGATCTGAAACATACGTACCATATGACCCAGCCTTGAAACTGCGCAGGTGCAATCAGCATACGGAAGAACTGTGTTTACTCTCATGTTGACTGCAACTCAAATCACAAAAACTGAGATATGAAATCAACTCAGATGACCATCACTGATGCCTGGACAATGTAGGGCACAAACACTGTGGGATACTACTTGGCCATAAAGAATAAAATCCTATATTGCTACAAAATGGATGCAACTGAAACCATTATGCTTGGTGAAACAAGTCATTCTTCAAGAGACAAATATATGTTTTCTCTGTCATGGGATAGTTAATTCAGACCAGGCCAAAAAATGTTTAAAACTCGAATTATAACTCTAGAATATGGTTGTTGTCTTTAGCGCTTGTTTATACTCCTGTAAAACTGTGTTCTTTGTACTTCTTTTTTGTTGAAAATTATCATTAATTTAAATTAAGCCTGAAATTAAACAGTGGGTTGAAATTATATCTTTGCAAAAATTAAAGAAAAAAAAAAAAGAAAAGTAGGAAGAAGATTGAGAAAGGGAGAGGGGACACTGAGGGAAGTATGATTCCCTTCTTGGAATTTCAGCTAACAAGTAATGAAATCTATTTTCTTTATGGCAGTAAGTTTTTTAAAAGAATTGTCAGCTCAGCACAATGAATTCCTTTGACTTTGATGAACTGTTTAAATGTGTGTGTGTATGTTTTGATAGCATGTGCAAATGTAACTAATGATGTTTTTCACATTGTTCTAGTAATAGAAAAAGAATGTCCATCATTGTCCGGACTCCGATGGGACAGCTCCGGCTCTACTGCAAAGGGGCCGTAAGTACTGAGAGTCAGAGTTCATATTCACTCCTAGTCATTGGTCCAGCAACTCAGAGGAAATCTACAATTTCACAGTTCTAAAACTATTCTTGACTTCTTTGAAAGGCTGGGGGAAGGAAGGAAAGTAAAAGGGAGGAAATGGAAGAGAGAGAGAGAGCAAGAGCTGGCTTTTATCTACAAGTTCACTCCTCAAACGGCTATAGTGGCTCTGGCTGGGAGGGCCTAAATCCTGCAACTGCACCCCAGTCCGCCACATGGAATTTCAAATACTATTAAAGCTTGAAAAATCCATTGTAAAAGGGAGTCAACAGTCAACCAACCCCCTGTGAGATTTGATGGAAGGGAGAGGTTTCTTGCTTTATTTTTCAATTTCCTCATAATATTATGTCAAACAGCTAACTTGCAGCTGTATGTTTTTTTTGGTGAGATATCTGTTTGCATTTCTTGTTTTTTTATAACTGCCATTTTAAAATTAGTTCGGCTTCTTATTGTCGACTTGTAAAAATTCTTTGCATATTTTGGAGAGCAGCCTTATCACATATGTGTTTTGCCAATTTTTTCACACAGTTCATGGGTCATCCTCTTGATATCTTTCACAGCTTTTTTTTTTTTTTTAAAACAGAAGTCTAGTTTATCAGCGATTTCTCTCACGGATCATGTATTTGGTGTTGTACCTAACAAGTTATTGCCTTACTCAATCTTGTAGGAGATTTATGGTTTTGTGTTTGACATTTCAGTCTGTGCTCCATTTTGAGTTGACTTTGGTCAAGGTTAGAAAGCTCGTGTCTAGACTCACTTTTTCACAAGAGGATGTCTGTTATTTCAGCATCATTTGTTTCAGACTATCATTAGTTGGCTTGTTGCATACACCTGCTTCTAGACTCTGTTCTGTTTGCTCTATCTGTTTATATTCTTTCTCCTGTGCCCACGGTCCTGATCACTTGCACCTTTATATCAAGATTTAAAGAGAGACCGTGCCAGTCCTGCAGCTTTGTTTTCTCTTTCAATATCATCCCATCTCTTCTGGGACATTTTTGTTGCCACGAATCAGTGTTGCTGATGTTCACAAAATAACAGGGACTTTCATTGAAATTGTATTGAAAATCTATATAACGGGAAGAACTTACCTCTTGAAAATATTTAGTCTTGCTGATCAGAAATCTAGGATTTCTTTATCTCCATTATTTAGTGCTTATTGAATTTCTTTTATCAGCATTTTGCCAGGTTCAATTTGTTTACACTGTGAGAGATTTGTAATACTTATAATGGGGTATTTAATTTTTGAGAATACTTGTATAAACTGTGTCTTTTTTAATTTCAAGCTCCACCTGTTCATTGATAATGTACAAGAGGACAGTTGACTTGTGCATTAATCTAATGAAGAATAGATAAAATTGTGGGATTTTTTTTCCAAGTTTTTTTTCTGTCAATTAATTTGGATTTTCTACATAGACCTTCAAATTTCTGCAAACGAAAGTTTTATCTTCCTGTCTTATTGCAATAGCCAGCATTTCCAGGATACTGTTAAATAATGATGATGAGAGGAGTAATCTTTTTGTTGGTCCTGAGCTTGTTACAAAAGCTTTCATTTCTTCCCATTAAGTATATTGTTATCTATAAGATTCTTTTTAGAATAAACATTCTTTATTAAATTGAGGAGGTGCCTCTATATTTCAGTTTACTGAATGTTTTGTTTTAAATCATAATTAGGTGCTAGCTTGTCAACTTCTCTTTATACATCTGTCCATATGATTATGTAAATTTTTTTCCTGCTGCTTGTGGTTGTGTTGTTTGGGTGTTGATTTCAAAGTATTGGTTCATTCTCTCCGAGTTATTAACTTTGCGGGAGTAGGCAGAAATATTGGCAGTTTGTGACTTCTCCTTGAGTAGGCTGGCTTGTTACTTGTTCTATTGATCTTCTCAAAAAAAGCACATTTTAAAAGTTCCAAGTCTAGAATTTTTGTGAGCTTTCTTTGATTTACACTCCTAATTTTATTTCCATTCCTTTGCCCACTTTCGGTTTCCTTAACTCTTCTTTGTCTAATTTCCCTAGTTGGAACTCTGGAGCAACAGTGGCTAAAGTGGTTCGTGCTATGAATTTCCTCCTAACGACTGCTTCCACAGCCTCTCACACATTCTGATATGTCACATTTTCATTTTAATTCAATTTGAAATTTCTATATTTTAACTCTTTGTGGCTCATTTTGAAGTGTGTCGTTTGATCTTCAAATATATGTGTAATTTAATTTTCTTATACTCAGAGAGCATAATTGATTATTACTTGAATTTTGTTCATTTAACAAAACTTGCTTCTGGTTCTGATTATGGCTTATATTTGATGTGTAGTTAGAGGTTAACTATCTTGCTGTAAGGTTTTACGATTCCCAATTAGGACAAGTTTGTTGATAGTATTATTCACATCTTCAATACTTAGTTTATCCATTTGTTCTATCATTTATTGTGGGGGAAATGTGAAAATACCTAAATATATTTGTGGATTTGTGCTCACCTTGAAATAGTGTTAATTTAACTTTACAGATTTTGAAATTATTTGTTATGGGGGGGGGATTTTCAGTAAGTTTATGGAAACAAGCATTGTGAAAAATTATGGCCAGATGTTAAAATTGTTCTGAACAAAGTCAACTTGTTTTTTAATTCCATATTTATATGAGCTTTTAAAATATGCTTTTATGCACATAATATCTAGGTTTATTACATCTCCTTTGATTAGTGCTAGTATGGTCTTTTTCCTTTCCTTTAAGTCTGTTTGTGTCTGTTTATGTATTTTTAAATTTTTATAATTTATATGAGAGAAAAGATTTTATGTTTTTTTATATATATAGTTGTAAGAATATAATGAAACTTCTGCACTTTACCCCTCCCTGCCTGCCTCCCACATACTCTTTCATGCTTCTTAAAATTTTTTTATAATGATGTACTTTAAATTTACTTTATAGCCACAAACTTAAACTTATACTACACAAAAAATTTAGGGCCCGGTGCCATGGCCTGTTGGCTAAGGTCCTCACCTTACACACGCCAGGATCCCATATGGGCACCGGTTCTTGTCCAGCGGCCTTGCTTCCCATCCAGCTCCCTGCTTGTGACCTGGGAGGGCAGTCGAGCACGGCCCAAAGCCTTGGGACCCTGCACCCATGTGGGAGACCTGGAGGAAGGTCCTGGCCATTGGCTTCTCTGGTCGTTGCAGTCGCTTGGAGAGTGAATCATCGGATGGAGGATATTTCTCTCTGTCTCTCCTCCTCTCTGTATATGCCTGACTTTACAATAAAAATAAATAAATCTTTTAAAAATTCAACAAGTAATGAGTAGAAAATCTACTTGTTAAAAATACAGATGAGAGCTCTAATCAACTCTCAAAATGTCGATTATGACATGACAGAGTACCACTCAGTCATTTAAAAGAACAAAATCTTATCTTTTGTAACAAAATGAATGCAATTGGAGTCCATTATGCTTTAGTGAAATATTCTAGACCCTGAATGACAGCTCTCATATGCTTTCTCTGATTTGTGCTGATATACAAAGTGTTAAAAAAAAGTAGCATGTATGTGTCTGTATATTTGAAGTATATTTCTTTTTGTTGATTCTCATGATTTCATTCATTGCTGAAATGAATTTTAGAGGTGTTTAGTTCATTTATATAGAGACCTTATTGATATGGGTGGGTTTAAATATGTTATCATTTATCTCATAGTTACACCATCTATTCTTCTTTGCCATATTTCCCATATTCTTTTTTGATTCCTTGAGTTTTAGAATTCTAGTTTGTTTTCTTTAGTTCGATGTTGGTAGTTTGTAAGTGGCACTTTAATTTCTTTCATTGTGCCTCACATGACATTATTCTGCTTCATGTATAAGAACATGACTTTTCTCTAATTCCATTTCTCCTCTGATCATATGCTACTGCATTCATATGCTTTTTAGTTTATATAGTCAATTGTTTAATAAGAAAACGTCTTGGTATATAGTATTTGGCCAACGCATTACACTTCTCAGCCTTCCCTTCTTCCCCATCAGGTAAGGTGTCATTTTCAAGTGTATTATTTGATCACTAACAGCCATTTCCATGCTAACAATTTTCAATTTTCTTTAAAGTGACTCTGATCTGTTAATACCTTAAACCTTCTTTTTGAACACATTTTGTTTTCACTGTAGTTAATCTTCTGCACACCAGGAAATATAACAACATCACTTGAAAGTGGTATTTCAAATTCTTATTGGATAGCTTAAGTGAGATATTAATCATGGGATTTTTTTTTTTAATACAGGATTCAGTGATTTATCAGAGACTTTCAAAATATTCTCTGTTTGTGAATGAGACATTGCTCCATCTGGAATATTTTGCCAAAGAAGGTAAGTAAAGATTGCTCCCTTTAGAAATCCAGTTTTTATGTATCAACAGTACTTTCCAATTGCACATCGCTGTTGTTTTGGGGGCAGTAGACATGAAATACACAAAGGGCAAACCTTGAAGGAATTTGTCCACAAATCAAAAATGACAGATGACGCTAGTGCTATGAAGAAAAATAACAAGGAGTGAGAGGAGCAGAGAGTATGTGATGCTCCTTGAACAGGATGACCCAGGCAGAGACTTAGTGAAGTAAGGGAGAAGCAGGTTGCCTTGCAGAGTGACATCTGTCAGGTCAAGCCAAGTCCAAGAGTCTGGAAGAAAGAGGATCAGTGTGGATGCCACCGCGAGGAGGAAGGTGCAGGGGAGAGATGGGAAAGGACCCAGAGGCAGCTGAAACACAGCACATCCTAAGTGGGCACACTCCAAGCTGCCTCCAGGATGTATTATCACCTGCTCCACCGCATTGTTCATTGGTGGCACAGCGAAGATGCAGTCTGTTCTTTTTTGCAGGTCTGAGAACTCTGTGTCTTGCGTATGCAGATTTAACCGAGGAGGAGTACCAGCGGTGGTTGAATGATTACAAGATGGCTAGTGTATCTTTGCAAGATAGAATTCAAAAAGTGGAAGAATGTTATGACAAGATTGAAAAGGTAACAGTCCCTCTGTTTCTTAGAGATTACTTTATTCTAGAACTATCTCATACTCCGTGCGTTAGAAAGTGTTGCTTTACAGGCCTTGCGAGTTGGCTGCAGCTGGAGCCTCAGGGCTTCCACAGGTTCTGAGTCCATTTTTTTCTCATGGTCTCCCAGGGTTCTTTTGTCAATTCGCTCTTCCATGTCTGCATTTTATTCCTGTAGGAGCTTGACCAGAACAGATCAAAGAGACGCTTCCCTTGACGTCATCAAATCCACCCCCTTTCAAAGTCAGGTATTGAAAGACTTGGACTCTAATACAGGTCACAATGCTCAAATACATCCCACCTTCCTTCTGGGTGATTCCACTCTAGTCTGTTGGACACATCACAATGAGGTGGACAAGCTGAGCTGGGTCGTCTGCCTCTTCCTCATGTTTCCATTTGAAGTCTGTGCTGGGACACTCCATTGGACCCCAGTCCTCTGCTCCCACTCTCTGGGAAGGATGCTGAGCAATTCAGACTGGGCTTCCGGAACTTGACAGGCTGTCCAAACATTACTGTGGTGATCATTTTCCAATAAAAGTGCTCTGTTTCATATTTGCCACTTGGAGGCTAGGAAATCTGAAAGTCAGTATTGAGAAAAAGGTAAGGAAGTCATAGGATAAAGAGGTGGATGATGAAGCTGAGGCATGGTGTTTTCTTGAATCAGTTCAACTGTGACCTAAATGTTGGTGCTCAGCATGTGTCTGCAGCATATTCACAGCTCCTCACATACTGTGAGGGTCTAGAAATGGTAGTGGAATCAATGAATGGATTATTTAGGGTTAATTATTGCAAGCTTCTCTGCTGTCTACATGAAATCAGTGACCACAAGCACCTGACACAGACTCTACAAAGGGCAATAATAAATGTTAGAGAGACCATCTCAGGCCAGATTTTCCTATCTGGTCTTGGTGGTTTTTGGCCTGTGTGAACGCCACTTTTTTTGGGGGGGGTGCTGGTTCATGTTTGACTGCTCCACTTCCCGTTCAGCTCTCTGCTTGTGGCCTGGGAAAGCAGTGGAGGGTGGTCCAAGACTTTGGGAGACCTGGAAGAGGCTCTTTGGGAATGCCACTTTTAAAGCTTCAAAATTGCCTGTCTACTTGAAAGCTGGTCATGAGAAGGATGCAGCGCTTGTCCTCAAGCTAAGAAGCTGTTGAAAGGTCAGAGAGGCGATCTACTAAGTTGTAGACACTTTATCAAAATGGTGTCACACTACTTAATCAGATGCTACGTGTCAATGACTATGACATTAAAAAGAACAGAACGCCACTAGTTGTCAAAATACTCCTGTGTCAGTTCAACACGAGAGAGAAAAGTAGCCTGCGTAACTCATGCAAATGATCAAACTCGGTGACGCTAAATCACGTCATTGATAACTGTCAAGCGTGTCGATTCATATTAGAGCTGGGCCCCACTTTGCCCTCCTTGATAGTGTCCGTTCATGTAATAATGATGCGCTTTTGAGCATTTGTATCCCAAATGTTCTTCAGTTCTCCTTTTAGTTATTTTGTATTAGCTATTACATAATCATATCACCTGCCTTCAAAATTGCAGCTGGTGTTTGCTCCGTTATCTGGGTACTTTCTATAGACTTGATGGATTGGTTCTTTGAAACTGGCTTTTCCAGATCATTCTATGCTGCTTGCTATGGACCTTCTTATTTTCTCACCCTCTGGGTATTTTCTCACCCTCTGCCTAGCTCTTTAGACCAGCAGGCCTTCTTTGTTTTCTGAGCATTTTTTTCCTTTTAGGACTCATGTTACTAAGATTTTGTATTTCTTTCTTGTTTTGGAGATGTTTAGTTGAAAGGCTTTCTTGGCTCCATTTATTTGTATTTTCTCCTTTGTTAAAAATTGACTCTTGCAGGTTTTTTTTTTTTTTAAGATTTATGTATTTTCATTGGAAAGGTAGACATTGAAAGAAGGATAAATAGAGAAAGATCTTCTGTCTGCCAGTTTACTCCCCAGCTGGACACAACAGCAGGGGCTGAGCTGATCTAAAGCCAAGATCCAGGATCTTCTTCTGGATCCACCACGTGGGTGCAGGGTCCCAAGGTTTTGGACTGTCCTCAGCTGCTTTCCTAGGCTATGAGCAGTGAGCTGGATTGGAAGTGGAGCAACCGGGACACGAATTGGCACCCATATGGGATCCTTAGCCATTAGGCTATCATGTGGCTACATTGTACCTGGCCTAGTGTCTGTCTTTTTAATTGGTGTGGTTAGACAACACACATCTAAGTGATTATTGGTATAGCTGGTTCAGCATCTACCACATTTGTAACTATATTCTACGTATTGTCTTTGTTTTCCCCCGTATTTCTTTGCTTTTTACTTTTTCTGCCTTGATTTTAATTTTGACCATTTATTTCCTGCTTGTTTTTAAATTTTTAATTAATCTGTCTAAAAATTTCAACAGGTGCATTAAAAATGGTACATATTCAGTTGCCATTCTGTAATGTTTTACTACATGTACAGACTTGGTAATATCCAATCTGGGTAAACTTTTATATCTTCAAAAGTGTAACATTTGTTTATAAGGAAAACATCTACAATGCTATATTTTGGCTTTTTTTTTTAATAGAGAAATACAAACTGTGTTAATACTAGTTCCCCCTATTGTGCAAAATAATCTCGGAATTTCTTTAACTGCACTTATTATTTAGCCAATATTCTTCCTTTCTTGTAGACCTGAATGCTGACATATTTTCTTCTTTTAGAACAACTTTTCTTGTAAGGCAGGCCTGTGGCTGACAAATTTCCTCAATCATTGTTTGAGAAAGCATGTATTTCTCCCTCACATTTGAAGAATAATTTCACTGGATACAGGATTTTAGCAGATGGCTCCTTTTTTCAACAGTCTTATCTAACAGTCCTATATCTTCTTGCTTGCCCAGTGTAATTATTTTTCAAAGTGTTTTATTTATTTACCTGTATCTATTTGAAAGGCAGAGAGAATGAGAACAAGAGAGAGAAAGAGCGTGAGAGAGCTCTCCAAAAAGACTGCAATAGTGGGAGCTGGGCAAGCCTGAAGCCAGGAGTCAGGAGTTTCCTCTGGGTCTTCCAAGTGGGTGCAGGGCCCCAAGCACTTGGGCCATCACCCACTGCTTTCCCAGGCCTTCAGCAGGGAGCAGCATTGGAAGTAGAGCAGCTGAGTCTTGAATCAAAAACCAAACCGGATGCTGGTGCCACTGGAAAATGCCTAGCTTGCTATGCCAGCATGCTGGCCCCTACTATATTGTCTTATATTTTACCCATTTCACTTTGACAACTGGAAGAGATGAAGAATATACTTAAATCCTTTGGTTGTGCTGGCTTCTGAGAGACATAACTCAGACGATCTGAGGACATCATCTATGATCTCTGTGCTTTTCATAAACCCCTTCACCAAGAAACCTCAGAACCACTTCAACGATAGGGAAATAGCTTAGGAACACAAAAGAAACAAATAAGTAAGTAAGAACCTTATGGAGAAAACTATGAAGTTGTACTTACGGGAAAATGAAGGTCCCAAATAAGTGAATGGGCATGTATTATACAAACAGCAAAACTCAACAGAGTGAATGTACTCATTCTTACAGTAGAGTAGTGCAGGAGTGCATAAAACTCTCCCAAAATTTGCACATAACTTGACAAGAATGCCGAGCTATTAATAACAGAAGTAGGAGGAGGCTTAGAATGATTGTGATAATTTTTGGAGAATAAAAATGAGAATACCTACTGGACTAGCCATCAAGACTTCAAGATAGAACTAAAATAATTGATGTTTGCTAACTACTTATTATCTGCTAGATATTATTTTAATATCTTACAAATATTCACTCATAAAAATTGCATTAGTAATCCTATTTTCTCAATTTCTGTTTCTTAAGTAATTTGCTTAGATCATACGTGTATCTAGTAACTTACAGAGTAAGATCACAAATCCAACAATTCTACCTTTTTTTTGTTCATCTATTGTTTTATTTTAAAATCTTTTCTTAACTTTTTGATTCATTTTTAACAGATTCAATATGGTGTGCAGCTGCAATTCTAAGATCATAATGTCATCCCCCTCCTATGATCTCCCATGTCATGAACCATCACGCTTCACGGGCTCATGTTGTCATAGAATAGATGAATGGAAAAAATAGAAAAAAGTGTGTGATTGTACATATATGCAACTTTATGTAATACAATTATAATACTGCTTACCCATCACCAAAATGTATGCTTTCATCTTAAGATTTTGTGTTTCATTAATAATTTGGGGGAAAAAAATCTCTCCAAAAACCTCTAGAAATTTATGCTGCTTGGAGCCACAGCCATTGAAGATCGACTTCAAGCACGTGTTCCAGAAACCATAACAACTTTACTGAGAGCGAACATAAAAATATGGGTCTTGACAGGAGACAAGCCAGAAACTGCAATTAACATAGGTAAACCTCATTGTACATGTATTCGAAATGTCTTCCAGTACCAAGAGTGCTTGACTGAACTTTTAAGAGATGACTTCACACAATTTTTAAAAATTCTTTTCTTTTCTTTTGGATGTTATTTACCTGGTTGAGAAGGATATATGCCCATGTGGATTACTGATTAGGGTGTGGAGGACTGAGACATGGGGAAAAGTGGGTGAGACATATGTTTCCCTATTTTTTCCTCCTATGTTTGGGTGGTAGGAAGGAAAGGGGAGAGGGCTGTTCCCAGCAGCCAAACCACATTAGTCTTGAGGGATGGAAGGTGACCACTTGAAGTTATCCTGGGATCCCCGATGTGGAAAAGAATGTCCAAAGGGCACCGCTTAAGTGTTTTTGGTAGTTCTGAGATGCTGTTGGTTTCATTGCTCCAAGGTTGAGAAAATCCACCTTTGAATCTCCACTCTCCCATATATTTGCTGTCAAAGCTTGGCTAGGAGACTTGTCCAGTCAGTTCTGCGTGCCATCCCCTGACGTAGTACTTGACAGCCTCTGCATGCCTCAGTGAGCTCGCTACATGTCCCCCATGTGCATCTATCTGAGCATGTCATCTACTGCACAGGCATCAAGCAATTGAGGTCCAGTCCTAATACATGCATCCAAGGTCAGCCTACAAATCCTATGATTGTCCCAATATTTGGAGTTTTGAGTCCAGCAGTCCAGTTGGGGAGTTGGAGGAGAGGGCAAGAAACCTCACTTGAGGTGACCCCAGACCTGACTCCTGTGTGTGCCAACAAGTGCAAAGTCCAGCTTAGTCTGTCAGCCGTATCAGCCTATACAAACACTGGTGGTTGCAGTCGCCCAGTCGGTGCTGTCCCCAGCCACATCTCATATGCAAACCAATGAATGCAGGATTAGACTGGGCTGCCTTGTCTACCACACACTCCGCCCTCACACACACACACACACACACACACACACACACACACACACACACACTAGCAGGAACCACAGCCTAGTCTGGGTGATCCCCAATAACTCCCACCAGGCCTGCCCCCAGTCCCAGTTCCTGTGCGTGCTGGTATGTGTAGCGGACTAATCCTTGTACACACCTATGGGTGCTGCAGCATAGCTCATTCCACTTTCCAGCCCACACTTAAGCCAATCAGTGCTGCGGCTTGTCCACCCAGGCTATCCCCTAGCCCTGGCTCTAAGTACACTGGTGGGAGCTACAGCTGACACAGGCTCTTGATAAGCACCACTAGAGCCTCTCCTACCACTTTCCTCCTGGCCACATCCAATTCTCAAGAATTACTTTTTCCCTCAAGTCTTCAATTGTCTCCTCAGCCCAGCCAACCTAGATTGAGATACAGCACATGTTGTTAATATGGTGATTTTTATCTTTACTCAAGTGAGTCTCATTTTGTTATCAGAAGTCTATGCTACACTTGAATTACCTTAAGTTCAGGGTAACGGAATTCTTAGATATAATTGTTGTATTGCACTGCATTCATTTAAGCACAGAGGTTGGGTAATTGACAGATCTGCAAGAAGAAAGCAGATAAACACTCTGCAGTCTTAGAGCAAGGATTATAGATGGAAACATTTTTAAATGAATGGAGGTGTCAAGTTGGCCCCACTGGCTGGCCGGTAGCTCCCTTCTCCAGCCCCAAAGGGCAGGTTGGGCTGCCCAGAGGAGGCAGGGAGGGGAGGATCAGGCTGGATGGCCAGTGGGTGAAGATGCTGAAATTCTGTGCTGCCCCTAACTGCACACGGAAGAGCACGCAGTTTGATCTGGCCTTTTCCAGGTCCCTGTGGGATCCAGCAAGATGTCAGGAGTGGGTGGAGAATTTTAAGAGCACCAGCTAAGAAGAAACACCTGATCCACTAAATAAACGTTGTCTGTTGTGTGCCATTCACGTTGAGACCTCTATGATCTGTAGAACTATACACTCTTGCAAAGCCATTAGAAGGCTAAAGAGGGACTGGGTTATTTTATTTCTCAAAATACACTGAAGTAGACACTTGTGAAGTCATTGGGAGAGTCAGTCCCTTTAGGACAATTCTTCGAGATAATGCAACACCAACAACATTTGATCTTATCAGTCAACTGAAGACTCCTCACCGTAAACGGAGAATAAGGAAACGAATTGAGTGAAGATGAAAAAACTAATGAGGGTTCTGGACAGAAACAAAGGCACGAAGAAACCGACAACAGCAATGTTCAGAACCGCAGTGCAGAAAGGGCGGGCAGAGAGCAAGATGCAGGCATTTTACTTTTCACCCTTGAGGAGAAGGAAAACAAGGCATATTTAAAATCTTTATTTAACATTTTGATTCTTATGAAAAAAGAAACATTCCTAGGGATGGCCACAAAGCTGAGGAAATCCCAGAAGGTCTCGTTAACTCCTGACACCTTTCAGACTCTGCTGGAGTGCCCAGTAAACTCTGGCAAAGAGGTCCCGAGGAAGCCAGAGCACAGATTTAACATGTTCTGTTCCAAGACACGCAGAAGCAGATGCTGGAGATCTGTGAAAGATGCCTCCGGGAACAACGATAACAAAAACAGCGATTATAATACAGAGCACTGATCTTAGCACAAAAACATTTTGAAATCCATGTATAATTTTTTTCATGACGTTTTGAAGACCCCTGTTAATGAAGAATATGAGAAAGCACTGAGTATTTCATACTGATTTGAATTTTCATCCTAATAATTAAGATGTTTCATGGCTTAGACATTGCCAGCAGTGTCAAGGTGGCTTTTACGAAAATGAGACGGTCCTTGTGGGGAGCACGAGGACCCTGGCATGGAGGACTCTCTCCTGAGTCTGTCCCTGAGCCACCTGAACAAACATTAGCTTGCTCTGTATGTATTCTGGATGGAAACCCAGAATTTAACCACTCACCTTTGCCATTAATTTATTATAAAATAAGTAGTGAGTTATTTATTTTATAACAAGAGAGAATTTAGCAAGGATTCTTCTAATCTACTTAGCTAGATGTCCCTGAACCTTATAATTAGACCAGCCTAGATTTCTTAATCAAATCCCTCCTTGGCCATATTTGGTGTGTAGGAATTTAGACATCTTCAGTAAGACTCCTCCTGCCCAGGCCATTTTCTCCATGATTTTCCACACAGTGAGCCTGCACCCTGCACCATGCTCCTTGTCTATAAATTTCCATTTGTCATTTTGTTCAGGGCCAAACCTGATCTCTCTCCCCTATTGCAATAGTCCTGAATAAAGTATTCCTTGATGTCTTGAAAGGTTGTTAGTTAAATTCTGCTTGTTTGGTTATTGGCTTTGATTTCACAATTTGGATTTAAAATGACAGTTTTAAAATTTTCAAGTTGGAAAATGACTTTTGAGGTGCATAGCTTTCCTAGCATTTTGACTGCTGCTATGAGACTTGCCTAGGACTATTTCTTCCAATCATACCTAGAACTTATTGGAAATCCAGATGGAATACTGTTGCAGATTGGCAAAAAATAATCTGACTTCCTCAAATATTTGGAGTTATTATAAAGCATAGATCTAAACAGTGTTATAGAATGGTAAAACAATTAAAATATATGGAAATTTACAGGTACAGATTTGACCATTAGTTGTACATGCCTTCCAAAATATTTCTATTTAGGATGCCTACTAAATGGATCAGAATTTTAACTTTTTTTAAAACTCTATAACTTCTGGCTCAGCTTTTGTAATGGTCTAATAGACTTTGAAATAATCCTGAGGCAAAGAATATAATGAAGGGAGGATGGAACCAATCCTTGATTTATTTTGAATGCCCACAAAAAGCATGAAGTATTCAAAAACACCACTTTTGCTCTTCTCTTTCTAGCATATTCCTGCAAGTTGATAACAGGTCACATGCCTCGTATTCACTTGAATACAAATTCATTTGAGGTAAGTGATTTTTTTTTTTTTACAATTATGTTTAGTAAGAGCGTAATCTGCTTGGTACTTGGGAAAGATCCAGTTCTTTGAAACCTACAATAGATGGATGTGAACTCAACTCCATTGGAAGGTTCTGCCTTTCCCCAAGCACTGTGAATTTCATTGGCCTCCACTCAAGGTGACCTTTGGTTCTTGGCTTTTTGTGTCTGTTCAGTTCTTAAGTTGCACTCTGAGGTTAGTACTTTATCACCACCTGTATGTTATGCAAAACATAGGACTCAGATCTATGGTTTATAAAGAGCTTAAAAAGAGAACAATTTTTGGGCACATTGCAGTCCTTACTGAAAGTCTAAGTCAATAGGTGGCATTTATATTATAACAATTAAAGGAATTTGGAACCCGTTATTAAAAACTCTTGCCCTTAAAAGTTGAATGGGGAAGCTCGCACATTTGGCTCCGCGTCCAAGTGTCAGCATCCCATATAGGCGCCAGTTTGTGTCCTGGCTGCTTCATTTCCAATCCAGCTCCCTGCTTGTGGCTTGGGAAAGCAGCAGAGGATGGCCCAATGCCTTGAGACACCTCAATTAAGAATTCCCTTATGGGCCTGGCACGATGGCGCAAGTGGTTAAGGTCCTCTCCTTGAATGCCCGGGATCCCACATGGGGGCCGGTTCTAATCCCTGCAGCCCCACTTCCTATACAGTTCCCTGCCTGTGGCCCAGGAAAGCAGTTGAGGACGGCCCAAAGCCTTGGGACCCTGCACCCGCGTGGGAGACCCAGAAGAGGCTCCTGGCTTCAGATCGGCATAGTATTGGCCATTGCGCTCACTTGGGGAGTGAATCATCGGACGGAAGATCTTCCTCTCTGTCTCCCCTCTCTGTATATCCGCCTTTCCAATAAAAAAATAAAAATAAATAAATCTTTAAAAAGAATTTCCTTGGCCAGTTTTGGTAAGGCCATCTAGACTTTTATACTTGTTAGTATAATATTATCTATAATTACAGAAAAAAATTGAAATTCTCCATTTATGTTATAGCCACCCCTTAAATATTTTCCCTTTTAAGAATTTCATTTATTTCTGTTTTGCCATGGGATGAATCTAATTATTCCAGGAATTTATTAATATATCAGATGCTCAGGTCAGAGCAAGTGCGTCTTAGCTTTCACAACTCAATTTTCATGAGTTTTCATGTCAATTTGATATCATATGTCAGTAACACAAAGGGAATAAATTCATTGTAATTGATACAATTGCAAGAACATAATGGAACCTCCAGAATATTTTTAAAATTACTTAACAAAATTTGGAGTGTAGCAGTAAAGATTCCATATAACTCTTACCCACTTCTAGTAAATATTTCTAATATCTTTGTTGTAATTAATAAGCTACTCCAAGCTTCCTCTAGTTTATAATCCAAACTCATACCATTCTTCCAAGTTTCTAGCAATAAACATTCCAGGTCTAGATTCATACAGTATATCATTTATCTCCTTAGAGTGTACAATTCAATAGATTTTAATATATTCACAGACATGTACAACCATCACGATAGTCAGTTTAGAATATTTTCACCACTTCAGAGAAATTCCATTCTGTTTAATTATTACCTCCCACGCCCCTTCCCTTCACCTGTGGTATGCTAGTCTACTAATCTTCAACCACTAACCTGCTTTCCATCTTTATGGCATTGTCTATTCTGGATTTTCATATAGTTGAATTATATTACATGTGCTATTTTTTAATCAGTATGCTTCACTTACCTTGGTGTTTTCAAGGTTCATTCATATTCTACCATGGCTTAGTATCTTGTTTTTGTTTGTTTATTTTTTTCAAGAATTCTTGTGAGAATCTGGGGAGGAAGAGTGACGTGGAGGTAAAAAGAGAGAGGAGAGAGAGAGAGTTTATATTCACTGAGACCTCCCCTCCTGCTATTACATGCCTCTGATCGTCTGGGCTGGCTGGGGCCATGGACTGATTGCAGGTCTCCCGTATGTACAGTGGTTACCTAATGACTTGATCTGTCAACACTGCCTTGCATGATTTGAAATGTGGAGCCCAGAACCCAAACTGGTAATCAAATCCAGTTCAAGAATCTTCACCACCAGACAAAAGGAATAGTCAATTTTATGGACATACTGTACTTTGTTGATTCAGTCATCATGCTCTTTCCATGCAGTTGTGAATAATTGTGCTACCAAAAAAATTGTGTACAAAATTTTATGTGAACATGTTGTCGGTTCTCTGGAGCATCCAGACACACACTGTGGGGACTCTGTTTCCCACAGCGGCCACACCATTTTACATTCCCAAGCGCAGTGGATGAGAGCTCTGATTTTCCACATCCGTGCCAACAATTACTATTTCACCTGACTTTTGGTGGTAGCCGTGTTAGTATATCTGAAATAATGTGATTTCAATTTGTGTTTTCGTTATGGCTGACAATGTCAAGAATGTTTTAGTGTTATCTACCTGATTTTTAAATTTCATTTCAGTAAGATGTTTAAAAGGAAGAATGTCTCAACCCACCATCTTGACTCAAATATTTGTATTTGAAATGAGAAATATAAATGACTCCTTCCTTTCTTCTCAATTCTAGGCAACAAAACAAGTGATTAGTCAGAACTGTCAAGAGCTTAGAAAGTTGCTAGGTAAAGAAAATGAAGTGGCCCTAATTGTTGATGGCGAAGCTCTCAAGTATGCCCTCAGGTCTGAAATCAGGAGGAACTTTCTCAGATTGGCTGTGTCGTGTAAAGCAGTACTATGCTGTAGGTAAGAACATACTCACTTTTTCTTGCATTTCCTGTTATACTTAGAAAGTGTATGTAAAGAAAACAGGCATGAAAATATATGTGTGACTGCCTTTGAGGGGAGCACTTTTGTGTGAGGAGAGATCTCCAATTTGGATCCTTTCTTCAGTATTGTGAAGCCAAAGATGAAATCAAAGCTGAGAGTCACCCAGCACCAACTTTATCCAGTGACCGAAGCAGAGAGAAGCAGGAACCTCCCTGGGGAATCCATTTATCAATCTACTGGGGATGGGGGCACGAGGGAGGCAATATACTACTAACCAGAAGACGCATGCATGGATTTTTTTTTCAGAAAGGAACTGTGTAATTCTCAGAATCAGAGAGTCATATTCTCCTTTTACGGTCTGTGGGAATAATTTTTAGCTTGAAATTGAGACTGTGTTGGCAGCCATCTTGGGTCTCATGGAGTTCAACCATTGCTCTGTGAAGGAGCTTCTGCACAGGAGCCACCCTGATCTCCAAGAGAAACAACATTAGGGTTTAGGGTAGCATGGGGACTTAGGAAACAGTAGGTTTTGCAGAAGCAAAGCTCTTTATTGGGGAAATCCAAAGCAGAGATGAAATAGTTTGTACCTGATACAAATTGTCAGGCTTAAGATTTACTAACTTTTCAACTGCTAAATTATTTGTCAAGATTATGCAAGTCTTCAGTAAGATCAAAGGTTCTATATGTAGAAATAGTGAGAAAAAATACGGAAAAAATCATGACACTCAAGGGAGATTACTAAATAAGATTATGGTTTAACGTATGTCAAAAGGAGTGTTTTTAAAAGATCAAGTCATCTACAGCAAAGGCAGCAGAACTGAGAAAATGATGATGTTATGTGTATAACACTTGTTTCTTGCTTCTCAAAGATCATGCAGAATGAACCCATCACTAAAGCATTGACAACTTGCTCTTCTGTATGTTACAGACACATTGCTCAACCAATGAGTTTTACTATCTTCTTCAAATGTCCCTTAATTTTAATCAGCTCCTAAGTTCCATTCATTCAGGACCTATTTCAAAACATAGCAACTTCTGATGTTCATTGTATTCTGTCATACCTCCCATTTGTAGCATAGCCCTCAGGATTCTTTACGACTTAGTCTTATGTCAATGAGAACCCATTGTATTTTGAAAATAATGAAAATAACCGTGCAGAAATAGAATTCAAGTTCAGTTTGGGCAAAAAGGGAGAATTTTTTAAGCTTACGTAATGAAGTATCTGCAGATAGAGGTGACTTTCAGGGGGAGCGAGCAGATTAGTTTTTTATCTATTTTCTTCTATTTAGATTTAATTATCTGGCTTCCATTCTGCATCATTAAATTGTTTTAAGGCATTTTCTTATTTTCTCCTTCAAACTCCATACTTGTGTTAAAGGCACGCAAGGATGCAGGTGAAGAATATCTTGAAGAAGCTCAGAGAAGGGTTAATCTTGCCATGAAGTGAATTCTAGCAGTTGACTTTCAGAGAGCTGTTCATGGGAGGTCCAAAACCTGGCATTAGAACTGATGGCCTGATATGGTGTCTCCCACTGGATTCATATGAATTCAGACCTTCAGCCCTGGGATTAGACGTCCTTAGACTGCAAAGATGGGGCTTAATAGACCAATACGTTACATCCTCCTGTATCCAGAGGGAGATTGTCATATATGATTTCCCAGCTATCTTGATCAATGGAATATCCTATCTGGATGGCTTTCAAAGTGGATACTTGTAATCACTGAGTGATGGAAGGGAATATATACGTTCTGGCAGTGAGGGGGCTCACACTTTGGCCTACTGTGAGGGGTTCAAATATGGTGCATGAAGATGTACAGATTAGGTTTCACTTAGAGCCAGAATGTAAGCTCTAAGTTGTGCATCCAAACACAGAAAACGGCCCCAAAGTACAACTCATGAGCAAGACAGAACGATGTCAGTTATCTGAAGTTTGTCCTAAAGCTGCTTCTGTATGTATTTTAAGTTTGACCCATAAACTATAACCTTACTAGACGTGATGGCAGACCATAACCTACTCTTAAACTAAGTGCACAAGTCTCAGCCAATCACAGGCAGCCAATTCTTCAAGTCGTATTCAAATAAATCAGATACAACCAGTCTGTCGGTCTCTACCTCACTTCTGTTTTCTTTGCACAATTTCCCTTTCCTCTAGCTACAAGTATGATCTGCCAATGTAGAGCAGTATGAGCATTCTTCACTTGGCTTTGGTCCAGACTGCTGTGGTATGCTGGATTCAAAGCCAATTAAAAGCTGGATTTGTAGAAATATTTCTCTTTTTACGATAGTGAGACTTACGGGATTTAGTGCCCTAGTTTCTCCATTTAACAAGCTTTAACATTTGCCTTTCGTGCAGCCGTGTGCCTGTCATTGTCATCTCTGTAAAGACCTTCAGAACAGTGCTCAGGGAAACAAACCATGATGAAAGCAAGGGACATGGTTTTTCCTGTCTTCCTTTCCAGGCTCTCTCCCCTCCAGAAGGCTGAAATCGTGGATGTGGTGAAGAGACATGTTAGTGCCATCACCCTGGCCATCGGGGATGGAGCCAATGATGTGGGGATGATTCAGACAGCCCACGTGGGAGTGGGTATCAGTGGGAATGAGGGTATGCAAGCCACCAACAACTCGGACTACGCCATTGCACAGGTCAGTTGCGATGGGCATGGAGGGTGTTGAAGACCTTCCGTCTACTCCTGAGTGCCAACCATCTCTTCCAACTTTTTCATGGAAACTTCTGGTGCATTTGGATTTTTCCCCCCTCCTTACACACTTTGGAAAGGTTTGTTTTGTCCAGCTAATGGAGTTGGCCTCTGGGAATCTGCATCCCCAGTGATGCCTCATATAATCTCTAAATCCTAAATTACTAAAATCTACAATGTGTGTTTTGTCCTTGATGAGGGAGGAATTAAATCTTGATGGGCTTTTTTGTTTTGCAATGATTAGACTTTTTAAAAGCACTTTTTGGTTATGAACTGGCCTTTATAGATATGAACACCAGGCTCCTGTGTGCTAGGAGTTGAGGAAGGTGCCACTGGGCTGTGATCAAGGAACTAGAACTGGCCACACCAAATTCACCTGTTTTCTGTCTTGGCTTCCTAAATGCCCTGGGACACGTGCTTCCTACAGTCTCAGCAGCTCTAGAGATGCATCATGTGATGATGTGAACATGTTCTGAGAAATGCATCATTAGACCAGTTGTTCGTTGTATGAAGGTCATCAAGCCAGCTTATGTAAACCCAGATGGGAAAGCCTACCACAATCAGAAGCTGCATGACTCACACACACATGTTTGAGGGTACTTCCAAAAGCTCACAGAGAAAGAAAGCTGAAAGACATGGTATTTCGGTGCAAAAAAGGTCATCATTTTCCCATCACATGCTTTCCATGAACTTTTGAAAGGACACTTTTTCCGTGTTTTAGCCCATTGCTGTAAGGACCACAATGAGCAAGGTAGCATGAGATTCAATCAAGCATAAGAGAAAATGATGCATTCAAAAGATACAGACTTTGGCCTTGCCAGACAGAAAAATCAGGGATTGTGCTTGAGTTTCCTGTTTGCAACATAGTGCTCTTTCCCTTAGATATTTCTGTCCCATTCTTCATGATTTAGATTCTAAATAAGGTTCCAATTATGCTGAAGGCCTTGCCACCTGACAAATGAAAGTCAAGGAACATTTCAGGCTTAAAGAAAATGTGATGTTAAGTGACGCTTACTTCCTTTTTTGAACAATAAGTTTGATTTTTTGAAGTTTTAAGAATTCTTTGATGTCAAATTGTTATCTTAAGGTTGTCTGTGGCCTTGTTTTCAATGATGTCTTCTGGGGTGCATTCTCCCAGAAGGGCCTGGGGCTTTAAAATACCAGGGAATGGTACTTGGTGGAGTTTGTCATTGATGTGTAGTTGGGGGACTGGCCTTGACTGTTGTTTCTGCCTTGCAGTTTAGCTACTTGGAGAAGCTTCTGTTGGTTCATGGAGCTTGGAGTTACTTTCGAGTAACCAAATGCATATTGTATTGCTTCTATAAGAACGTGGTGCTATATGTCATTGAGGTAAGAAAGGTGATTTGCATTTTTCCTTGTTCTTTTGTTTATTTATTTTTTAAGTCAGAGAGAGAAAGATCTTCCGTTTGCTGGTTTACTTCCCAAATGGCTGCAATCATCCAAATGGCTGCTGCAAAGCCATGGGCTGGGAGTTTCCTCTGAGCCTCCCACATGTGTGCAGCGAGCTAAGAACTCGGGCCATTCTTTGCTATTTTCCCAGGCCATCGGCATGGAGCTGGCGATGGCATTAGATCAGCCAGGACTAAGATCAGTGCCAATTTGGGATGCGGGCACCACAGGTGGAGGATTAGCTGATATGCCACTGTGCCAAGACCAAAATTAGTTTCTTTTAGCAAGGAGATAGGTTTTTATCCTTGACATTGAGTTTGATAGTTTAATTTTTTTTAAGTATTTATCTCAATAAACTATATATGTTTTTAAAAATAAGTTTCGTAACTCTGCTTTAAGTTTTGGCTTCTGAAAGAGATAAACAAAAAATAGATTCAATGGAATAAATTATGACTTCATGATGACTCATTAACGTAATATTTGATTAAAAATAAACCTGCTTGGAAGCAGAATTCATCTCTGACAGCCCCTCACAGACATCTCCTTACTGCATGCTCATTGAGCTGGAAAACCAGGAGGGAATTTTTTGCTTCCCTATTTCCATCCTATCTACTATTTAGCACCACAGTCCACAGAGCTTACTCCTATGGCACTGGTCTTGGGTGCACTTGTGTGTGCTGAGCATGTGTGTAGATGCGTGTGTATGTATGGCTCTGGACACTCAAGCCCATGTGCTTCCTCCTTCCTTTCCTCTTCTTTCTCTTCTTTCCTTTCTCCTCGCTTCCTCCCTTCCTTTCTTCCCTCCCTTCATCTCTCCCTTCCATTGCTCCTCCTTCCCTTCCTCCCTTCTTTCCTTTCTCTTCTTTTGCTTTTACTTTCTTTCCTCCTTTTTCCCTTTAATTTTTGCAATAACATATTTTCAATTTATTTTATAATCACGGGCTTGATGCCAATAATCATGATGTTCAATGAGTAAAAAATAGCTCCACATCAATATAGAGAAGGGCTGTAAGCATCATGCAGATTAAAAGATGTCAACTTTGTTCTTACATAATGTTTTTTGGTACTCTGTATTAACAATCTCATATCTTGTCTTTGGAAGACTGCCAGTTTTCGCTAGCATAATGGTGTACACTTGCAAAATACATTGCATTATTCTTATGGCTACGAAGTAATCAATCATATATGTATGTGTATTATATATGTATACCATACATATGTATACTTAATCATGTTTTCTTTATGCAGTCATCAGTTGATGGGCATCCACTTTGATTCCATATCTAAGGCGTTGTGAATTGAGCTGCAGTAAACGTGGGAATACAAATAACTCTTTCACATGCTGATCTCATTCCTTTAGGTAAATTCCCAGGAGTGCTAGATTATAGGGTAGATCTATTTAAATTTCTGAAGATTTTCCATGCTTGCTTGTATAATGTTTGTACTAGTTTACGTTCCCACCAAAAGTGGATCAGGTTAACTTTTTCTTCACATTGTCATCAGCATTTTTTATTTTTTGATTTTTTTGGATGATAGGCATTCCAACAAATGGGGTGAAGCCTCACCATGATTTTTTTTGCATTTTCGTGCTGACCATTTGAATTTCATCCTTCGAAAAATGCCTGTTTCTGCCCATTTCTTAACTGAATTGTTGGGTTTGTTGTTGGGTTTCTGGAGCTCCTTATGTATCCTGGATATTATTCCTTTATCAGTTGCTTAGTGTGTAGATATTTTCTCCCATTCTGTCAGCTGCCTCTTCGATTTATTGATTATTCCTTTTGCTGTGTTGTCGCAATAAAATACCTAGGAGGGAACTTAACCGAAGAACAAAAGGGTTTTTTTTTTTTCTTTTTTTTTTTGAATCATGAAAATGACAAAACATTGTTGAAAGACATATAAATGGAAAGACAATATGTATCCATAGTATGGGAGATTTAATACTGTTAAGATGTAATATGATCTAATAAACTCAATTTCTATTAAGATGCCAATATAAATTTTTAAGTAAATAAGAGAACCTATCTAATTATAAGAGATTTAAACAACTAAGATAATCTTGAGAGAATGAAATCTTGAGAGAGCTCACAATTGTGAGTTTTAAATATTCCTTCAGAGCTATAGCAGTTTTGAAAATGAGGTCCTCACATAAAGACATATGTATAGACAAATGGAATATAATGAAGTCCATAAATGCATCCTCTTCAACAAATGGTATGAAAACTGGAAAACATGGCCATTCCTCAGAAAACTAAAAATAGAATTATCCACTATAATCGTATTGGAGTTTATCTCTCTCTTTTAAAAAAAATGTTTATTTTTATTGGAAAGGGAGAATTACAGGAAGGAGATATAAAGAGAAAGTTCTTCTGTACATTGCTTCACTCCCAAAGTGGCCACAATGGCCAGAACTAAGTGGACCCAAAACCAGGAGCCAGGAGCTTCTTCCAGGTCTTCCACACGGTCCTTTACTGGTTTTCCAGGCCACAAGCAGGGAGCTGGATAGGAAGTGGAGCAACCGGGACACGATTGGCACCCTTGTGGGATCCCAGCCCTTGCAAGACAAGGATCTAGCCACTGAGCCATCACACTAGGCCCCAGAGTTTCTCTCCCTTTAAGTCAAATAGTATTCATTATATTTACTGAAGTGATCTTGTGTTGGCTGCATGAATACTTATGATTGTTGTGTCTTCTTGCTGAATTGACCCTTTTATCAGTGTATGATGTCTTTGTCTCTTTTTGCAGCTTTTGATTTAAACTCTGTTTTATTTGTTCTGAGTTTAGCTATTTGTGCTCATTTATGGCTTCACTTTGGAACATCTTTTTTCTAGTCCTTTAGCTTCAGTTTGTGCGTATATCTGTAAAGTGTAAAGCAAGAAACACTTGGGGGGTTTTGTTTTTTAAATCATTCAGCCACTGTAAATATTTTGTTTGGGAAATTTACTTCAAGGTTAGTATTGATAGACAAGAACTAGCACCTGTCATTTTTTTTGACAAAAGTCAACTCAGTATCCACCAAACAATGTCATAAGGCATGTGTAAAAATAAAATTCAGTAAAAATTTAGGAGAAATATACACCAAAAACCCAGATTTAGTAAAAAATTAGAAGTACATATACGCCAAAAATCCACATAGGACCCGGGACCATGAAGTTGTGGACAAACATGTACCTTGACGAAGAACCACAAATCACAGAAGCAAAAGTACACAAACGAAATTACACCAAACTCACAATTTGCTTTGCAGAAAAAGAAAAAATATCAATAGGGGAAATTTGTCCAACCAAATGGGAAAAATACTTGCAAGCTACCTATCTGACAAAAGGATTAATATGCAGAACAAACAGCACCCAAAAATCCTCAGGATTACTACCCATCGGGGAAATGCAAATACGAGACACAAGGAGACATCACCTCACTCCAGTTAGAGTTTGGCTATCATCCAAAATTTAAAAACAATTGCTGGTGAATATATGGAAAAAAGGCACCACAGTCCACTGTCAGTGGAAATGTAAACTATTTTATAGAAGTCATTATAGAAGACAGCATGGAGATTCCTCAGAGATCTAGAAATAAATCTATGATGTGACCCACATTTGGAGCAGTTGAGAATGGCCTTGTGTTTTAAAACGTTTGTTGGTTTGTCTGCCTGAAAGGCAAAGTAACAGAGAGTGGAATAGGCAGGTGTGGAAGGGGGAGCTTTAATCTGCTGGCTCAATAAACCCCTACAGACCTAGCCCAGGTTGAAGCCAGGAGCCAGGACTGAATCTAGATGCCCCCATGTGGGTGCTGGAAACCCAAGTACTTAGGCCGTCATCTACTGCCGCCTGGGCACATTAGCAAGAAGCTGTGCCTGAAGCGGAAATGGAGTTCCATCCTAGGCCTTCTGATGTGGATGCACACTTCCGAAGCACAATCCAACCTGCCGTGCCGCATGCCCGCGCCGATGGGTCTGCCATAGTTTCCGTGTTCAGGGGCTTACTGTTATTGTACAGAATGTGTTTTGATCCTTTTTTTTCTCCAAAAGCTCTGGCAGTTTTGCCATTTCTGTTTAACATGCAGATATATCTAAGTTAGCATTAATAGTACATGTCCTACTCCTTTCAGCTCTGGTTTGCCTTCGTGAATGGATTTTCTGGGCAGATAATCTTTGAACGTTGGTGCATCAGTTTGTACAATGTGGTAAGTACTTTCTCTTTGGATATCATAGCACAAAGAATTCTGAGACATTGGTTCACTGTATTTTGTTGTTTTCTTGTTTGTTTCGTTTTGTTTCTGGAAAGTGTTTCCAATTCAGCCATCTGTGTATTGATTAGGAAGCACAAACACACTTTCAGGCTCTTTGTTGCTGCAACAAGTCTTACAATAGCGCCAACTGTCCAATGATTGCAGATCATTCTAGGGTAAATACATGCATGTGTGCTCGATGCATTTCGACATTATAATTGTAACCTCTTTTATACCTGTGCAATGTTTCTATGCTTGCAAGCAAGTGAAAATTACTAATCTCTACTTAAACTAAATCCCATTGGTGTACATAACTTAGATTTATTGTATGTATGTATTTACAGTCTAATTTTATAACTTTTACATTTCCTGATTTAAGACAAAAAATTCTGAGAAAATATATCTCCTTGTGGCTGTGCCAAATAGTGTCTATCTCAATTTCTGTAGTAAATGCTCCTTTTTGTTTTAATAGACTTCGAGCAAAAACACAATCATGTACTATGACTTGACCCATATGTTGATTTCCAAAACTAGATGTCAATTTAAAAGTAAGCTTTTTAGGGCCTGGCGTGGTGGCCTACTGGCTAGGGTCCGCGCCTTGAACGTACTGGGATTCCATATGGGTGCCAGTTCTAATCCCAGCAGCCTGCTTCCATCCAGCTCCCTGCTTGTGGCCTGGGCTAATCCTCCATCTGTCACTCAGCCGCCGTGCTGGGCCCTGCTATCTGGATTTTTAAGATTCAAGCTAATCTCACACAGCATTTTCTTACCAAAATGCTTGCAAACATTAGAAATTTCAGTAAAACCCTTTGGTTTAGAAGACATAACATTTAAGAATCCTGTTTATTATATGGAGGCCTTAATGTTACTTTTCCCCACAGTTTATAAGGCCTCTTTGTGCAAACTATTTAAATGTTGGAGTGTCACTGAGAGCATACAATTCACTTAAAGATCAAGCAACTTATTCCCTTTGTTACCAGATATAAAGCCCCTTTCCCTTACTTAAAAAAAAAAAAAAGATTTATTTAATTGGAACGTTAAATATACAGAGAGGAGAGACAGAGAGGAAGATCTTCCACCCACTGGTCCACTTCAAGCAGCCGCAATGGCCAGAGCTGAGCTGAAAGCCAGGAACCAAGATCCCCTTCTGGGTATCCCACACGGGTGCAGGGTCCCAAGGCTTTGGGCCATCTTCGACTGCCTTCCCAGGCCACAAGCAGTGAGCTGGATGGGAAGAGGAGCTGCCGGGATTAGAACTGGCACCCGTATGGGATCCCGGTGCGTTCAAGGTGAGGACTTGAGCTGCTAGGCCATGCTGCCCGCCGGCTCCTTGGGTTTCTAACCTTAACTTCTATGGCAAACACTTACAAGTCCTGTTTTTGTTCCTGTCTCATGGGTTCTTGCTGGAGTGGGAACACGCTGTTTGGTGTTTAGAAGGAATAGCAATGTTTTCCATATCCCTTAACTGCCCTATTGCCTCTTCATTCTCCTCATCCTTATCTGAATCAAATTTGGGCCAAATAAAGGAGCAATACATTTTTTCCTTGTCTTTAGTCCAAAAATCCAAGAGCTGTCCTTCCAAAACTTTATCATTCTCCTCAATACAGATTGTCAGAGGGAACCTCTTCGGCTCTCGTTTCCATGGACCTAGAATTTTTATTTTCCAATTTTAACTAGATGTCGTCTCTATGTCTGAATTTCCTTTGTGCGCCACTCCACCTACTGGAGGTTTTTCATACAACCTAGGACTCATTTCTTGGGTTCTTTTTCCTCAGAAAATGTCCAACCATCTAGGCGGTACTTAAAGTCCAATTTCTCTGCCTTGGTTCACACATGAAGTTGCCTGATTCTTGCCTGCCTGACTTTTCATTTCTGTATCACTTTTGTTGCCTCGTGAATAGGAATCTCAGGCTTTTCTGTGACTTTGGTGGGGAGATGGGGCTTTCAGACAGAACCAACCACCTGAAATTGGCCGTGGAATGCATGTGTCAGAGCTGGGCCTCCTCAGTGGCTTAGATGGAGCAGTGGACAGCATCTCCATATGCACATGGAGCATATGGCAATACACTGGAGCCTGCAGAGACACCTGGTACCGTAACAGAGGATGTTACCGTAACAAATCAATCAACTACCCCAGCCAAGTGTTGGCAATGAATACCTGGGAAAATGGAGTCTCTAAGGTGGACTATGTCAGCCAGTGGGGCCTGGAGAGATTTCATCGTGATTGGAGTGGAAAGACTGGCAGCAATGCAGAACTGTTGAGCCACTTGAACAAGACTCTTGGAGCATACCTCACATTGGGGACTCTGCGATGGTTGGGAGACTGGGTGTGGCTTCTCCCCTTATCTCTCTCCTTCCTTCAGATACAAGAAGGAAAAAAGAGAATGTAAAAATGATGGTCTTACTCACTTTCCTCTAGCCCTTGACCCTTCTCACCTTAATCAAATATGTATAAATTATCAAAAATAAAATGTATACAATTAAAAGAAATTGGGTGGGTTGCCCTGGCCAGAGCCCCCACTCCAGAGACTTCAAGGAGAGCTCCCAAGATGTGAGAGACAGCCTCACCTGTGCAGTGAAAGGATGGACTCAGACTGGGTTGCAATAAAAGTGAGACTTCATTAATGATAATCTTGCAAGATTGGAAATCAGGCGTGCCAACATACCTTGTGCAGATAAAGCAATTTATCTTATAGTACACACATTCCGTTCCCAGTCCCTCACTGGCTGAGTCCCATGGTTTACAGTTATCCCAGCATTTGCTTTAGCTGTGTTTTGGCCACTCCTAACATCCTATTTACATAAGAATTTTCTAGGTGCATATAAGCTAGCTGTTAAGCTTGCTAGCTGTTATGCTAGCTAGTTGCCTACTCACAGCTAAACAACTTACTTTGAAAGTGAACCAAACAAATGTTTACTTCTCAGAAAAAGCAAATATTTTTGACAAATAAGAATTTATTCAAGAGATGCAATGATTTGCTATTCACTAAAATTTAATCAATGTAGTTAGTTGTGACAATAGATTTAAAAGAATTGAGCCCAACGTAATGGCTCAATGACTAACTCCTCACCTTCTAAGCATCAGGATCCCATATGCGCACTGGTTTGTGTCCCAACTGCTCTACTTTCCAGCCAACTCCTGCTTGTGGCCTGGGAAAGCAGTAGAAGACGACCCAAATCCTTGGCACCCTGCACCCGTGTGGGAGATCGAGAAATTCCTGTCTCCTGGCTTCAGATTGAGCTCTGTTCTGACTATTGTGGCCACTTGGGGAGTGAACCAGCTGACGGCAGAACTTTCTCCCTCTCTGTACTTCTCTCTGTAAATCTGCCTTTCCAATAAAAATTAATAAATCTTTCTTTTTTGCAAAAAAGAAAGATTATGCAGTATTCTTGATGCGATAAAAGCATCTACAGATGTGCTTTTTGTGCTTATCGGTGAAACAATGCATGTGTTCCCCTAAACACAGAAACAAGAAAAGCACCTGTGTTTCTACTGCTTCAAGTTAATGTTTCTGCAGGTCCTGACCAGTGCACTAGCACACAAAGGAAATCGATGATTTGGTAACGTAGTGCCTCTTCAGTTACTGGCTGCATTGTCTGTGTACATATTTCAAGCAGAAAGCAGAAATCCTCTGTTATGTTCAGTTGCAGCCAAGCCTCCTAATTAGCTGATACTCCATGTTTTGATTTGCTCATCTTCACTGACTCTGGGTTTGGTCAAATGACTGTATTTAGCCAATGATACAGTAACAAAGAAGGCAATGCTGCAACGTGATGTTTCTTATTGAACTTTCCCCGCTGTTTGCTGTTCTTTACAAAGCATCCCTGGTTTAACTATTAGTGGGAGAAGAGTCAAATGTGGTAGAAATACATCATTCTGAGTGAGGAGAGGATCAAGTGTCATTTTGTGGGGAGTAACTCTTTGGATACCAGTTAGTAAAACATGACGGTGTTTATAGCTTGGAGTTTTATTTCTTTGCTTGGAATTTTCCCCCTTTCCACTCATTTAAAAAAATTATTTATCTGAAAAGCAGAATGATAGAGTGAGTGAGAGACAGAGAGATAGAAATCTTCCATCTTCCATCTTCTGGTTGCAAACACCAAGGCCAGGCCAACGTGAAGCCAGGAGCTAGGAACCACATCTGTGTTCCCCATATGTTACAAGTGCCCAAGTGGTTGGACCAGCTGCTGCTGCTTTCCCAGGTGCATAAGGAGGGAGCTGGTTTCATTTAGCATAACATCTGTTTGTCAGTATCGAGTGCCTTCTGTGTACTATGTTCTACTAAGTAAACAAGCCATAAAATAATTAATTCTTATGAAGGAAGTAGATGATGTTGCTACATTTAGTAGTAGTATTATACCTACTATTTAAATAGCTAGACACTGAATCAACCCATTTTATATTCGCAAACACATAAAAAGTTAAGTATGCTGGTTCGCAAGGTGATGGAATAGGTGAGGACACGTTAAACTGGACAGGAAAGGATTAGTCGGGGAGAAGAGAGAGGTGCAATCCTGGGTAATAGAAGTCAGCAGGCTGATGGCAGAGAGTCACCAGGGAATGCGGGGATGCAAGGAAACAGCAGACAGCACAGTGATGCTGCGGCATAAAGATAACCTGGCAACGAATGGAGCTCCCCTGGCGGACAGGTGGCACGGGAGGTCACCAGGAATGCAGGAAGTGAACAAAGCCATAGAATTGTGGTTCCCCGTCACTTGTTTTAATCCAATCACAAGCAGAAACAGAGCAGCAGATGGGTGTGGGGAGTGGGATGAAGTTCACAATCCAGCCTTCCTCCAGGGCAACTGACACATCAGGCACACCAGGCACCAATTTGACGTCTGCAGCAAAGGTTCTGACAACAAGAGAAAAAAAAAATCCATGTGCTGCCAGCAGGGACTGGCATTGCTACCAGCCTGTGATAAACACAGCTGCTATCTCCCTGCTCCCAGGTACTGCTGGAACTGTAAGAAAGGGAAAGGCTGGGCAGACAGTGCGGCGGTCAGAGAATGTAGCCAGACCCGCCCCCGCCACTTTTCACCTTACACAAACATCAGCTGTAAATAGATCAAGGACATACATCTTCACCCAGAAACAAGCAAGCTGTTCGAGAAAAATGTAGGAAGCACTCTATTGGATACAGGCATGGGTAAAGACATCTCAGGAAAAAAAAAATCATCAAAGTCCAGGCAGTCCAAGCCAAGATCAACACAGGGGACTACAGCAAACTGAAAAGCTTCTGTGCAGCAAAGGAAATGATGAACAGAGTGAAAACACAACCAACAGAACGGGAAAAAAATATGTGCACACTACACAACAGGTAGGCGACTAACATCTAGGATTCACAAAGAGCTTCAGAAACTCAGCAACAAAACTAATCATCTTTTTTTTTATTAATATTTTTTATTTTAACAATCTTTACATGGTTAATTTGCGCATAAAGGGTCAAGGGCTACAGGAAAGTGGGTAAAACTATTATTTCCATATTGTTTCCTTCATATATCTGAGGTACAGGGGGATATTGAGGGAGAAGCCCCACCTGATTTCCCACCCACCCCAAGTCCCACATGTGGGGCATGCTCCGAGATACTCGTTGAAGTGGTTTCAATAGGTCACCAGTTTTGAAATTGCTGCCAATCTTGCCTCTCCAAACACGATGAGGTTATTGCAAAACTAATAATCTTGTGAGGAAATGGGTGAAGGAAATGAGCAAGAATTTTCAAAATAATGAATTCAAGGGATAATACACATATGAGAAAATGCTCAGCCTCCCTAACTTATTAGGGAAATGCAAATAAAAACCACATTATGGTTTCACCTCCTAACTCTAGTGAGAATGGCCTACATTCAGAAATCTACTAGCAACACCTGCTGGTGTGGATGTGGGGAGAAAGATACCCTACTCCACTGTGGCTTGTTACAGCCACTATATATAGGCTAATGCGGCCACCGTAGAAGTCATTATGGAGAGTGCTCAGCTAATTGAAAATTGCTCTGTAGTACCCAGGAGTGGGAATATATTGAAACAAAGTGAAATCTGCATATAAAAAGTAACATGTAACCCTATATTTATGGCTGCACAGTGCACAATTGCTAAGGCACGGGAACAACCCGGATGCCTATTGAAAGAAAAATGAATTAAAAAATAAAAACTGTGTTACATCTATTCCATAGATTACAACACGGCCTTTTAAAGAGTGAAATTCTACCATTAGCAATAAAGTGGTCCCAACTAAAGACCATTATGCTCATTGAAATAAACCAATCCCTAAAGGATAAATATTGTATGTTCTCTCTGATATAAAGCAACATTTATGTGAAGTATAAAGCAAATAGATATGTAGGTTAACAGTATATACATTATTTTCACAGATGAACTGTATATTGGAGACTAGCATATTGGGAGGTGAAGATATGTTACAGTAGGTATCTCCTGAATAAAAGGAGAACTCCTAGTGAAACAGTTAAATATACTTAACAATGTGATACTGTATTTTCTACCGTTGCCTATACCTACAATTCCGTAATGCACTTAAATAGCAGAATGTTAAATGTGTCACTAAAGGATGCTGCTACTACAATAATACGGGGGAAGATGGTGAGAAGGCAAATTGAGGAGGAAGACAGGGAAGGGAAAGGGGTAATGCCTGCATCTACAAAAAATAATAAATAATTTAAAAATATCTATAATAGTCCCAAAGGAACATTTCAATAGTTGTAGCTATTGAATAATTAGTCCATTAGGTAAATTATGTCTTCATGAGTTCATAGATATAATTAGATTTATGTGATTTACTGTAGCTAATTTATAAACCACTTTTATTTTTGAATAATTTAATACTTACCGGAAGCTCCAAATGTCATTGAGAATTCTGTCTCAGAGAATCTTCAGAGAAATCATCCATTATCAAAGCAAGAAGGTATTGGTGCAGCAGCATTAACTCATGAATAACTTTAAAGCCCTTTCTAATAGATGGTTATTTTTTATGTAGATTTTCACGTCATTACCACCTTTAACTCTGGGAATCTTTGAACGGTGTTGCAGTAAGGAAAGCCTGTTCAAGTATCCAGAACTCTACACAATTTCTCAGACGGGAGAGATTTTCAACACCAAGGTAAGCAGAACATGTGTGCAGGTCTGTAGCATCGACTTGATTCTAAATACGCTTTTGGTTTCTTCCTTTTCTGGTGCTTTGGGAATAATCATTTTAAAATGTTTGAAATATGGAGCAGCACAGAGTGGGGAGGGAAGGATAAAGATAGAGAGAAATGAGAGAGAGAGAGAGAGAGAGAGAGAGAGAGAGAGTTCTTTCATTCCCTGGTTCATTCTTAAAATAGCACCAACAGCTTGGACTGGCACCAGCCCAAAGTCAGAAGCTAGGAACTCCAGCAGGTGGCTGAGGTCTGAGCACTTGGACCACCTTGCACTGCTTTTCCAGGTGAATAATGAGGAAGCAGGGTTTAAGGAAGAGCAGCCATGACCCAGGGTTGGTATGGGATGCTGACATTGCAAGTGATCAGCTGGGCCACAGCACCAGCACCCAGAGAAATAACTTTAAGAAACAAAAGGAGTATAACCTATGCCAGTGTCCTGCTAGTTCAGCTTATCCAGAGAACTAAAAAATAAGTCTCAGTAGAAAGAAGTAACATTTCATGTGCGATCTCACAGATGGTACACAGAACAGCCTCACAAGGTGTGCTGTGTGCTGGTAATGTTGGGTAGAACTTGCTGGAAGTAAAGAATTGTGAACACCAGATGTTGCATCTTGGAATAATTGTTTCCTGACATTGCAGGAGTCCTGATTCTGTGGCGGGGGGTGACGGTGTGTCAAAAGCTCCTTCTGGCTCTCAGAGCAATGGCATACAGCATTGTCCGTTCTGATAATGCTCACCATACATCTTCATTTATTTGTGAAACCTGTAAGAAATATAGACATCTAGAAGAAATGAAAGTCTTTGAAGAGTATGAAGACTTGTTTGATGATTAAAAGTATCCTCTGTATCTACATAGCTTGTCCTTACTTGAAAAATTGTCAGGTCAGGTTCATAGATAGCGCTGCCCAACACAACGTTCTCACCCATCTTGTGCCCACTTGTTCCACCTGCTGTTGAGATTGCATGATTGTGTGCTATGTATTTCTCTGTCATGTTCTCCCTGTCTTGCTTCCTGTATTTTTCAGCTGGACTTAGATGTGTTATTGTGTGTCTATGAGAGTATCATGTAATGGATTTTTATGTTCTCTTGTTTGACCGGAGTCACTTCTGAGGGTACCCTTAGCACTACCGCCTGCTTTGGTAGTAATGGGATTACTCGAGCTTCTTCTGCTTTTCACCTGGCTGAATCCGATGGTTAAGTGATCCTTGTCCGCAGTCTATGCTCAGCCTGGTATTTTGTGCATTTTAACTGGTCATTGAAAGCATTTACATTTAATATGTTTACAGCTATGACTAAATGTAAATTTGCTGGTTTTTTATTTGTCCTATATAGATTTTTTTTCCATTTTTCCTTTCTTCCTCTGGATTAATTTTTATAAATTCAAATGCGTATTCTTTGTTGACTTATTAGCTATAACTCGCAGTCTTCTTATTTTGGAGGTTGATTTAGGAGGCCTGGTGCAATGGCAGGCAAATCCTCTGCCTGTAAGTACCAGCATCCCACATCGATGCCAGTCTGTGTCTCAGATGTTCTACCCGCCCAGCTCCCGGCTTGTGGCCTGGGAAAGCAGTTGAGCACGGCCCAAAGCTTTGGGACCTTCCACCCGTGTGGGAAACCTGGAAGAAGCTCCTGGCTCCTGGCTCCTGGCTTTGGATCTGCTTAGCTCTGGCCACTGTAGCCATTTGGGAGTGAACCAGATCATGGAAGAAATTTCTGTCTCTGCTTCTTTCTGAAAAATTTGCCTTTCCAATAAAAATAAACAAACCTTTCTTTAAAAAAGAAGTTGCTTTAGGATTTATGTATGGTTTTAGATCATTATACTCTAACTTTAAGGGATGTGCTACTTGCATGTGTATGTTATAAAGATTAAATTTAGTGTAATTCCATCACTTTCCTAATCTTTCAGATATATGTGTGTGTGTTTGTTATATATGTATATATGTATATGCATTTATATGTACATATGATACATATGTGTGTATTATATGTGTGTATATATGTGTACACATATACATATTCATGCTATGTGGCTAGAAACTCCGCAGCATATTGTTCATAGTTGTTTAAGCAATTATCTTAAAACCAGGTAACAGGAAATAATTATTTTAAACCATTGTTACACCTGCACTTATTGTTTTCAGTGATTTTTCACTTTTTGTGTAGACTCATATTATTCTCTTTCATAATTCTGTTTCATTCTAAAGTGTTTCCTTTAACATTTCTTGGGCAAATTTGCTGGCAATGAACTTTTCCATCTCTATCCATGAAGAAATCTTTCACTTTCATTTTTAACATCATTTTTGCTTGGTATAAAATTATGGGTTGATAATTTGTTTCTTTCCATCATTTTCTGGCTTCATTATTTTGGTATGAAATTACTGTTCTCTTCATTTCTATGTAAGTAACATTCATTTTTTAACCTCTCTGGTTGCTTTTAATATTTTTTAAAAATACTCCTACTGTTAGCCTGAGCATCATTTGTATGTTTTATTTCTTCTTGTTTCTTGTGTTTCTGGAGTCTGGTGGGTTCCTGGGCCTCTCGTCTCAGCACAGTAGTTTGTAGGAGGCCCTCTGGTGCTTTCTTGCTGTTGTTCCATTGCGATATGGCCCTGCCTGTTTGTTCACAAAGGATTTTGTCTCTTTCGTGCTGTAAGAGCAAAATGGAGTCATAATAGCAGAGATATCTCTGTATTCCATTTTGAATTAAAAAAAATTGCTTTGTGCTCAGGTTTACTCTGTAATGTATTTCCTCCATTAATTTTTCTTCTGAAATGAATTTGTCATGAATAGACTTTTCAATATATTTATTATTTCACACTTTGTAATGTTTAATCTCCAGTTTTTCCATTTGGCTACTTTTTAATACCTCCCATAAGCCTACTTGAACTTTGAATATATAAAGTGCAGCCCCATAATGGTTTCATTATCCTTGTCATCAGTAACATCTGTGTTGATTCGGAGGTGAATTTAGTTCATGTATTTTTCTTCTTATTTTGCATAGTATGTTCCTACATCTTTGCTTGCCTGGTAATTTTGAATTCAATTCCTGATGCGTAAGATTTAAATTTTAACTGGACACTCTTGCATGACCACAAATATTTTTGAATTTTGCTCTAGAATGCATCAAGTTCATTGGAAACATGTTGATCCTTTTGGGTGAGAATCAAGAATTTTTATGCAGGACAAGAGTAATGGAATAATTATTCTTCCCTTTTGAGGCAGGAACTTTGTATCCACAAAATTGAAGCTTCCTTGAAGCGCGAGGTCTTGCAAGCAGGTGTTCGTTATTTCTTCCTGGACCCTTTTCTTACATGATCTCCTTAAAAGTGCTCACACTAGGAAATTCTCAATTTGCATGATCTTTGTAACAAATACACTTTACTTTTATACCTTTATACTTAATGAATTTTGGAACAATATTGACATGTTTTGTGATATAATGCTATTAAATAATTTCAACAATACTCTATAATTTCAAATTATGTCAATCTATAATTTTATGTGTTTTCAAATGATTTTATCCTACAATGCCATAGTCAATCCTTTTAAAACAGAATAGAGAAATACAAAATTTTCAACCTCCAGGAAATCATTTTGGTGTTATAACTTCGCTCTGTTGAGCAAATGTGTTTCTCAAAGCCACTTATTTTTATATTCACTTGAATAGCATGCCCTGACTTCACTGCTTTGTTTTCTTAGGTGTTTTGGATTCAGTGTATGAATGCTTTGGTCCACTCCTTCATTCTCTTCTGGTTTCCTGCAAAAATGCTACAGCACGGTAATGATTGCATTATTTAAAATATTTGGCAAAGATTATGTAACTCTCACTGGAGTTCCTGCATGTGTGTGTGTTCAGAAAGAACCAGAGTATACAGAAATAGATCTTAGAAAAACAGAAATATTCACCGAATTCCAATAGAAGACATGCTCCTGGTTAGCAGCCTGCAGCTTGGATTGTGTGAGGGTGAACTTTAGAAACTGTTCTGTTTTCTTTTGACATATGTAAATAGAAACAGTGCTTTTGTTGCTAATTTCTAATTAATATTTGAGTGGGCTAATGGAGAGCATAATATTTCTGATAAATCATAGGTGCCTCCTTGAATTTATGTCTCCTTGGTTTCCTGTATTTTTATAGGAATGTTTTCCATTTTTTACTCCAAATTTTTGCCCTTCACATAACAAGATACATACATGAAAGAGTGGGAGAGTGAATATACATGCAGGCGTAAGGAGAGACATTTCATAGGAGAGTCACAGGGGGACCTCACTGCAACAGTAGTGAGGGATTTTAACATCCTGCTAATCCCAATGGACAAATCCAGGAGACAGGAACTCGGCAAGGAAGCATGCACACTCAGACAGCAGAGCAAATGGATTTAATTGACATCAACAGAACCTTCCATCCTACAGACACAAGATACACTTTAGTTTTCATCAGTACATGCAATCTTCTCCAGGACCTGTCACATTATAAACCACAAAACAAGCCTTCCTCCCAGATGACATTATTTTATACACCAGAGAACCAAAAGAATCAATTAAAAGACTATGCAACCCATGAGAGTTTGGCAGAGTAGCACAGCACAAAGTCAGTAAACACAATTCAATAGCCCTTCTATACACAAACAGCTCCATGGCTGAGAAAGGACTTACAAAAACAGTTCCTTAAAAAAATTTTTATTTTTAATTTTTATTGGAAAGGCAAATATATGGAGAGGAGATACATAGAGAAAGATCTTCCATACATTGGTTCACTCCCCAAGCAACTGCAATGGCCAGAGCTGAGCCAATCTGAAGTCGAGCCAGGAGCTTCTTCTGGGACTCCCATGTGGGTCCCAAGGTTTTGGGCTGTCCTCTGTTGCCTTCCCCAGGCCACAAGCAGGGAGCTGGATGGGAAGCGGGGCAGCTGAAAAAAACAGTCCCATTTGAAACAGCAGAGAAGAACCTTAAATACCTTGGAATGAAACTGACCAAAGTTATGAATGACCTCTTTGTTGGAAATTTAAACGCATTAAAGAAATAGAAAACATTCTAAGATGAAGAAATACATCATGCTCATGGATCAGTAGAATCAACAAAGCAATACACAGATTCAATGTGATCCCAAAGTCCCAATAACTTTCTTCTCAGAGTTGGAAAAGATGATATAGAAATTCATCTGGAAACACGAATAGCCAGTTATCTTAAAGAATAAAAGTAAAGCTGGAGGAATCACTATTCCAGACCTCAAGGTATGCTTCAGGGCAGTGGTAATCAAAACCATCTGATACTGATACCAAAATAGGGGTGAGCAGAACCAGACTAGAAACCCCAGAAGTGGGCCCACACGTGCACAGTAAGCTAATCTTCAACAAGAGAACTGAAAGTATCCCAGGAAAAAGGTTGGGACTCTTCAACAAATGACTTTGGGGCAACTGGACATCAGCCTACAGAAGTAAGAAAGAAGACCCCTAAATTTCACTTTGCACACACACAAAAAGCTTTCAATGGATCAAATGCCTGAATCTGCACCCAAACATATTCTAGAAAGAAAACATAAGGAACACTCTGCAAGATACAGGCATAGGTGAAGACCTCTTAGAGAAGACACCAAAACACAGGTGGTTTAAGCCAAAGTAAACAAGTGGGTCTACATCAAATTAAGAAGCCTCTGTACAGCAAAGGAAGTGGTCAAGAATGTGAAAACACAGCCAACAGAATGGGAGAAAACTTTGGCACTCAACAGACAGGGACTGGCATCCAGGATTTGCAACAAGCGTCAGAAACTCAATGACAGCAAAACAAATAACCCTGTGAAGAAAAGAGTGAATGACATGAACAGATGTTTTTCAAAATAAACAAATTCAAATGGCTAATAGATGTAGAAAAATGCTCAGGCTCTCTAGATTTTAGGGAAATGCTAACAGAAACCACATTGAGGTTCCACCTGACTATAGTGAAATCGACCTACATGCTGAAATCAACAAATCACAACTGTTGGGAAGGATGTGGAGGAAAGGTCTCCTAATTCACTATTGGTGGGAGTGCAAACGTGTGGAGCCACTATGGAAGTCAGTACGGAGAGTGTTCAGACAACTGAGAATTGACCTACCACATGACCCAGCCATCCTACTCCGGGAATAAATCCAGGAAATGAACTCCACATGTGAACGAGCAACCTGCGAATCTGTAATTACAGTAGTACAGTTCACGAAAGTAAAGACATGTAAGCAAGCCAGGTGCCCATTAATACATAAATGGATCAAGAAACTGTTACATCTACTCTGTGGAATATTACTCAGCCATTTAAAAAGAACGAAATCTTATCATTTGTAACAAAATGGTTCCCGACCATCCTGTTTGGTGAAATAAACCAGTCCCAAAAGGACAAATATTGCATATTCTCTCTTAGATAAGACAGCCTTTACTATTAAGACAAACAAAAAGTTCATAGATGGGCCTGGCGTTGTGGCCTAGCAGCTAAAGTCCTCGCCTTAAACCTGCCAGGATTCCATATGGGTGCCAGTTCTGATCCCGGCTGCTCCACTTCCCTTCCAGCTCCCTGCTTGTGGCCTGGGAAAGCAGTCGAGGACCGCCCAAAGCTTTGGGACCCTGCACCCGCGTGGGAGACCCGAAGGAGTTTCCTGGATCCTGGCTTCGGATCAGCATAGCATTGGCCGTTGTGGTCACTTGGGGAGTGAATCATTGGACGGAAGATCTTCCTCTCTGTCTCCTCTCTATACATCTGACTTTCCAATAAAAATAATTTTTAAAATTTTTTAGAAAGGATTTCTCGGGCCCGGCGTGGTGGCGCAGTGGTTAAGGTCCTCGCCTGGCACGACCGGGATCCCATATGGGCGCAGGTTCTAATCCCGGCAGCCCCGCTTCCCTTCCAGCTCCCTGCCTGTGGCCCGGGAAAGCAGTCGAGGACAGCCCAAAGCTTTGGGACCCTGCACCCGCATGGGACACCCGGAGTAGGCTCCTGGCTTCGGATTGGCATAGCACTGGCCGTTGCGCTCGCTTGGGGAGTGAATCATCGGACGGAAGATCTTCCTCTCTGTCTCTCCTCTCTGTATATCCGCCTTTCCAATAAAAAAAATAATAAAAATAAATCTTTAAAAAAAGGAAAGGATTTCTCATCTTGCTTCTGCTTCCTCCCTCTCCATTCCCCCCCACCACCATTTCTTCCCATATTATTACAGTAATATTGCGCTTTAACAACAGCTACAAATTTAACATTCTGCTATTTAAGTATGCCATGGAACCATAGGTGTAGACAAAGATAAAAATTCTAGCAATATATTATCAAGTTATATTTTACCATTTCACTGGGAGCAAAGACTCCTACTGTGACTTAATAGTACTGACACTGTATATACGATGAAAATCATACATTTTATGGAAGATTTAGCAGTAGCAGAAGAGACTTGAGAAATTCTACCATAATTTCAAATAATTATTGTTTGAGTAATTAAACAGTGTGGAAAAGTAATGACACAATTGTTAAAATTCCTGTTAGCTAATAAGACCCAGTGGACAGGTTGTTTTTTTAATTGATGTGTTCTTCCAGATGCATTTGATATCGGTGAGATGATTTGATAGTCACACTCATGTACTCCTTGTGTCTCGTTGAATCATTTGATAGTACACATTTGGAGATAGTAAGAGTTTCCAGGCAAAGAAAGCCTCGTTTTCACTGATGGTATTTGAGAACTAGAACCAATGATGATCATCATTAGTATTCAGAAAAGATACATTCCTTCAGTAAGAATAGACCCAGCATCTACATCTCAGACTCTGAAAATAAAAACAAATCTGGCTTTTTCTCTTTTCAGATATGGTTTTGCAACATGGGCACACTACAGACTATTTGTTTCTTGGGAATTTCATTTATACGGTAAGATCGCCTATATGCACAAAATCACTTTTCCTAGTTACTAATTGGAAAAACATAAGTCAGATTTATAACATTGTGTAAGTCTCCTTCACACTCTAAACCCTTTGCCAATAGAAGAAATGTATGAAATGAGAAATGCGAGTGCATATACAAGAACACGTTATCCATTGCCACCACCACTCTTTTTTGTACAAGGAGAGAATTTTCTTCAGTTTGTTCTTTCATTGTGTAATGTCACTGAATGATGATTTCAAATCAGCTCTTCAGTATCTATATCAAGGATGGTTATGTGAATAAGGTACCATTCTCTAGGTAACTATTGTTCTAGGAAAGGACCTTGAAGTTGATTTTGACCATTTGTAAGAACAATGTGTCAAAAACCTCCTTATGCCCAGGAGTAAGTGCATGCGTAGGGTACACACAAATGCACAATTTATTTATTTTTATTTGAAAGACAGATTTTACACACACACACACACACACACACAGAGAGAGAGAGAGAGAGAGAGAGAGAGAATTCCATCTACTTGTTCATTCTCCAAATGGCCACAATGGCCAGAACTGAGCCAATCAAAGTTTCCACCAGAAGCTTCTTCTAGGTCTCCCACATGGGTGCAGTGGCCCAAGGACCTGAGTCATCCTTCACTGCTTTCCTATGTCATAAGCAGTGAACTAGATTAGAAGTGGAGCAGCCAGGACTTGAACTGGAACCCACATGGGATGCTGAAGCCATAGACACAGGATTAGCCCATTGAGCCACCATGCCAGTCCCCTTAGGATATATTTGTGTAAGTGTGATTGCCTTGTAGGGTACTACGAATTTTGAAAGTCATTACAAAGAGGCTCTCCAAGATTCCATGAAAAGTGGTATTATATTTGCATCCAGTGGATAAAATTACACCCTATTGCAATTTTTACTTTGAGAGTAAACATAATTGCATAAAATTAAAAAGCATTATCACAGACATTTCACCTTCTGTGTCTCACTTTGTTATCAAATCTTTGTACTTCAGCATATACATTTTATGAAATTAAGTGTATGAGTAATTCTTTGTGACATCTAAGTTTTGTGTTTGCAATTGCTGCTAGTCGTTGCTTATTCATAGATTTTAAAATATAAATGCCGATTCAACTGTGTGTCATTCCATTTACACATCATTCCATTTATTCACATCTAAATTTTTTTGGTTTTTTTGTTTATCAACATATCATAAGCCATTTGCCCCATGTTTTCCTTCATGGAAGAAGTAATTTACTGGGATGTTGCCTCTGTTCACTTGTGCTAGCTGTCTTGATTGTCTCCCATTGTTGGCTGTGCTCTTTCTCTTACACATTCCTTAATACTAAATGTGATTAGGCTGTGTTTTCTTTTTTTAATTTGGAAGTGTCTGTAGAACAAATTTCCTTGTCAGATCTCCCCACTGCCTCAGACCTTACCCTTTTCTCAACCTCAGGAGGAAAATATCACTGAAATCAAACAAGATTTTGGTTCTTTGTTTCCTCCACTAATCAGCATTTCTTGAGAACCTGTCATGGGGGGAAAATACTGTTAGGTGTAAAACAGATGTGTAAAATTTATGTTACTTACAGAAGATGTAAATATGACTACTTCTCGCATAAGCAATGGTTTTAATTAGAGGTTAAAGAGCTTCTGGACATGGAGAACTCTAAACATAGGACACAAGTACATGCGTGCATACAAAGGGAGACTTACAGAAGATGCTAGAGTGAACCAAAGGCTGAACTGTCCCAAGTCTTACAAAGGCTTATGAAATATCACCGAAATAGTAAAACCAACAATAAAAGTCACAAGAAAGTAATTCACCACAACTATAAAGAGAGAAAAGGCTCTCTAGCAAAATGCTTCGTACAGCAGCACCCCGAAGTGGGATGCTGCTGGAGAAACACAGGACCAGCAGGTTCAGGATGCTGCAGTCACTGACCTCTCGGCCAGCATGCTGACCCCATTGTTAGTGAGCTGGAGGAGCCCAGGGACCCTCTGGGAAGGTGGAGTTGACCCTGGTGCTTTGGGGGAAATAACAGGCCAAGTGGAGCAAGAACACAGAGTAAACTATGAGCTGGTTAAGAGAGACTAAGATTAAGTGTAGAAATGAATTTGGAGTGTTTAAGATACAGGATGGAATAGCTTTGATGAGATGATAGAAACTTGCGAGAATATAGATACTGGAGACAGATGAATATAATGCAAGCCTATGTTGAATTTTAAACACCCTGTGTGTCACTTCTCCGGTACTGCAAATGATCTGCACTGCAACGAAATCACACTTGATAAAACACTGGGAACTTTTACTTTGAGACTGGGACTAAGACAACAATATTCAGTGTGGCATCTCTTCAGCTTTGCAACAGGATTGCTACTAAATATATATATATATATATATATATATATATATATATATATATACGCTTTAAAGGGCAAAAAAAAAAATCTGATTTACACTTCCATAACCTGAGTGTGTGTATAGAAAACACAAAAAGAATCTACACACAGTTTGATAATCAGCAGAACCCGATCATTTGCTAGATTCCATCCAATATTTAAAATCAGTGATTATTTTGATATGCTTGACAGATATTCAGAAAATTGAAATTTTAATACCATTCACAATAGTATGAAACGTGAAGAGCATATATATATACATATATTATATATATGTTAAACAAGTGATATTTAAGACCTATTTGTTAAAAACTAAAAATTTATTGGAGACATTAAGAACATCTAAATGAAAAAATGTACCAAGACTCAATGATGAAAGATATCAGCTATGAGTAGATTTATAGGTTTATTAAAATCCCACTAATAAATCCTCAGTGTTTAGTGATATATTTTAGAAATGTGCATGGAAATGCCAAAGCAGCACAAAGCTGACATTTTTGACTTGCAATAGCTTCAATTTACTCTGCTGGGTTGTGTTTTTATCAGAAGCTCTGAGACCTCTAGAATGAATCAAATCTTCTACGTTGTTTATGAAAAACGAACACATACTGATTTAAGTTGTATGTTGAAGGATTTCAAAGTACAACAATGAGTGATAAACACCAGGTTCTCAGATCTAAAACCCGGTGTGGCACTTGGCAACAGCTAGGTCCACTGGACAGGGAGCGGAAAACGTGCGGAGGGTCAGGGCCGGACGGGGGAGAGGTGGATTCTGATGGACACTTCTCATGCATTCTCCCTGTGTCTCTCCCCTTCTCTCCTCATACAGTACGTAGTTGTTACTGTTTGTCTGAAGGCTGGATTGGAGACAATGTCCTGGAACAAAGTGAGTATGGTTTTCGCCCCCAAACCTGGCTTTTATGTTGATTTCATGTTTTAAAGATTTATTTCATCTTTATTTGAAAGGCAGAGTCACAGAGAGAGGAAGACACGCACACACACACACACACACACACACACACACACACACACACACACACACACATCCCTTCACATACTGGCTCACCTTCCAAATGGCTGCAAAAGCCAGAGCTGGGCTGAGCTCCAGCTAAGAGCTTCTTCTGGGTCTCCCATGTGGGTGCAGGGACCCAAGGACTTGGGCCATTCTCTGCTTCTTTCTCAGACTGTGGGCAGGAATCTGGGTTGGAAGTGGAATAGCTAGGCAGGAATTGGCGCCCATACAGAATGCTGGTGCTACAGGCAGAAGCTTAACTACCTTACCGTGCCAGTCCCCTGTTGATTTACTTTTAAACTTTAGAAGAATAATAAGCTTTTCTTTTCTTGGTCTCCACATTTTACCTTCTGAAAGTTTGCATATTCAGGTGATGATTTAAACTGGAAAAAAAATTACCTACTCTAATGCCTTCGGGATATTGAGGGTTTTTTTTATGCTTAATTTGAAATCAGTTCCAGTTAGCATGCCACCAATTGGACCACTCTTTTGCTATTAGTATCCAAATACAGAATTATAACAGAAAGTGTAGTTAATTCAGAAAGAGAAGGAAAATGATTTTGCCAGCAGCTTCCAATGCAGATGGCGTTGATTTTTTGGTTCCTGGTCTTTCAGTCTTTGTTCTATGGATTTATTTTTGATTTTTCACAAAAATAAAACCACAAAGTAGCTGACATTTTGTAACTTTCTTTTTCATGTAGTAACAAGCATTTCAACATTCTATAGAATATTTAATGTGTATGTGCCTACAATGGCTGTATTGTATTTCATCCCAGGAATATTTCCTTACATTATTTTTAATGGAATGATTGTCTTAATGTTTATCATTATAAACTATAGGCAACCAGCCCCATTATAAACATATAAAGGGTAATTTTAAGAGTGAATGCAAAATGGAAATAAAAGATAAGTTCATTTAAAAATATTTATTTATTTGTTTATTCATTCATTCATTCATTTGAAAAGAGAGAGAGACAGAGACAGACAGGGAGAGGGCTCTTCCACCCACCAGATCATTCTTCAAATTCCGGCCAACAGTCGGACTGCGCTATGTGAAAGGCAGTCACCTGAAACTCAGTCCGGTTCAACTGAAAGATTAGCCTGCTCTAGATTTATGAAATTTCAGGTCCTGCCTACTATAGCCTTGACGTAGCCAGAGCTAGTGATTTCACAGGTGTTGACCTTATGTTCCCCGTTAAAATGAGCACAGGGAACAGAGTGAACCGCCTCTCCCAGCAGCACCATGGCTTACCATTGCCCCCTAGAGGACAGCCCTCTCTGAAGGACCCTCCTGGAGAGACCCAGAAAAACACGTCACGGAGCTGTGAAGTTCAGATTTCTCAGCTGTGAGCTGACCCTCTTCCCCATCATCTTCTGCACCAGCCCAAGAAGCCAGCTCCATTCACTCCAACCAGAAAGAGGCACTCTGATTCACACAAGTCATGAAAAATTGCCCTTGAAGATATCCGTGACAAGTCAACATGCACTTGTTCTTGTTCCCTAGACACACTTAACTCACCCATAGTACCTGGTGGTGGATGAGAGAATTTGAGCCCTTAATCAGTGATCTAGTACAGATAATTGGTGTCAGAAACAGATAACAAACAGATGATCATATGGAGATAATAGATCGGTATCCAATAAAGCCAGCATTTCAGAACAAGAGTCTCTGGGTTTCCCTTCCTAGTCCCCTGATAACACAAAGTCCACCAAGCAACAGACCAACAGCCGGATGGATCTGACCATAAAATTGACAAAAGTCCCGAGACCCAGCCAAGGCAGCAACCTTTTAACCGAGGATCTCCATCAGCCTCCCACTCCTAGCTCAGCAATCCAAGACCACCACTTCCATCAGTATCTCGGCATTTGTGACAAAGAACGAATACTAATTGGTCCAATGCTTGTCTCTCTTGATGGTCTGTGTGCGGGTGTCTTTAAGAAAGCTCCATGTTAAGCAGTTGGCAAAAGAAGACAGCCTCATTGAAGAACTCACCCACTGTATGAAGTACTTCCAATGCAGTGTTCATTTGCTCTGAAGACGCTGCTTGTCGCTGGGCTGACCAGTGGATGTTGCTTTAGATATTTATTTAGATTATTTATTTAGATACTTAGATATCATGAATCTTTGAATCTACAGAAAGAAAGAAAGAAAGAAAGAAAGAAAGAAAGAAAGAGAGAAAGAAAGAAAGAAAGAAAGAAAGAAAGAAAGAAAGAAAGAAAGAAAGAAAGAAAGAAAGAAAAAGGAAATGTCCTGAGAAGCATTGGGAAAAATATCTCAGGTATCCGACAGCTCAGAGGTTACCAGCATGGTCACATGAAGAGACAAAGGTATCCTGCTAGTGGACAGAGCTAAGCCATTGTTTCCCCCCTTTCCTCTGGCATTTTCTCTCTGGCAGTTCAGTCACTTGGCGATTTGGGGCAGCATCATCTCGTGGATGGTGTTTTTCGTGGCTTACTCTTACTTCTGGCCCACCGTTCCCATTGCTGCTGATATGAGCGGCCAGGTGAGGGCTTCCCACCGTGAGTATGCTTGTCATTCCTCATCAACGTTCGTGCTTGCTAACAGCAGAGGGCAATCTCACCTATTACCAGGATGATTTGGGAAGAAAAGATCAAAAGAATGCAATAAGCAGTTTGCTTAGTTATAATAAAATTTAGATTTTTCCCTCTAAATTCTCATTACTTATCTATCAACTATTCTTTCCAAAATGTGTATCCTTCCTTTATAACAGACAGAAGCCATAATTTCTGAACCATTTTAAATGTGTAAACTAATATTGTAATTATATTTGTCTTGTGCTCAAGTTGTTTATTATTGGGAATGCATGATAATTAAGAAAACATAGTTTTTTTTTAACATATTTGACTAAGTAGAATAGCTTTAGTGCTGTAGAAACAGCACATGGCATAAACTTACACTTTAAAAACACAAGGAAGCTATTTTTTAAACTTGTGCATGTGTCATAGGTTATATGTTATCTATACTTTTGCACTTATTTGTGTATTTCTAAATCCTACTTTGTTTATGTCTATTTAGGTAACTAGTCCCCACACTGCTTACAACAGAATTCCACTTTACTAAAATTAGAGGTAACTTTGGTACAAACCAGTTACTAAGCGAAGAAATGCAAGCCCAAAGTTCCCCACACAGTTTCTACTGAAATGGTTCATTGCATCATGCCAACCTGACTACAAGAGGGAATATATTAAAAATGTTATTTTGGCAGGTGTCTGTGAGGGTGTTTCCAAACAAGATCAGCATATAGTCTGAACAGAGTAGGTGGTAAAACCCAGCAAGGATTATCCAATCAGAGAATATATACAAAAGACAGGGCTGGCTTCTTGCTCTGAGGGCTGGGACACACTGGACTCCTGAACTTTTCACCGGCAGCCGCTTCTCCAGTTCTCAGGCTTTTGACCTTGAAGCAATAGCCCTTGGCTCCCCTGGTCCTGAGCCTGTTGAACTTGGACTCACAGCCTGGTGTCTCTAGCCACAGGTGGTCTGTCACGGGGCTTCTCGGATACTGTGGTCATGTGTGCCAGTTCCCCTACTAGATTGCCCCTCTTCCACCTCTATCCATTTCCTAGTGACTCTACTTCATGGGAACCATCCCTCATTCATCTGAACACCACACAGCACCCTCTTAGACCCTGCCTCTGTCCATGTTGATGGGAGATGGTTACCATACCTTTAGGCCTTGAGTAGCCCAAAGGCCAGTCAACAAGAATGCGAGCATGCAAGAATGCAAGAAGCTTTCCATTTCTACCATGACCAAGTGACTGCTATTGAAATCGACTGGAGCCAGCTCTGTGGCTTAGTGAGTAGAGCCATTGCCTATGGTGCTAGTATCCCATACAAGCAACAGATCAAATTCCAGTTGCTCTATTTCCAATCCAGCTCCCTGTTAATGCACCTAAAATGTAGCGGAGGATGGTTCAAGTGCTTGGGCCCTGTCACCACATGAGAGATCCATAAGAAGTCCCTGACTCCTGATGCCAGCCTGGTCCGGCCCAACCATTACAGCAAATTGGGGAGTGAATCAGCAGATCAGAGATTCTCTCTCTCACTTTCGCTCTCTCTCTGTCTCTTCCTCTCTCTATATAATTTTGACTTTCAAACATGTAAATAAATCATTGAACAAAAAAGAACTTAAAGTTTTGTGTTCCTCATGCTTCTGAATGTTCTCAGTGAGTTAAGTTTTGAAATGTAGGAATATGAAGGTTTGGTGAGTTAAAATATTAAATATTATTCTTTTCACCTGATAGTCAGTAAGATTCATATAAGGATAAACTCAATTGTCCCAACATCCCTTTCTGTGTATACCTTCAGAGGAAAGCCATCCTCCATAGAGAGGAGCCAACATCTTTCTGCATTGAAGATGTTGAACACATCTACCTTCCAGTTCCTAAACATATCCAAACCTCGAAAGTCCAAAAGCTAACCCTCTGACAAATTTTTTAAAAAAATAAAATACTTTCTAAAGATTTATTTTTTATTATTGGAAAGGCAGATTTACAGAGAGAAGAAGAGGCAGAGAGAAAGATCTTCCAACCACTGGTTCACTTGCTGAATGGCTACAGTGGCTGGAGCTGAGCCCAGCTGAAGTTAGGAGCCAGAAGCTGCTTTGAGGTGTCTGATGAGGGTCCAGGATTCCAGTACATTGGGTCATCCTCCAGTGCTTTCTCAGACCACAAGCAGGGAGCTGGATAGGAAGTGAACAGCTGGGACACGAACTGGTGCCCATGTGGGATCCTGGTTCTTGAAGGAACGGGGATTAGCCAATCTGAGCCACTGAGTCATTCCCTCAGTGGAAGAATTTATACCCTCAAAAGCCAGAAATGAAAGATCCTACCTAAAAAGTAATAATTACTAGGAAAAAAGAAGATGCAAACGAATGAAAGACACTGAAAGAAATAAAAAGGTGCATTTGACAATCAAATACAAATCATCTAATGAACATGTGTAACCGATCTGAGTGCTCAGCTGAATCATTTCTTGTAAGGAAATTACAGTCTTAAATGGATGAGATGGGAAAAGAAATGCTGAAAAAAAAATCTTTCAGTCTCAAACTAAAAAACCTGGGAAATTGATCAAGAACCACAACTAAGAAACTAGAAAAAGGAAATAATAAGAGGCAAATGAAATAGGAAACAATCGTACAGTGGTAAATAAATAAAAGAAAAACCACAGTTGCGTTTCTTTTATTATTTTTGTTTTTCAAGATTTGTCTTACTTATTTGATACAGAGAGAGAGAGAGAGAGAGAGAGAGAGAGAGAGAGAGTAAAGGAGATTAAGATCTTCCGTCTATTGGTTTATTTCCCAAATGGCTGCAAAGGCCAGAGTGGGACCATGCAGAAACCAGGAGCCTGAAACTCCTTCCAAGTCTCACATGAGGGTGGCAGGGTCCCAAGCACTTGCGCCAATGCGTGCTGCTTCCCCGGGTGCAGGAACAGGCAGTTGACTTGTAAGTAGAGCAGCTGCAAATTCGTCCATCACTCATACAGGAATGTCAGTGTCTCAGGTGACAGCTTGATGTATTGTTCCACCATACCAGCCCTCAGAGATGGCTCTTTAAAAAGTTCAATAAAAGCGATAAATTTCTAACATGACTATTGAGAAAGAGAGTGAAATAGAAAAAACGCCACTACCAGTTCAGACACTCATAAGACCTGTCTTTTCCCACTCGGTCCTTCTTGTTCACCATCTTACTGTCTTCTCAGGTGACCCAAATTAGCATGAGCATCAAAAGACGATGTTATCAGCAAATTAACACATTTGTATGGACAGAAACATTCCACAAAAAGTGTAACTTCATCCAACCTGGAAGAGACACTGGGGAGGTTTTGATAGCTATTTGGGGAATCTTGGGTGCTCAGCTTGTTTTCTCCTCAGTTCATTTTGCAATTTATGGGACAGCACGTGCCAGAGTGGAGCATCAGAAGAAATACCGTAAGAAGCAGAGTACTGATCAGACTCAGCAGATAAATACCGAACTTTAGGACATGCCAGAGGTATTACATCAACGGGTCTCACGGTTGATTCACAGAAAATCGGGAGTACCAAAGGCAACCTAGAGGGAGGGAGGAGAGCCCTCTCTTGTCTCAAACGTTGGGTGAAATGAAGCGATTAAAGGCAAGCACCAAGGAACCTGTTGAAGGCAGAGAGGAAGTACTTCAGGAGAACAGGAAGACCATTGTTTTAAAGGTGATGTCTAGCAGTAAGGTTGTGTTCTAAGTAATATGATCCTGGCAATCTTGGTCTAGAAACTCATTTGATAGAGTTGTCTGTACAATAGGCTGCCATGTTAAGTAACCTAATATCACATCTAGGTTTTTGTTGATTTAGCAGTTCTAACATGATATGATTGTCTCCATATTTGTTCTTGCATCTCCAGGTTTGGCATGTGACAGCAGCGTTGGTGCCTAATATTGACAAACAGAAACTTCATTAAACACTTTTTATTTCCCTTTCTTTGCAGGCCAATATGGCCCTGATCTGTCCACACTTTTGGCTGGGTTTTTTGATAGTTCCTACTCTGTGCCTGATCCAAAATGCATTGTGGAAAGTGTAAGTTTAAAAATGAGGTGAAAACTAAAATTTTGTGGTCATGCTTAGCTACCTTTTCTCAATATGTATGTCCAAATGATTCTGAGTACCACCTTATGAATACCAAATGCCACGAGGCTTTTGAAGGAAGCAAATGTGTTCCAATAATGGAGCAAGAATCATTTAAAAAGTGAAATCAAAATGCATCGGATGGTTATGAAATTTGGTTGCCTATGTTTTATTTTCAGAAATTGGATTTGTTGACTTCTAGAAATGTGACTTAAACCATTTTACTCTACAGAAGTCAAACCAGATGCTCAGAGAATCACACGTTAAAAATTAATAACAAAATAAGAAATAGGAAGAAGTTATTAAAGATGCAATGTTCTTCATGATTCAAAAAAACACTTTGGAGTAGGAATATCTCAAATATGTTTTCCTAAGATATTATTATATTAGGCTATAGGGTCTTACTATTAATTCTTTTAGCCAAATTCTGCAGGAAAAATATACTTTCAGCTACAATGTTGGGAATCCCTGGAATCTCTAATGCTAACAATGACCCATGAAATACAAATTTTTTAAAATTAGAAATAATTAATTTATTATGTAATTATTACCTGAATTTCATAACATGAACACCAAAGCTCTAGAATAGTATAAATTTCTAACTAAATTTATGAACAGAGAAAGGTATACCCTGGAAGGAATAGTAGTAATTTTGCTTCTCAATGTTCAGTTCTTTCTTAATTCTTCAATATACCAAGGAAATCTTAATTATCCGTCAGTCTCAAAGTGGAGACTAAAGCCTTACTGCCGATGGGTGAGATCCCTGCCACATCCCGTGTGTGTGTGTGTGAGTGTGTGTATGTGTGTGTATGTATGTGTGTGTGTGTATGTATGTATGTGTGTGTGTGTGAGTGTGTGTATGTGTGTGCGTGTATGTGTGTGTATGTGTGTGAGTGTGTGTATGTGTGTGCGTGTATGTGTGTGTATGTGTGTGTATGTGTGTATGTATGTGTGTGTATGTGTGTGTGAGTGTGTTATGTGTGTGTATGTGTGTATGTATGTGTGTGTGAGTGTGTGTGTGTAAGTGTGAGTGTGTGTGTGTGTGTGTGTGTGTGTGTGTGTGTGTGTGTGTGTGTGGTCTTTTCCGTCAATTCATTTTGAAGCCCTGTCTTGACTGGCAGTTGAAGAAGTCCTTTGAAGAAATCTTTATATTGGTATTAGTTTGTCAACCAAAGTTAGCAATAAGAGACAGGGTAAAAGTAGTGAGGTTTAATTTTTTTAAAAGATCTATTTATTTATTTGAAAGGAAGAGTTAAATACTGGGGAGTGGGGGAGGAGCAGTTCTTCCATCCACTGGTTCATTCTCCAAATGGCAAAAAAAAAAAAAAAAAGGCCAGTCATGGAGTTGAATTGGAAATGGAGCAACTGGGACTTGAACCAGCTCTCATATGGGATTGTGACACCACAGGTGGCTCTCAGTACTGAGGTGTTAATCCTTATATTTATTTGTATTGTCCTGAGAGAAGACATGAGCTTTTGAAGGCAGAGACAGGTGTTCACTGCTGACCAACAGCAATAGCATCCCCTTCCTGGGGCAATGCCATGACGATGATGACAGGCCTGCGAGTGCCAGAGCCCCACAGAAGAGGAATCCCTGGCGTGCAAACCTGGGAGTGTGGTTGGAGAGGAACAGCTGTCTCCTCTGCCCTCCTGAGAGCCAACAGAGTTCGCTGCTTTGCTTGAACGAACTCTCCTAGGGAAATGGAGGGGGAGGATCGTGGCACATTTTGTGTCTGTCTTTAACATCTTAAAATAATTTAATTTCTAGCTCATGACCAAAATGTCATTACAATGTTCTCTATTGGTTTTGCTTGTTTTTTAATTTGTCTTGCAGTGTCCAGATGAATGCATACTACGTATAACTTTTTCATAAGTAGGAGTCGTGAGTTTTTGCAATTGGGATAAAGTCTCACTCCTCTTTTTCCAAGACCTAAACCACATATTAGCTGCTTTTCCTTCCTCATTTTTTGTGGAATGATTTTTCCCTAGTAATTCCTTGCTAAGTCTTCATGATGGCTAAGTCTTGTGATCAACTGGGAGAAGAGTATGTGTGGTAAAGTTGTCGCTTATCCACTTGCTTTTGGTTCGTTTCAATTACCTAGAAAGGTTTGCAGTAGATAGATGGAATGATACCACAGTCTTTTAGTTAAAACATTGGTAGAATAGAGCAATGGGGACAGAGGATACTAACTTCTTTTTGTGGGCAGAAGCTTAGAAAATTCGTTAAATAGTAATAGATCACTTATATACAAGAAAATGTTTTCCTCTGGGTATATATTAGTATTTGAGGTTGCTGATTTTATTAAAAGATTTCTTAATTAATTTTAAAGGCAGAGTTCAGATAGATAGATAGATCTTCCATTTGCTGGTTTACTCCCCAAATAGACATAATAACCGAGGCTGAGCAGGGCGAAAGCCAGGAGACTGGAACTCTGTCTGGGTCTGAACATAAGTGGCTCACGTGTTTGTGCCATCACCTGCTGCTTTCCCAGGCACATCAGAGGAGAACTAGACTGGAAGTAGAGCAGCTGGATTCAAATTGACATTCATTTGCGATTTCAGTATCACAAACTATAACTTCATTCGCTGCAAGATGTCACCTCTGCTTTTTGCTTGTAAAGTTACTTTGAAGACCATGGTATCATATTTCTGGACTTTGTTCTGAAATTGGACCATTGATCTCTCTGGTCTCTCTGAATCCACCAATCCTCTGTTTTCTCACCATCATTGTTCATTTCACCCCATCTAAAAACCATAAATCATGGAATCTTACTAGCACCCTAAACTCTTTCACACTTTTATTTTATACGTGCAAGGTGGTAAAAATAGTCACAATAAGCCAGAAGTTCCTACACCATCCTTGATCGATGCCTCTGCTGTGCTTCTTCCCAAGATCAAGGCCAAATCCTCCTCAAGGCCAGGGATGTTCTGCTCTGGGCCACCTCACCTGGCTCCTCTCTTTACACCCCCAGGAGAGTTTCTGTGTCTGATGTTTGCTCTGTCAGGAATGCTCCTCTCTGACTGCCCCCACTGCAGGCCTTTCTTAGACCACAGCTCCATCCCACCCTCTCAGAGGAGTCTTGGCGGACCCCTCCATGTGCCTCCACCTCTGCCTCGCTTTGCTGCAGCATCGTGTGCATTCCCTTTCATCAGCCCTATCCTTCATTTATCATCCTGTCACTCATAGGTGTCTCCCTCTTGTTTGGACTTCTCATGAAAGTAGAAGTGAGTCTGTTTTGGCAGAGTAAGAGATCATTTAGGGAATGAGTGGATGAATGATGAATGCTTGAATATAGATGCAGACCCCCAGTGAGAGTATATCGCCAAAGAAGGGGAGACTGGCTCACCTTGTATGTTCCAAGGCAGGTGTTGGCACCTCTGAGTCATGACCTATTGAGACTTCCACTCCACCCTCATGATTGCTGTAAATGGCATGGCTACTCACAACTGAATACTAACTTAAACATCAAAATTCCCAGTGCCCATAGTCAAAAAAGCTGCTGAATGTCTTCACAAAAGCTCATAAGAAAATGCATATCATGAAGAAAAAAAAATAAACTACCAAAGATCTCAAAATTGCTTTGCCTTAAAATCAGCTCATCTTTTAATTCCATTTTCCCCGAGTGTTTTGAAGAGCCCTGTTACTTGGGGTGCATAGAATCCTGTCTCAGTCCTGTGAGTCTGTCAGCAGTTGGGCAGGTGCACTTTCTAGAGTCACATCTCTCCTGCGTCCTGTATACACCCTGATGGCCCTATAGGTGAGTGGGATGGGGCTGACCTACACTGCTCCTCTCAGCGCCGCATCCCATAGCATTTGCGTCACACACAGAGGCTACAAATGGGTGCACCGTGTTCCACCACATTGCCTATAGGGTGCGGAGATTCAGTTGTCTCCTAAGAGGAGAGAAAGTTGTCCCTGCTGGTGTGTGTATAGCTCATATGTTATCCTCTTTCTATCTTTCTCATGTAAAGGCTGAGAAATACCTGCAATAAATCTTTTCTAGAAGAAGTTCGAGAGATGGAACGTAGCAAAGGTCCAGAACGCGATCTCTCTAAAATGCCAGAAAGGAGGTAAGGTGGTTCCCTTTATCTTGTTCTTTGTTCAAAAACCATTCTCCTTGCCTTGTCCCCCGCTTTCTCCTCATAGCTGCTTGCAGACTGTCCGTGAGCCCCCAGCTTACCGAGTACTTGTCCAACTGGAATCCTGATCTAGAAGTCATACCTGTAGAGCTGTCCCTTCTTCCCCAAACAGGACGTGGGGATACACAGACAATACTAATTATAAAAAGCAGACGATATCAATTATGAAAATAGTGCTAAAACTCTGAGCAACCACTACCCGTAGAGGTTTTGACTGGGAGGTTTTAAGAGGAAGATTCCATATGGAAAGGAAATTAGCCTTTATCTTGATGTGGGAGACCTCTGCCAAAATGCATGACACTGAACTTTCAGGGCCTTGCACTCTCTCATGCACAAAACGCACTTCCATAAAAGACACTGAGACACAGTGCAAATATGTGAGAGAGAAGTTGTCTAACAAAAGGCAAATTTGCCAAAATGGACAAAATGTTTCTAGACGTCAGCAAAGAATGCACCACCAAGTAACAGTAAAGTGAGCAAAGGAACTAAAGAAGGAACTAAAACAGCAAAAAATTATGGAGTAAATGATTTTACTTTGGTGCAAATTAAAAAAAAAACTTTTCAAAAAGTTCTTGGGAAGTGCATACTGGGAAAAACCTGTGCACGGACTACACAGTGATACAGAACATCAAAACAGAACATGATGCATGCTATGCAAGTTTTTGTGCAAGGTCCAGGATATTCAATTATGTAGTCACCTTTACTTATTTCCAAAGAATTCTCCAAGAAACTAATTCTGGTGAATATCAGAGAGTGCAGAATCACAGAGGAGACAAGGAAAGCAATGTTTGGGTTTTTTCTTTTGTTTTTAAAATCTTTGACCCATGAAAAATATGAGAGAGTAGAGATAGATACGTGAGTTCTAGAAATTTCATAGCCAAATGCATTTCAGGTGATGTATAGGTAAGCAAAAGAAATATCCCTGTCTGATTCTTGTAAGTTCTCAGCTCAGGAGAGGCAGAGGACCAGCCTTGGCATGGAAGCTGAGTCACATGAGGGGAGCTGGCTCTTCTGGCAAGAGATTGGTAGGACCACTGTGAACACTGACAGCAGTTGTAGTTTGTCACAAGCTCCCTGCTCCTCAAATCCCTGGAAAAATCAATGTATGTGGCAGATACAGTAGGGCAGGTGATATTCAAGAAGTGGGAAAACATCAGGCTAGATTGCATGGGTAAGGATTGCTTTTAAGGGAAAAATTTAAACAACAACTAAATTCCTGAACAGTGGCAGTCTTGGAGGGGATAAATTCATAAAATGATCCCATGACTTGCAATGGAAGAGGTCTTGAATGTGGGTTTGCACTGTGCTCTTCCAATGAGTTGTGGGAGCTACAGAAGAAGCCACCCCAGCTTTAAGGAGGGCCGACCTTTCCTGACACATGGCCAAGAGTCGTGAATCAGGCTAATGTACTGCAGTGCCAAGAGGCAGTCATTGCACCTGGACCAATAGAAAAGGGAGCCAGGACAAAGGTTAGTGATACAAGGGCCACAGGACACGTGTGGTGCTCTGGGCAGCTGCAGGCAGCACCTTTAGTGCTCTGGACAGTGCAGCACCTCGGAAAGGCCACTCAGGAACATTCTGTGCAAGAAATGTGCTCGGGGAAACAGTGCTGACCATGATGGGAGGACCTCCCCTTTTTATTTTTTAATATGTGAGTATTTTCCAAAATGTGATGACAGGTTTTGTTTTGTTTTCATTTTCACCTCATCACCTGATTCTCTTCCAATGAAATTCTTCTGAGAGTTGGCAGAATGAACTGAAATCTCGCTGTATTGTTTTATTCCCAGGGTGCAAGCAGCAAGTCTCGACGTGGTCTTAGAGAACACTTCTGTTGATCTCAGTGCCCCCCGTAAGTAAAACAGGCAATACTGTGGCTTATGACCCTGAAGCTCCATCTGCTCAACAAGAAGGATAAATAATAAAAGCCAGGTCATTCTGCTGGAAGGCACTATGTTCAGTGAGATAAGTCAGTAACAGAAAGAGCAATACCATAGATGCCACCGACGTAAGGTACTCGCAGTAGTCGTAAAGGGAATAGTGGGCACTGATGGCTGGCAGGTGGAAATGGCAGGTGCAGGAAATTCAAAAGTTTGTAGAAATGGGGATAAAAGATACGTTTATTTTAGTGCAATTGTTTTGAAATCCATCCATATGAGGGATCTTCCACAAGACATGACTTTTTGCTTTTTCTTGCCAAAATCCACTTACATTTTATCCCAGTTAGCAGACTCTCTGATGTCCCCTTGTGTGTAGTGTTGCAAACGGAAAAGAGCTGCTCTGGAGAGGACAGTGGTTAGGACTGTACCACGTGGGGATGTGCTGACCACCACTGACCTGCACACCCACCAGCAGTGAAGGTGGTAAACTTGATGTTCTGTATGTTGTGCCAAAGTATAAAGAATAACTCAAGGGAGAATATTCATGTTATTATCTATTTTTTAAAAAGAGATATTTCTTAAAAGACAAGGAGTGATCAATTACTTTGGAGGAATTATTGTGTTTGGCCTAAACCAAAGTATATTTTGAAAGAAAATAATTCTTGGTCCCTCATGTCTAAATCATAAAATCATTCATTGTGAAATTCCAATGTTTTCAAGATCCTTTAGTGGATTTGAAATATTCCGTTTAAACGTGAAAGTGGCATCTGGGTCTAGACATTTTTTTACCTAAAGAAAATTTCTATATCCTTTTTTGTTTTGTTTTTGGTGTAAAAGTTAACCACAAGAACATCTTAAAATTACTCTATTTCCTCTTCCTTTAATAAGAAATATGTCTGAGAAATGTGTTAATGGAAAGCTTGGGCCTTATATGGGGATGTTAACGCTAAATTCTGTACTGAAAAAAAAAGAGAAGGGAAGCCAAACAAAAAGGTATTAACAATAAAGGAAAATCTGGTATTTGCTGGAATTGAAATGTAATTGCCCCTCCCCCTTTTTTCTTACTAAGTCGTAGAGTTTTTAAATTCTAGGGGCAAAGTATTTCCAGCATGCCACACTCGTGACTTTGATCTTACAGGTTACTCGTTTTTCATTTTTGACTGATGTCTCTTCAATGCAGTCTCTTACAATGTAAATGTTCCATGATTTGGTTCTTCAATTGTTTCCCTCCCACCTATGGATATTCACTTCACCGATAATCTTATCCTGGTCTCCGCACTTGTTGATAACACTCAAATTTGTTTGCCCTGCCCACACTTCTCTCTCAGATACCAAATTCAGGCATCCTGCCACCCCTTCATCACCCATTCCCATTTGCTTGTTGTCTAATATGTATTTCAAACTTTGTGTTCCCCTAACTGAACTCATGGGCTCCTCTCCCACTGTGCCCCTTCTACAGCCTTTTCCACTTTTCTAGTTGTCCAAGTCAAACTCCTGAAAGTCGTTTTTAATTCCTTTTTCCCTTCTCCTACACCAACTTTTTCCTTGGTTCTGCAGTCACATTATATTGAATCTGACTTCTTGCTCACTCCATTGATAGCATCTGGTTTGAATCACCAACATTTTCTTTCTTCTACACTACTGCAATAACCCCCCTAACAAGTCTCCCTAATTCCAAACTAGTCCCTCACATAGCAGCCAATATGATCCATTTAAAGCATTTATAGCTCAACACCCTATAATAGCTATCCATCTATCACTCACAGTAAAATCCCGAATCCTTCAAATGGCCAACAAACGTGGACTTGACCTTCACTCCCACAACTTCTCTGGTGTAGTTCCCCCCGTACTTCTTCCTCCTTCCTCATTTCATGTCACTCATGCACGCCTCTTCCTAACACTCCAGGAATGCTCCCACCTCAGCGCTTTGTACAGGTACTATCTCTGCCTACACTGCTAATCCCTCATGTTTCTGCACAGCTCACACCTTCACTTCCTCCAGGTCTTGGCCCAAATGTCACCTTCACCATGAGGCCTGCCCTGACCATTCTATTGCTTTTTGACACCCCCACTCTCTGTCTCCAGTTTATATTTTCTTTTGTTTGTAGTTCTTTGTTAACCTCTTGTGCAACACATCATTAACTTTTTAAAAATTATGTCCTTGCTTATCTATCTTTATTACTGGAACCTAGTTCCAAGAGAGCAAGGTCTTTTGTTTTCTTCACTCATCTATTCCAAGTAGAAGAATTCAAAGGACAGAGTGGATACTCAACAAAAACAAACTTCTTTGAGTGAATTCATTGACAATCAATACCATTTATATCTCTCCAACATACACTATAAATATGAGTAAAATAGAAGCGTTTTCCTTTGAGCACAGTCTAGGAACTTGGGTCTCAATGAAACACTTGAACCCTTTTGCAACAACTGTTTGGAGACAGCATGTGGAAATGAATGAATGAAGGAATAACCTGGTGGTTCCTCACTTACACATTAATAAATAATAGTTGTACAAAGCTATGTCTCTTATTTTAGATCCAGACTGGACCTTCAGTCACTCTAGAAGGCCACACTATTCATTTTCAGAACAGAGACATGGAAATAGGATAAATATCAAACTTCATCCCAGCTCTGCCACTTACCTAGCTACAGGTTGTTAGGCAAGACAGTTGTCATCTCTGAGCTTCAGTGTCCCCGTCTTTTTGCGACTCCCTGCTGTTGGCATTGCTGTAGCATCATGGAATGTGATTAGCCAGATACGTTTATACTAAAAGGAATAAATGCTCTAGGCAACAATCATTTGCTCCTAAAACTAATATAAAACCTTTCAAAATTTCAAGATTGTGAATGACTACAAAATCACACTGAATGCAAATAAAGTACAGAAAAATATGTCTCATTTACTGTTTGAAAAGCATCCTGCAAGAAGACATTGCTAGTTGCTGTAGGACCGGGTCACTCTGTGGGACTCTGAGGAAAAGCTTTCACCAGGCGGCCGCCATCCTGTTGCCAAGAGTAAAGGAGACCCCCAACAAGCCGAGGGGCAAGATGTCCTCCTATGCCTTCTTCATGCAGACTTGCTGGGAAGAGCACAAGAAGAAGTACCCAGACCCTTCGGGCAATTTCACCAAGCTCTCCAAGAAATGCCCGAAGAGATGGAAGACCAAGTCTGCCAAGGAGAAGTCCAAGTTAGAAGGTGTGGCAAAGAACAATAAAGCTCACTATGACCAGGAAATGAAAAATTACATACCTCCCACAGGCCAGTAGAAGGGAAACTTAGAACGATTGCAGTGTTCCAAAGAGACATCTGAACATCGCACAAAGATCAAAAACGAACACCCAGCGCTGCCCCTTAGGGATACTGCAAAAAACTGGGTGAAATGTGGTCTGAACACTCAGCCAAAGACAAACAGCCATATGAACAGAAAGCAGCTAACCTAAAGGAGAAATATGAGAAGCATATTGCCGCATACTGTGCCAAGGGCAAAAGCCAGGCAGGAAAGAAGGGTCCCAGTAGGCCTAACGGCTCAAAGAAGAAAAATGATCCAGAAGATGAGCAGGAAGAAGAAGAGGAAGAAGAGGAAGATGAAGAATAAATGACTGTCTTGTAATGATGCATGTAGAATGTGTTCAGGCAATGTTTTGTTAAAGTGAATTCAAAAAAAAAAGGAAAGAAAAACAATGTAAATTCAAGTGCAGCTCAATATTAGCTTCAGTATAAAAACTGTACAGATTTTTTGTGAAGCTTGTAAGACTCTTTGTAGAGAAAATACCAGTTTTTTAAAATGCGGGTTGTAGCTTTTTGAGGGGCTACTATAGTTAGATTTGAAAGCTTCTGAGTTGAATGTTCCTAAACATTTAATGGCTTCTTTAATTTCTTGTGTTTGGTAGCACTGCAAACTTGTAGGAATTAATATTAACAGCTAATTTGGGGGGTTTTCAGAATGTCGCATTTTGTTTTTTAAATTCTTCTGTAATAAAATTATGTATGTTAAAAAATAATAAAAAGAAGGAATTATTTTCATGTTTTTAAAAAATGTAAACAGAAAATACAATTGGCGAGTTAGACATTTTATTGGAGTATGAGATACTGAGATGCTATGAGATGCTAAGATTGCCTTCTGTATTCATATTGTCTCTCCTTGCTTAGAGAAACCGCACACCCCCGCCCCCCAGCCAGCTTGCAGCATTTTAGCTCCCAGACCTAAACACCATGAATTTGTAAAGTTCTCTAACAACTCAAGTATGAAAAAAAAATTCTGAGTTACAATATGCCAACTCAACACAACACAAAAAATCCTGACCTTAAGATTTTATTATGCTTCCAAACTTATAATAAATGAATTAAGTGGGACAATTATGATGAAAAATAATGTGGTTGATTAGAAGTCTGCTAAATGTTTTACCAGAAAGAAGAAAAAAAATCATCTGAAAGGTCCTTGAATCCACATTCCCTTTCCTTCCTCTGTGGTCCCCACTTCTCATTAGATTCTGCAGCTAAGGATTTAGGGAGCTGGCACTTTAAGAAGCCAGTCAGGCCCAGTTCACTGTTGGGTCCCTGGAGAATCTCCCAAAGCTCCCTCTGTGAGACTCTGGCTGTCAGGACTTCCTGCAAGATGAATGAAGGTGGGAACTGGGAAGAGCTGGCGGTTTCCCCCATGGATGCAGAGCACAGTTAAATGTTCAGCAGGACAAGCCCAGCAAGCCGATCATGCATCTTTGTCAGTCTGGGGACCCGAGGTGGGCAGTGGGGCTCTTCTCCCGCTCTGGCTCTCACTGTCACCCTGGGAACATCAGGAAAAGGAAAACCCTCCCAGGTTTCCAAACAATAGATGTTGCCCCTGAATCAAGTCAAATCCAACTTTCCCAAGGTCAGAACTTTGTACAGGTTGGGATACCATAAACAGCAAAGGGATACAAAACTGATGAAAAAGAAAAAAACCCCTCTACTTATTTAGAATAAAACCCATTTATTTAGAGAACCAAAGCAAAAAACTTTATTTAGAAAAGAAAGATTTCATACTATGAGTGTGTAGAGGCTGACAAACTCCAACAGAGCACCCAGAGCTTTGGATGGGGCAGAATACACCTGCCATCCTGTGGCCTGAAGATTAAGCATCCGACCAGGAAAATGGGCCTCTTCCAAATGGGGGTTTGGCAAAAGCATCTTCACGTCGGACAATTGCTGGTCCAGCATCTACGAGGCAGTGAGAGCTTCCCCAGCTTCTGGGAGATTCCAGTACACCAAGGAGGCTACACGCTACTTACTCATCTCTTTACATAGAAGCTTTCATTATGAACAACTCAGAGGAACACACAGAGGCATAGCCATTTGTCATTTATTTCTTTCAAAGAACATGGCTCCTCACTAGCAAGTTTAAAAAAAAAATAATAAGATTTATTTATTTATTTGAAAGGTGGAATTACGGGGAGAAGGAGGGAGAGAGGGCTTCTAAACTGGCACCTGCATGGGATTCCAGTGTCATAGCCTCCCCTCTTAGGCTGCCTCACCAGCCCCAGTCCTCTGTCATTACTGAACCAAGCAATGACTCTTAGATGTACAAGTGTGCTTTTAAAACTCTGGGGAAAATGGAATTCAAAGATAAATTATGTTTGTACAAAATTTATGAAAGTCAGTATAGTTTTTCTAAAAAAGATTTGTTTATTTACGTAAAAAGCAAAGCTGGAAAGAGATGTGTGAAGAGGACAAAGAGAGAGTGGTGGAGAGACAGCGTAATTTTCGAATTCCTTTTCCAAATGGCTGCAAAGGCCAGGATTTTTTTTTTTTTTTTTTTTTTTTTTTTTTTTGCAAAGCTTAGAACCCCGTTTGGGTCTCCCATGTGAGTGACAGGGGCCTAAGCACTGGGCCATGCCCCTCTCCCTTTCCAGGAGCATTAGGGAGAAGCCAGACAGGAAGCTTAGCAGCTGGGACTCCAACCAATGCAACAAATGTATTTCTTGATTCCATTTTCTATGAGCTTTTTAAAGTACCCACATATCTGGAAAGAAATAATGATTACGTAGCTCAGTATAAGTTATGTTTTGTTGCATTTGTTAAATTTATTTATTTAAGAGGCAGTGCAAATATGTTGCCATGAGCATCTCTATTCCTAGTGAAACAGTTAAATTGAATACCTTGACAATCTACTAGGGTTTCTATCTTTGTCTACACCTGTAACTTCATGTGTACCTAATAGCAACGTGTT